AGAATCAGGGGCGGATTTAAAGCGAGAAGAATTGGTGTTTGATAAAAAAATGGGATTTTGGTGCCACACCCTTCAGGTCAATGGACAATGATGGGAATGCCCATTTTTAAAATTAGGTCTTTAACTTTTAGATAAAGAGGATAAGAAGATTGATTAAGTTAAATGTTTCAACAGGGCCTCCGACGAAGGGGGGGGGGCAGGTGGGACCATTTTTATGATTCTTACACTTTCGCTTGGCCCCTCCACTTTCCAACCTGCGTCGGAGCCCATGTTCAATGACTGTCACACTTCAAGTGCAAAGTTCATGAAAGCATGGGCTCAAGGTTTACATTAGTCCAATTGTATTGTGAATCCATTAGCGCTTGCATAGACTATGGCGTCTGTAAATAGATATTTTGTGCATTACGTAGTTGTCGTTTTAGGTTTGAGTAAGGTTACAAAATGGTAAAAAGAGAGTGTGCAAGGTCTTTAGCCATAGGCAGGCCCGTCGGAGCCTGTGAAGTTAAACGCCTGTTTTGTTATTATCTCATTTCATTAGATATCTTGAAGCAACTCCCCTTTTTACACGTTAAAACATTATATGTAGTTATATGAACAAAAGAATAATTAACATAATTAGAATTGTAAGAAAAACGAGATAGATATGAAGACGAGGTTATACAATATAAGAATTATCCTGCTACAAACTGGGGGGCTGGGGGGCTGAGGGGCTGGGGGGCCCCAGCCTCCCAATAATTGTCAAACTGTAGTTGTTTGGGAGATGAATCATGCCCGTCTTCCCGACATGCACTAGCCCCCGTTTCGGGGTCATTGCACATGCGCATTATCACTTGAAGCCCTGGCAGGAAGTTCAAGAATTAAGTGGTCGCAGACAACAGAACAGCTGTGCGGATACTGTTATTAATGCGCATGTGCTATGACCCCGCAACACTGATTGGTTTACTCTAGTGTCTCTAATAGACGGGCCCCCCGTGTATTAATTTCAGAAGAATTTGCCCTCCCCCCGGCGCTTACTAGCACCCCCTTCTATTAAATTTTACAAATCAAGTCATTTGATTTTCATTATTCGTTGTTTTTCGAAGTTTTTTGTAAAATCTCAACCGTACAAAGGAAACCGATGATTTTTGACTTGGAAGTTAAAGGCTGTAAATTTGATTTATCTTTGTATGATTGCATTTTTCTCTAAAACCATAGTCAATGCTAAAACTAAGCAAATAACTGAAACCAAATTTTTACAGTACATTCTGAAAGGTACTTCAATTTCAAAGAAGGATTGCCGATATGAACACCCCCTTCTATTAGCACCCCTCTTCTATTGAAAATGGGTCGAAATGAACACCCCCTTCTATTAGAAACACTAGAGTAAGACGGTATTGTTTCGGAACAAGGGACTGATAGTTTCATCTCCCGAACAAGTAGTATGTGTCCTTTATAACAGTGCACTGAATGAGATGGAAAACAATAGGCAGCCCCTCGATATGAGCTTTGTTCCGACAGCACTGATATGTACTCTGATACTATTGACAGGGCCGTCGCTAGAACATTTTCATGGGGGGGGGGTGCAAAACCAGTGGTTTGCCGACAAAATGGGCGTGGCAACAGATACGGGCGTGGTTCTCAAATGATTATAATTATCATTGATAAAACTCTGATACTATTGAACCACAAATCGATAACTGGTGTGAAGTAAGTGGGGTAATCTGCGAGAACTGCAGATCAGGGCAGCCATGGTGTGTAAATCATTACAATGGTTTTTTAGTCAGACTTTCACACGATTATCTGATATTCAACTTTAACACTAGTACTGTATTAGCTTAACCTACAATATGGACAGTTTACAGGCAAATGTCTTTCAGATATTGTTGAGTTGATGCTGACGCATGAAATAAACCAGATTCGGGCAATAAATAAGGCTCGTCAATCCTGTCTTTCAAATTTAAGCTGAATTTGGAAAATTATAAGAGGTGGTAATTTTGTAAGGGTTGATATTTCATGAGGGTTGAATTTTGTACCTGTTTATATTTTATAAGAGTCAGTATTTCAGTGTATCCAATTTTCCCAATCATTGTAGGTTTCTTTCTTTTATGAATTGCCATTTGTGAATCATTTATTGAAACTAAATTGTATCTGTGTATAAAGAATTTCAAAATTAGAGATATTGCAAAAAAAATCCACATGATGTTTTTAAATTGGAAACCCTGTGTCCTAGCAATGTTCGCGCAAAGCACTAGGATTGAAGTTCGTTCACTTCTTCTCATTTTTACATTGTTTTTTAATCCAAATGTCTGCTTCTGTTTCCATTCTAACTGTTTTTTTTATCTCAATGAATCGGGAAATACTTCAGTTCTTCATAGCATCCTAGGGAACATTATATTGCAAAACTAATACAATAGTACCTGTAAAATTACCCTTTCTATCAACGATTAGCTCACGAAAATTATGTCCTGTGATTTTGCTTAATTCCAAATTTAAATTTCGATTTACTAGTTTCTTCTGTAACTTTTTTTTGTGTTTAAAACGGTGGCTGAACCTTGGAGCCCCTCTACCATCCCCTTTATCTGTTTTTTTCATTGGGATGTGGTCACAGGATAGAAAAAAATTATTTCTTTTCTGTGATATGGCCCTACTATAGAAATAGGGACCCTACCCTAAGCTGCCCCATTCACTGATTAGTGGCCTAGTCAGAGAAAAGAGATTACCAGTGTTCTCACTTTGCTTCATGTAAATTTCCTTAAACTCGCACGAAAATTTCCTCAGATTTCGGAAAAATTTCTTAGATTTACGAAAACCTGCCTTTGTTATCGTTATCGTTAAAACAATTGTTGGCATAAGTTTAAGTGTCAAATCGAGTCATCAATCAACATTTGTATCCGTCGTTAATTATTTTTAAAAATTTTTCTGGTACAATTTACTTACATTGATTATTATTTATTCATCATATTGTACCGCACGCATTTTAGAATATTAAATACTTTTATCGACAATCCAGCATTTTATCTTAATTTCAAAATCTTATTTGTTAGAAACAGTATTCTTGTGTCGACGGAGGTACCTCATCTTTTGGTCTGATATCTTGTACTTAGAACAAATTCAGTCATTCATAAGGAAATTGTGATAGGTGATTTTTGATCAAGAACGTTCCATCTCTTTCAAGAAGGAAACATTAGCCCTTGAAGTTTTCTCAGTTTTCTTCTTTTTTTGGCTACCCTTAACTGCCAAGCACAAAGAATTTTAAGACTCGTTTCTCCCCAGCTTTTCTATTACACCCATATTCAGGGCCGCCGGAGCCAGGGGTCCACGGGGGCACAGGCCCCCCCCCCCCTGTTTGCAAAAAGTATAAAAAAGTGCCCCTTTTTGAAAAATATATTGCGTGTATTTTTTCAATGCCAGATATTCTGCCTTTAGAAACTGAGTAAAATAACATAACTCTGGACGTTGTTGGAGGACCATTCATTGAAAATTCCTTAAATGTTTACTTGGTCTTGATGCAAAAAGCGCAATCTCCTATGATGAACAATATCAACTGCGAAGGAGACTGCCAGTTCCGCGAGAAAATTTCCTTAGCAGGCTTAAACTCTCTAGTATGTCTTCAGCAACAAACGCATTAGTGAAAGGTCCGGTCAAGTCCCCGGCGGGCACAGTCAGTTGGTCCAATGTATATCATGTGTATTCTTGAAAGTAGAAACTGGAGCCCTATCTCTGATTCTGGGATGCGTAAAATAAACCCAATTCTGTGACTTTGCCAAAATTGTGAAATTCTTTTCACTGAGAATATTCTAGCTTGAGCAGGAATTTTTGATACCAATTCATGTTAGAACCATTATTTTTCTTTAACTTATGACTAGGCAAGTTAAAAAACAGAGTTCACTAAATTTGATTTCAACAACAATCCCTTGTGGTTCTTGACATATATATTAACAAAATCAGACATCTGCAAAACTATAACTGCAACATATTGCTTGCTTCACAACATTGTGTTCAATGCTTTTTATGAAGAAATGAAAAAGTTGTGTCCCTGCAATGAGTACATGCTAACAAAGACTTAAATTTCTTATCTAGGATTAGAACAATATACAAGACTAGACGTACTGCAAAATTTTTTGTACTTCAATATGCCATTAATTTATCTAGAAAGTTATCTGCAACATCATATCAGTAAATTCCTGCCCTTTTTGTGTTTCCTCTGACTGATTAAGAATGCAACCCAGTTTTGAAGATTCTATGTCCCAGAATTCTAGCTTTTTTCGAGTTTTTCGGAACTCACATGTAATACGTTTTACCAACAGACTGAGCCCCCGGGGGTCAAGTTTAAGGAGAGTTAAAAGCTTGTTTCGTTCATAAGACTGACGAGATAAACCTAATTTGTTTCTAATAATGTTTACTTATAATTTTGTCTAATAATTTGTTAATAATGGGGGCGAAATTGTTTAAATATGAAAGTAAGAAAATTAATATCATTATTATGTCCAACGTGTGTCATAATTTTTATAATTGTCTAAATTACAGTGAAATCTGTACCATTTTTGGCACTTACTAATGTTTCGGAAAAAAATATGTGTGCCCTTTTTATTTGTTTTGGCCCCCCCTGCTCAAAACTGCGTCCGGCGGCCCTGATATTGACGTTAAATTACAGTTGATATTGACCTATCATATAAAAAGTGTTTGTCTGAAAGTTCTTGGTCAGAAATTCTCAAAAATGTTTTTTAAAGACCCATTTGATGATTCATATCCCTCTCTTGCTTTACTTTTAATTCAATGCTGTATTTGGTTTAAAATGTGTAATTTTCCTTTATCATAGAAGTAATCAAAAAAATATCTCAAAACTTTGGAATTTCCTTTAAATTTCCTTAACAAATGAAATTCCTTAAAAAGTCAAAAATTTCCTCAGTTCAAGGAAATTTCCTTCAAGTTAGAACACTGGAGATTACTGTGGCCCAAATAGGCCAGCCTCTTCTTCAAAAAACATTTCTGGAAACGAGTCCCTTATTTTTCCATTTTAGATTGGGTTGAAACTTCAGATAGTAAAGATAGCAGACAGGGAAAGCGAAGAAAACACAGTAAGTGTTCAGGTTGTTTATTACCTTTTGTCATCAATTAGCATTAATCTTTTATTACCCTAAAGGGATGTAACTTGACCGATTCTTCTTAAAATGGAACAGCATCTTTATTTATGTTAATTCAATATGTAATTAACTGCTGAAAAAATGAAATGAAAAAATGAAATTTCTGAATATACGGTGGTTTTTTGGAGGAAGGTAGGTGGGAATGAAAAAACAACTTTTCAATTTCTCGAAATCTCTGAATGTCTTCATAGCCTTATAACCTAAAAAGTAGTATCTGAATTTAGTACTTTGGTTAAATTTTAGATTTTCATTCTTCCGACTGAGTCATTGATGTACTGACAGGAAATTTTTGCTGGATTTCCACAGAATTTATTATGGATCATGAGAATACTGGAAATGAGATCATTGATTTGAATGTTGGAGGGAAAAGGCAAGTTGAAATATTGTTTAAATTATAGGATAACGCTCATAAGATATAAAGTTCCTCAATCATCTGAATGGATTATAGAAACAAATAATTTTTATTACTGTCCCAAATGCAGAAAAATTATCATACTATTAAAAATTCTGCATTTCTGACAAAAATTGAAAAAGTTGATTTTTCGTGTTAGGACGTATTGCTAAAAATTGTCAATGACAAAGTTTAAGGTTGTTTAGGCTATCATAAATCATCTGAAAACAAAAAAATTCTACATTTCGTAATTTAGATTGGTCAAATCAAAAATGGAATTTAATGAACTATTCCAAAAATCTGAGATTTGTCTTTTGATAAAATTTAAAGCAAAAACAAATAATCATTTCAACAAGCAGGAGTACAAGCTGAATTGTCATAATCCTGTTGTATTTGGAATAAAGAAAACCTTTTTCCAACTTATTATATTGTGAAAACCAAGAAGTAAACAAAATCGAAGAGACATTGCTGTGTCTAGCTATAAAAGACAAAGATTGGTGATGTTAAAAACCATTATGAAGTATGTATGTGAGTCTGCAGTTCCTACAAAGGTAACAAATTAGGTGTCATCCATGAAGCAATGCAGATACAATCTAAAGAGATACAATCCTTTGATATAGCCGATACTATAACATATAAGAAATGGAGGTTCATCTGCATAAGACACTTTGAACTGAGAGAGCTAGAAACTGGACTAGAAGTTTTATAAAGCCGAAGCTCCAGCCACTCAAAGGTTAAGTGCTGTTATTATCATCCTCAAATGCTAAAGGATAATGCTCACCTAAACATAAAGACAAGTGACACTACATGAGTTAACGATGGTCCATAAATTTGCTTAAGCTTAGTAAATGGGCATATATCAAAGGATCATATAAATTGACCATGGATCATATGCACCTCTAGCATTGGCAACCAACTGAACAATTGACAAGGAGTGCCTCATATATGGTAAAATTTTGGCACCAAATAGCAGAAATATAAGGGATTACACTATGATATATCTTGAAATTTTTGAAAGCAGAGAAAGTCATAAGTATAAATGTTTGACTGGTTCATTTTGCTTAATTTTCGTTGCTTAAAAGTATTTTCTATGGACTTAAGTAGTGTTTATTTACAGATCTCCTTTTAGTTAATTTGCATGTCAGTTATGTTTATAAGTTGAAATGGAGGTTTTCACTTTTTTATTCAGATTTTCAACATCAAGACAAACTTTGACATGGATACCAGACTCATTTTTCACCTGGTATGTATAAGTAGAAAATTTTTGCAAACTTTCATTATTTTTTCTTTAGTTTATAAGGCAGTCTTTCTAAAACAATCAAAGCTTGATTGGACCTTAATTAAGTTCCAGAAAATCTTGAGATACTGATTTGCAGATTGCTGCAACCCATTTGCCAATGTGAACAATAATTAATTAGCGTTCTTTGTTGTATTGCATCCTGGAAACAGGAAAAGTGATCACAAAATACTTTAAACCTGTTGTAATAGGCATATCATTTCTTTTTATCAAGATCATTTTCCAACTTAAAGTATAAGATAGTGACCCTACTTTGTCAAACTATATATTGCTGCTCCCAAAATTCAACAAATCTGCTTTTGTAATCATATAATATTTAGAAAGTTTTCTGAGATTTTGTGCTTTGACATCTTCAATTTCTGAAAGTATCTTCTCTTTACAGTCTTCTTAGTGGGAGAATAGCTTCACAGAAAGATGGAACTGGAGCTGTAAGTTTGATATTATTTTCATGGCCTAAACCTGATTACAAGTTTAATCAATTAATATGCATAGGTTACCATACATCTTCTAACAGAAACAAGCCCTGAACTAATTCAGCTGTCCCTTGTTGTGAATGGGTCAGCTGTTCAAACTCATTGGCACCATTTTTGTCTGCATTGTAAATCCCTGATCCCCTAAAAAATTTTGCATTCTTTTTCTCACAATGTCACACTTTGTTTAGGCATTCTTCTATTGCCTTTGAATCTTTCCTTTAAGGCTTGCTTGTTTAACTGTTAGCATCTTAGAATTTGGCCAAATCTTGGAGTCTAGTTTTCTTGATCTTCTCTTCTATTTTGACTACATCCAGTCTTCTATTGACTGTCTTCACATTATTCTAGAATCACATTTTCTTTCATCACAATAACATGGTAGCGAAGGTTGCCTTTAAACACTTAAACCCCATGTTTGTAAAGCTTATAATGAGATTTGTCATTACAGTAATAATATAAAGGATTGTTTTGAGATGTAAAAGCATGATCAATACCTAATGAATTTATCATTTTTGAAGAGAAAAGAACGTAAATATTAATAGAATAGCACAAAGATCAGGAACATAAATTATTATAATGATTAAAAAGGTTAAAACATAATGTGCAACAGAAAGGCTTTGAATGCTAAAATTTTTTCCTCTGTTTTTGTGTTGTCAATAGATCCAGAATTGAGACTACTTGATCATTTTTTTCAGTGTTGTTTAAAAAGCAATGAAAGCTGCAACCAGTTTGACTTTCGTTTTCTGTTTTTGCATTAATACAGGCCTTGCCCGGAAAGGTGCTCGATCGAGCGCGCGTGCCTAGAGCGCACCCAAAAAAAGCCTTGGAGAGCGATTTATAGAGCCCCTCAAAACGTAAAAACAATATTAAAGCGGAGCAAAATAAATTTTTGGAATTTATTAAATCAACTTGATCAAGCATAAACAATCTTCCCAACAGACCGCAATATTATGATTTGCGTAAGATTACCCCTTGAGAAAAAAAACAGCAAATTCAACGTTGGGTTTTTTGATATCATTTTTAATCTGAAAACCCTCTAATAACCATCAAGGATACAGGCCATCAAGCAAGCGTATTCTCCGGCAGATTTATTTGATTTTCGAGCAAGCGTTAATCTTCTATTGAAGTATATATTATTTTCTTTTTTTTAATAACTTAAAATCGCCTCTGCAAATCAGCGATCACGTTTCCGTCCAAATTATCGCATTGCTTTTCATTTTTCATTTACTTTTGCGTTTTGATGAAGCAATATGTGAAGCTAAACATAACAGTAGTGATACTGACACTGATAAAAGCTCATCGAATGATGACAACTTACATATCTAGAAAAATCTGAACAATTTTGCGACTTTGTTTTATTATATTTCTATATTTATATTAACATAGTGTTTGTTGCATATTTTGTTATTTCATATGATGGTGCTTTGTGGTATCACCATTGAATTTCAAATTTAACATTCTTCCGAAGCTTTCGATTTGAATCTCTCGATCTCCTAAAGCTCTCGAAGGATGCTCTCAAGGAAATTTACTTAGAGGTGCGAAATAGAGCGCCTAGAGTTTCTAAGGGGCTCTTTTTATGGAGCACCTTCATTTTACTTAGAGCAAGGCCTGATTAATAGTCAGAATATGTTTGCATTTAAAAGTAAGGATTGTTTAGAATGGTTAAAAAACATGAAATAGAATGACTAAAGGGTTTTGTTTGTGATAACCAAATATAATACAATGGAACTAGAACATTTCAAGTGGATAAATGTTTATTAATTATGATGATTTTTACCTCAGGCAACTGCCAGTTTTGATACCAATAATCATATTAAGAAGTGAACAAACAGCAAGTTAAGTGCATGAAATGCATTTGGCTACAATCAGTATTAGTTGTAACTTTGAAATACCTTCTGCAATTTTGTATTCTTCATTTCATGGGTGACAACACATTGTTTATCCTCTTTTGTAGTTTTTCATAGACAGAGATCCTGATGCATTTGTACCCATTCTTAACTTTCTACGGACTAAGGAGCTCAACCTAGGGTAAATACTGCCTTGTGCTACATCTTCATTTTTACAAGCCGTGGACAAACAAATTTGTTGCTGCTATTTTTGATACATTATTGCTGTTGCTCATGTTTTGGTTTGCAATATTCTTATAGATCACTTCTTTCATCAAAAATGAAAAACTTTCTTTGCAACCAGAATGTTATCGTGTGCATTGGTAACTGGTGCCAAGAGATGCTTCTTTATAATATGCACTTCATTATGCATTTTGTTAGGTAGAATAATAGAGTTATCTTTTGCATTTCAGAGGTCTGGATCCAGCTGTGGTAAAAAATGAAGCCCAGTATTATGGCATTATGCAAATTGGTTTGTTTATATACTTATTCATTATTCATCTCAGTATTTTACCACCAACATATGTTTGTTTACCTTTCCTTCCTATAAGCCTGGTTTGTACCTTCCAGTTTCACTTGGTATGTTCTCCTTCTAATGAATTTCACATTTTTGCAGTTCGAAGGCTTCATTTGTGTGATGGTCTGCGGAGCTCCCCTTGTGGAGACCTTCTGTTCCATGCATATCTCAACCTCCCAGGTATATATTATTGTTTAATAATAAAGCTTCATGCATTTTATTATTAAAGCACAACACATGATATTTAATAATCATTTAATTATGCAATGTTTTTACTTTGCTTGAGTTCTTCAACTGCAAACCAGGAGGTCAACAATATCATTCATTCAAACAATTCAAAAGACAAAAATTTACACTATCCTGTGGACAATATAAAAGAAGGAAGAGACATGAGGTCATCTGGTTCTTACTTTAAATGACACTTACAAATACATTATTCTTTAGCAAGCATAAGGAAACAATATATTACAAGTTAAAGTGGCTTTGTGCTCACATGGGCAGTTTTTCTGGCCCAAAACATTAAATATCTCTATTGCTTAAATGCATGTTTGCATCTGAATGAAGTCGACCTGTAGAGTCATAAATATTTATTCTTATTCTAAATATGAATAAACATATAGAGAATGATAGATGTTTTTCATTTTAGATATTCCGACTGGCCTAGGTCGTATCAATACCTCAAGAAGAAACTCTGCTACTTCTGTATTGGCACCATCTACAAACCTGAATACTGCTGGTTTGAGGGCAGCTATTTCAGAGCCAAATTTAAAATATGACGGTAAGGTATATTTTTATATAGCAGCTGTTCTAAAAATATGTCATTTTGATAAACATATCTGGCCCATTATTTCTAAGATTCTTTTTCATTTTCCCTTGCCTTTTTGAGTTTAACTAATCATTTGAAACCAACTTCTCTCAAACAGGCTACGACCCTTACAAAGTCTTAATGATTGTCTGTCATCACCATTGGGTTGCTGTGGCCTATGCTCATTGTGTATGCTGCCACAGGTACAGAAGTAAACTATTTAATTCAAAAATTGGACAAATAATGTGTCTTTCTAGAAGAGTCATACTGCTGTCATGGTCCAGTATTTCAAGTGACGGTTTTGATCTCAGGCTTTGAATTGAATTCAAGAATTGAACTAAATGTTGCTGAAGTGATTGTCGTTGCTTTTTGGAGTACTATTTGGTTATTGCTAAATTTTTTTTGTGAAAGGGAATTGATAAGTTAGCTGCTTTATTTGTGATTTTTGGGATTCTCTAGTTATATTATGATAGAAATGTAAATTATGTATCTAGTCACAAATGGCCATTTAAGTTAAAGATGGAATTAATCATGTTGCTTTTGTAATTTTAAGAAGCAAGAATCGTTCTGTTTTTAATTTTTAAACTATTGCAGGCTGCGCGATACTCATGGATGGGAACACGTGTTCACAAGCCCATACCTTGACTCTGCGATTGAAAAGATTGCCTTGAATACAAAGATGCCTGGCCCTCTCGGAGATAAAATGGTCGCTGCTGCATCTGGTAATCATTCTTATTTCACTTTCATTTTATTTCTAGTAATGAGTTTAGTCAGATGGTTCTAGAATTCGATTTCATGATTAAGTTACAGGCTAACTTATTGTTTTTACTAAATAAATGATTTACTTGATAAATGAAAAGTAGATTACTCGTCAATGTTTAATATAGGGATCTTTTTTTGGGGACACAGGAAGCAAGATCTGGTTATGGAATTGTAGTCAAAGCAGTGGTGCAAAAATTGGTATGTGGAATTTGCTTTCGGTCTGAAACTTCATCTTACCGCTTTTGACAAAAATCTCGCTTTTGACAAGGTTCTCTCTTTATTCTTTTTATTATCTCTCCTTATGCAAGTTCTTTCACTCAAACAGTATGCATTTGTGTAACAAGCATACAGGTTTGGTAATTGTAACGCAGCCTGCTTTCTCATTGCTGTTTTTGATAATATCAACTCAATGATAAAGTATTAGTAGAGTATAGTTGTCTAGGATTCAGATAAAGATATATCATCTATGTATTGAAAATTTTAAGGCGATACAATTATTTTCATGCCTGCCAGATAAATAGCCAAAATGTGATAAAATCCTGTGCTGCATATTTCATATTCTTTCAAGTAACCCATCATTTGAAAAATACCTCATCACTATCTGTCTTTCAGGAGTTTTCGATTTGACTGTTTCGTTCGACCACCTCTTTTTCATTGGAAGTCAACTCGTTTCATTAAGCAGTTCTGGAAAGATCGGAGTCTGGCACTCTGTTACCCAAAACTGGCAGGTACGTACAGTGATCTTAATGCTGACTCGTTAATCTGTAGCTGATCCATTCCAGTTTGATTTTTTTAAAAAATAAATTTCTCCAGGTGCTTATCTATAGATCCGGAACAATTTATAGTCAATTGGTCACTTCTGGAAAGTAAAATAATGCCCCCCCCCCTCATCAGAGTCCATCAGGCTGGAATGGCTAGTATCCTATAATTATCATACTTGTTTCTCGTACACATTTACTTTGTGGACGATCAACTTGCGACAGAGCGCGATTATTTAAGGCCATTTGGTGACGATTTTTTAACTTTGCTATAAACATGTTAATACAAGCTTCGAATGCACCCTTTTTAAAAAGCTTGAATTCGTGCATTTATATAATTAGCTGAACATTAAGATAATCTAATTTGCCTGTTATTATTATCATCATCGTTGATTATATGCTAATTTCTGTCATGGAAAAATTGTATACTTTAATATAAGTAATCATATTAAGCTCTATCTTTTCCGGTACACAGCAGTGAGGTATATTTTTCTTTACAATTGTATTTTATTCTGTTATCAATTCTGTTGTTGATTGTAGATCCAGGATGTAGTGGCCACATCCAGTTACGATGCTGCTGGATCATTTTTGTTACTCGGTGGCTCAAACGGGTCTATCTACTACGTTGGTACGTTTCGTTTTTTGAAACCGTTCGGCACATTCTCCTCAAATATTTCAGACAAAAAGATCATCTAGAATCAGATAGCAGTTGTTCAGCTTTGTTTATCTGTCACATCTCTTGGTATGGTAGTTTTACATTCACTGTAAACTGATCTTATCTATGAAGCATGAAGTTTCTTGGTTAAAAAGAATGTGCATCACACACATTTCTCACTAAAAGTGTGTGTACAGTGCAATGTTTTAACAACCTTATCAACAGTGGGATTTGCTACTGCTTCTTATAGCTTTAACGCAGAAGTTTGTCCCGGCTTAGTTGTCATCCACGCATACATCTTATCAGTTTACTTTTAATTGACCATAATTCGTTTATTTTGCTACCGTTATTGACCGTAACCCTAATTTGAGAACAAGTTCTACAAATAGATTTTAATGTTATAGCGGTGGGTTAAAAATTGCATGAAATTTGATTTTTTCAGATATGGAGAAATTCCCGTTAAGAATGAAAGACAACGATCTTCTGGTAACAGAGCTGTTCCGTGACCCATGCGGCGACGCTATCACGGCGCTTTCTGTGTATCTAACACCAAGAACATGTACGTTTCATTGGGAACATTTTCGGTTTTCTATTGACAAAAAGCTACCAAGAAAGTGCTCGTTATCTTTTGACGATCTTTTCCAAAATTATTATCTTTGCACAAGTTATTATCAAATTTAAAAGGGTTAGCCAAATTTTGTGTTTTCAAATAACTTTACGAGAATATTTGCGTAACGTTTCATACCTACAAGTTACTCGTACAAATTAATTTGTAACAGCCTCTTTCACCTTTCACAAGGTCTCAGTAGAAACTGGATCGAGATTGCGTACGGGACAAGTGCAGGAACGGTGCGTGTTATTGTCCACCATCCCGAGACGGTCAGCAGTGGGCCTCAGTTGTTTCAAACATTCACTGTACACAGGAACAGTGTGAAGAAAGTGGCTCTCACAGAAAAGCACTTGGTTTCTGGTAAGAAAAATCCTCCTCAAACTTAAAGTTGATGTCTCAGTGTTCTTGCCCCATAGTAGTTTTCTCTGAATATATTTTCATAACGTTTTTTAACATAATTTTGTAAGGCTGATAACGCACTAGAGTTTGCGACGGAAGAAGTTTTAGCCTCTACTAACCTCAGTTGAATAAAAGTGTTGTCCCTCTTGATTTTTTTTACTATTTTCATTTGTCCTGTGCTTCACATTGCTATCCTATTTGTATTTAATCCTTGTATCGTCTTTCTACTTTTCTTTTATTAATTTATTTTTCTATTTATTCAAAATGAAAGTCTCCTTTTTTTATGTTTACACTGAACAATACACCCAGTAACCAAATCAGCATCATTTTAGTTTGCTCAGAGTACAATCACGTACGGACATGGAGCGTCACGAGATTTAGGGGGATGATATCAACCCAGCCTGGTCCAACGCCTCTCAGCTCATTCAACGTGGTTTCGTTGGAACAAGGCACAAAAACATCGCCATCAGTCAACAGCAGTATCGGTGAGATTGACTCTTGTGGAACAGCTTGCTTTGTGAAACTTGCCTTGATTAACTAGGAGTTGCTTTGTGAAAGGGTGCTCAAAGAACAGTGACTTATTTAGAAGTAAACCCGTTTACATTTCTTTTTAAATTACATAGCCCTTATAAACTAATATTTGATAAATAGCATGAACTTTGAGCAATGTTTTATTTTTTAATGAACGTAACTGGTATATCTGGTAACAGAAAGATTTCCTTATCAAGCTTGGAAAAGTATGTTTGGTTCTGATAACTCCAACATTTCACCGAAAGAGTCAAAAACTTATTGACTTATTTTGCTTTGTGAAGGCATCTTTTTTTATCATTTTAAGGACCGTATGGTGAGCGTGATGATCAACAGGTCTTTGTGCAAAAGGTTGTCCCTGAGACGGAGCAGGTCTTTGTGAGATTATCATCGAATGGGAAAAGGTACGGAATTAAATGCTCGGTTGTTCGTTCTTACGAGCCTGTGCAGAGCAAGTTTTGCAGATTTGACTGCATCTATAGCTACCGAGTTTGCGGGCCAATATTATATATGCAAATATGTACAAAGCATGAATATTTCCGTGATGATTGCAAAATTGCGATCCTGAAATCTGCCGTTTTTACAAACTCTATCTTGCAATCTACATGCCCTGGATCCTTATAGAATTGGCCGTACGAAAAGATCATTAACAATTTGAACATTCATCTTGTTGAAAATATTTTGTGTTTTTGTAGATGATTTGAAATATTATTAAAAACCTCTTGCTATGCTGAATTTTATGTCTAATTACCAATTTCCTAGGCTTTGCACCATTGAAAGTGTTGATGGTAGCTGTGTGACGTCATTTTTTGTCCACGAGTGTGACAGCTCAACAAGAATGGGCTCAAGACCTCGCCGGTTTCTTTTCACTGGTCATCAAAACGGATCTGTCCAGGTACAGCATATTCAGACAAATACATTTAATGATATTAGGGTTAGGGTGAGGGAGAGGGTTAGAGTTAGGTTTAGAGTTAGGTTTAGGGTTAGGGTTAGGGTTAGGGGATTGTCATGATGACGGCTTATCCTTTGAAAAGGTTTATGAATCATTATATTGAAAACGTCAAAGGTGTTTTAAGTTCAACATTATTATTTTAAGCCTGTTTAAATTGTCTTTTGTAATCTTAACTTGGCATAACCATCCTCTTAATAATGTTAATGATAAGGCCATATTTATACAGGTGAACTTGCTCTGCTATCAACCAAGGACCTGTAAACCAAGTATTCCTAAAATCTTGTTAACCAACTCCTAAAATGTTTTACAATAGATATAGTTCAACAGCTATTTACAATAATAAGGTTTAAAGATTAATGTTATAAGTTGAAATTGGCTTCATTGGCAATCGATTGAATAGGCTTCTTGGCATATATCTGTCTTCCATAAATCGTATTTCGCAACTGTCAAAGCAGCTACGTGAATCGCTGTAATTCGAATGCATGTTCTTTATTTGAACAAACGTTGCCAAATATAAGTTAGATCGCTGCTGTATTCTGTCGGAACAAATCTTGATATGATCTTATACCGTTAATATACAGTCAAGGAACTCTGATGTATCACTCTTCTCGAACAGATAGATCGATTCCCTTGAATCTAATAATTCGAATGATATTCTGTTTTGGAAATCTTACAAAAGACAACATTGTCATCAGCAACAGCAAAATGTTATGATCGACCAAGGTAGCCGGAAAGACAGTTTGTAATTTGTTTTTCATTTCCTTGCAGATATTTGACTTGACAACAGCAATGGAAGGCATCACCCAACACCCGGGTAAGCTAGTATAGCAAAACATCCTTCTCCAAAATTAATTCTTTGCCTCTTTCCAATGCATACGCCACGCTCGCACAGTTCGCTTCCTAACACCACTTGAAATTCCTTTGAAAGCGTATTGTTATTGTTGTATTGTGTTTACTTTGTATTATTGTATTATTGTATGCCCTACTCATATCCTATTATGGGGTAATTTACACTTGAAGCACTCTTTCTCAAGCCACTGGCGTATCTCAAAGCGATCACCTAAACGCACAATAGCGCCTCCTAATTGTACTCTTTCCTATGATTTGCGTCGATGGAAATGTCGATTTTTTACGTTTGAAATGGTCAAAGGTCCAACTTTATTTTTCCCATAATAAAAGGGTAAATGAATGCTTGTGCTGTATATTTTTGTCATCTGTTGCATCTTTTAGTAAACTTTATGTTGCCTTTTTGTTGTTTGCTATCTATGATATTTTCTTCCAGATCGCTTCACAAAGAGTGGACCGAATGAACATGAAATGTTGAAGCTATTAGAGCAATGTGATCTTCGCGCCTCGAGATCAGCAACGCCATCAGCTGCCTCGCTATCGCCAGGCTCTTCTATGATGTCAACTATTTGCCACTTACCGCGATATGGATTCAGTGACTTTTCTTTGACTGCATCGAATGGAGGCCAATCTTTTGAGAATATGCTCGATTCTGATCACCATGGTTATCATTATCGTGGACAACTGCGAAGCAGCTCTGGTAGACGGACTGGCTCGCAGGGGAATCGCCACAGTGTAGCCTCCGAACGAGGATTCACCTCTTCAGGAGGACATGAGCATGCACGGGAACAGTTACTGTCTCCTGCCCTGGAAGAAAAGGGGCAATTGGCATCGTCGCCAAAATAAGCGTGGATCTGGTGGTTGGAAACAAGTAATTGAGAAATGCCGTGAGCCAGTACTCGCGATAAGACCGAGTATCGTCTCGAGTTGGAATACCCAGAGATGCGTCTCGAGGTAGAATACAGCGTCTTTAAGATTTGTTGCGTTATCATTAATTTTCAAATAATAGTAGCCTTTTTTCAATCAAACCCATCATTTTCTGGTAATATTAGCTCCTTCAGCAAGTTTACGAAGAAGCTCAATCTCTGTAAAGCTCAATCTATGGATTTAAAGTCTGGCCGTCCTTTCTAAATTTGTCGTTGCTATGGTTTTGTTTCTGGCACTGCTGTTGTTGTTGTTGCTGTTGTTGGGACTTGCGTTTTTGGTTAATTTCATAGCTCATTTCAGTTTTAGCATGCCCTATTCGAATAGGGTAAAGCATTGACTGGTAGATTTTCCACGGCTATGAGTTTTTTACAGATAATTATTTAGGTGTCTCTTTTTATCGATTCCCCAACTGGGATACTTTCGAGTACGACCATTTTCATAATTTGACGGAAAGCGCCTTTAATTTTTGTCTTTTAATGTGCCGTCATCTTGCCGCAAAATGCTCTTATTATAGATATACACAAACAAAGCAGTTGCCTACACATATTCACGAAGCCATGATTGCTTTACCCCACAGTAAGCTGTCCCTACTTAACTTTCTTCTTAAAAGGTAACTGCATGTTTTCTATATGGCAAGCAAATGCAATAGTTGAAGTTGTAACAGAGCACGTGAAAGATGACTTTCATTTTGGGCGTTGTTTATTCAAGGGTGTCTCGTCGTCCATTCCCGCACACGCTGCCTAAGAATGACCCAATCTTTATTGATTGTAGGAAGAATTTTTCTACAGCTCTTGAACTAGCGTTATTGGTAAACCCTTAGCTATGTAGAAATATATTTTCCCGAGTTCTTTTATTTTGTGGTGTGAAGCTACCGCTGTTGTGTTAGTAATTTATTCTATGCAAGATAGCGAATGCTAGTTATAAACATAGATAATATATAATTGCTGTTTGTACGGAATTTCATAAGAATGTATTGTGTCGAATTATATTTATGCTAATCAATTATAATGAAGTGTAGAGACAATGTACCTATTTAATAACGCAGCTATTTATCACTGTAGATTTTCTAACATTACTTATGATACATAATGGGGATTGTATTTGTTTATTTAATTCTTACTTTTTACAACATTGGCCAGAAGAGAGGAACAAAAAACCTTTTTGTGAGTGTACCTACTTGGGTAGTTAGAGATATAATTTAAAAACAGAAGGCAAAGACTTCCGAACTCTAGACCACCAACTTCGTTCAGCGCATACGGCGAACCCATTTACCTCATGTTGCACCATTTACCTCATGTTCATCCTCCAGAAGATGGAAGAACATGTTATTACTAAAATCATCTGTGGGGAATTGATCGCTTTAAAAGTTATCAAATTACCTGTTTGTATATCAAACTGGAAGTATTTTTTTGTGAGAGTCGCAGGCAAGAGTTTAAAGAAGAAGTAGAAGAGGAGTTTTCAAGCTTAAGTTACTTTCCTGTGAAGGACATTCTGAAGTGGAGTTACATCCTTGTCCTCCTAGGCTCTGCTTGGTCGAACACAAAAAGCTCTCAAAAATGATTGATCAGTTTATAATGGGGTTATAAAATAGAAAGAAAGCTCCCTTGTTCAAATCAAGGACCGAGATACCGGGGGGCGGGGAGGTCGAGATACCAAGAAACCTAACTGGTATAAGTAAAATACTTTTGTTTTGCAAAATATGGCTGTTTTACACCTATTTATCAGGGCTGTCCTCCCCCCTCCCAAGCAAAAAGTTGTATCTCGGTCTTTGGTTCGAAGCAAACAATATATCGATCTAGCTTTCCGATGATATAAGCAAACTTAAGCACGAATGGTGAACAGCATATCTGTACTGAAATATAGATGTGGAATTGATACTATTATTATTGTTACTGTCTACTTACGGTTTAATCTAGAAATTGTTCACTTATTTCCCTTAGCATCAGAAATGTTTTCTTGTGTTACGTTATATAATATGCTGCACCATGCAGTTTAATGTTATATAATGTTAAGTGGTGTAACTTTGTATTATGTTTGCTTTACGTTATGTTCTTGAGTTGTGCTTTGTTGTGATAGAGATGTGGTTTCTTCTGTCGAATGGCATAATCTGTTAGTAGCAGTAGGAGAAGGTTGGTAGTAAAACAAGACAGTCGAGCCGCTAGCAAATGGGGGATATTTGGCTTTGCAATAATTCAAACGTAACTGAGGATATATTGCTTATGTTGTGATGAAAAAATGAACTTGCAAGTATGTATTAACGACAGATATAACGTGGTGACCACATTTTTTAAATTATATTAAGGCAACCTGGTACCTTTATTGCATTTAGAAATCATAATAAAAAACATAAGACTTGATAACTCCTACTGAGGAGGCGAAAATTCTAAGAAAAAATTATGATTTTGTATGTGTGTTTTTAATATGGTTTCTAAACACAATAAAGGTACCAAGTTACCTAAATGCAATTTTTCATATAGCACACGGGATCTCATGAAATCCTTGGCCCAAAAAACCGGTGACCAAAAATATAGCTTTTTAACATATTCATTTCGGTAGTGGAATTGGCAAATTTAGGCCGACAAAAATCGCTTTTGAATGGGGGGAGAGGGAGATGAACGAATATAAAGGAATAAAAGGTAGCTAACACTGACTGAATGAAAAGAAACCAAATAGCCAAAGTAAGCTAGTAAGGACCAAGGTCCGCTGGCCTCCTTAGCTGTCGACGAAAACAATTTTAATCCATTCCTTTTCAAATATAAAAACCTGGTGTACTTATTGTTTAAATTTTAATGGAGACTGTGAAATAATTCATGCAACCGGATCAAATAAGGAGCAAGTCAGTTATTAATAAACAGTTTTATTTTTATCTTGAAGTCTAAAAAAGTAAGACGTTAGCCGTACAAAGTTTTGCCAGGAACTAAAATTGGCGTTATTTTTTACGATTGTCCATTACTGTTGGGTTGTGTCGCTTTGTATGTAGTCCCTAAAGTGCGTAGGATAATTTTCTTGCAATATGTCAAGATTCCAAACAAGGCACTAGGGTCTGAAGACTATGTCTTTTCCGGTGGGTTGGAATTGTCATTTGGCTGTCTTAAACGTGGGTAGGCAAAATCGCACACATTTCTTGACGCCCTTATAACCTGTTTTATAAGGTTTTAATCGCAACTGCTTTAAACATTCTGCAGTCACCCAACTGTATTATGGGCATCTCTACGTCATAGTGTTGTGAAGTTAGTCTGGTCAGGTCCTTTAAGTCAGTTTGAAACTTTGCATGACATGCTGCATCGATGCGAGTCCAGCATGCTCTCGAGCTGTTTAATTTCAGACTGTAGTGTGTTTATTTCGTTCTGTAAACTACTGTTTCTGTTTTCAAGTTCCTCTGATTCCTGGTGAAGCGAATGAGATATTTTCAAGGCATTTAAGAATGCTTAAAGACACCATGATAAACTAAGAAGAATGGTTGCATCGTATAGCTAAAACCCTACATTAAAAAACATTGCGAACAAATTGGCAATTATGAGAACTGCAAACCTGATTCTATACCCTCAAAAAACCAGAGAATCATAAGATTGCGATCGTTTCTTTATAATCATATAATTACTGAAATATCACGTGAATAAAACTAACGCTGAGAGAAGTTGAATCAGCATGGATCTTCACAGAGAACAATTCCAATCTTTGAATGGCTAATTCGACAGAAACATCAAACATTTTTGACCCATCAGATAACAAAAAGTTCGTAAAAGTATGTTTTTTTTAATTTAGCAAACGGTCAACTATATTTAGCAAAGTTGTTGGTTGTGCTAATGTAATACTGGTTCTGCAGTAGCCTGTAATGGAGACCACATCAAAAATTGGTTAAGCATTACGAGATTTTAGGTACATAATGAAAATAAATTCCGTTTACGAAGGCAACTAAAAAATTCAAACTCGATTCAATCTACCAGTCACGGTTTACAGGTAAATCAATTTTTCGTGCCTCCTCTCGTCTCTTCACGCCTCTTCTCGTTTTTTCTCGCTCTTTCTCGCTTTTTCTCAATTTCTCGCCTTTCTCGCCTCTTCAACGATTTTGGACGTCGAATTTGTATGTGGCAGACAGCAAAAGTTATCCTTAAACGCGAGGTTAAAAGTGGCCTAAATTGTGTCCACTTTCAATGTGTTCACAAAGTGGCCTACGGATGAAATCGGAATGCTTTAGTGCGTACTGTCCTAAAGATATTATCTTCACAAGGCCAAGAGACTGTACAAATCTGATCCTTACCTTCATCAAATGTTTTATGTGTTCCTTTCTCTTGTTCCTGCATTTTGATGCCGCAACTTTGTTTCTTTCTCTTCTCACTCGCCTTCTTTCCTCCTCCTCGGGAGAAAGCTGGAATAGTTACATTTTGGCAAAGTTAGGTGTGCCATTATCAAAAATACTCAACTATCACCGTCGCCATTTTTCGAGCCATTTATCTCTTCGAAGCCATTCAATAGCGAGCGATCCAGCTTGGCTCCTACCAAATTATCACACGAGAACAGCAACAAGACGTAATACCAGGACAAAAATAGAACGGCCTGAGCAAACAGTAAATCTTGAGTCATTCGAATATAAATCCTATGAGCAGAGCACTGTCATTAACTTACTTAAGTTGGTTACTAAAGTAACTTATAAATAGCAAGGGACTCGAGAAAGCTCCTTTCTCTTGTGCGGCCAAAAGCTCTGCTGCAAAATTGGAAGAAAGCAAAACACTTATTACCTTGTTCATCATAAAACTGACCGGGCTGTCGTCCAATTTGAAATGTTCATGCTTCATTGGATGTAAAGGCATTCCTCCAAGCTCGTATCCCTGGGGAGCTGTATCACCGTACCCATAATCCACCATAGTCATTCCACGTGCATCGTGTCCCATGCGACATTCCTAAGAATAACAAATTATTAAGCATCCAATAAGTAGGTCATGCCGTTAGGAAAGAACTCCACTTTGAGCGTTATTCTAATTCATTATAGCTATAAGAAATTGTATAATGAACTAATACCTAAATGGTAATTAGAAATGTAGAAACAAATTGGTTATGGACGGATATCAAGAGGATGCGAAAGACTGTTAAAAGATTACTTTTCCTAATTTCTATTTAAGTATAGATTCAGTGCCAAAGGCCAGTTCTATCATTTTACCTTCATGCAAGACCCTTATTGATAGCAGTACTTCATTGTACTGAAAAGGCCTATCTTGTTTAAATAAATATTATGATTATTATTATTATTATGTCATTGAAATTTATTTTACCTGTTAATGGCATCGAGTGTAAACTATAAGTAACAGTTCTACACACCAACGCATAAATTCTGTCTATACGGCAACGAACGTCTACATAAAACCGGTTACCAGTAATCTATAATTTATCAGACAATTTCATAGCCTATGGCTTTTAAATAGATTTAGACAACAAAATGCTATCAACTATGGTATTGGCTCAAAGTCGCCTCAGATATAAAGAACGAGTTTATACCGAATGCAAGAATACCTGTGCATACATTTTTTATCGGTATTTGTAAAATGTCTGACAAAATACAAACTGTTTAGAAATAGTTTGTTACCATAACCTGCAGTTGCCTTTCGAGCAAAAAGGATTCGACTTTGAAGGTTTTTTGCAATTAACATTTCATATATTGTTACTGTACTATAAGTACTATAGTAGAGCGATTATAGCCAGAAAAATCAAGGAAACAAAGGAATCATAAACATCAAAGAAATTTTTACGTAATCTTTAGATATATCAGTCCTTTTGAGAATTTGAAATTCAATTTTATAGAGAATAACCCCTACTAGAACGGCAGCTCTTACACACCTAGGTGAAATTTACTTATTCTAATTTGAAATTGAGATTTATGATCCTAGTTTCTTGATACACGCGTTCCTCCGTATAATCTGAAACAGTGGCGGAAATTATGGGGGTTTGGGGGGGCTCGGGCCCCCCAATCAGCGATGTCGTCGGAAAATTCGGACTTTTGTCGGATAATTGACAACCTTTTAACGGGTCGAAATTACTCCAAGAAATTGTTCTGAAAAGGAATTTTAAGCTAATCTTAGGGGCGTAATTGCCAAATTTTCTGCTCGCTTCGCTCGCAGCTGATCTACATTTTCCCTTTTTACCCCAGGAGCCTCTATAACCTCTCTGTGCCCTTTTTGCAAAATTTGAACATAGCATAGCTGATAAAACATTAGCCAGTACTAAATAATCAATCAAATGATATATGAACAAAATAAAAGAAACTGCTTGTGAATTGTATATTTGATTTCAATTCCGTAAAGATTAGCCGAAATTTCCATCGGATTCTTCTGAATAAAAGTTATTTTCAAACGTATTTCCCACTGACGAAAACAAGATAAAATGCATGAAATGAACGTACAACTTATCAAAAGTGTAATCGGTCGACCTCTTGTATCATCAATTGTCTTAGATGAGATATCGATCTTGATATAAAAAATAATTAATGGATTGTTCTTTTTGCTACTTAATTATGGTGTGGTCAGGAAAAATTTCCCGTCAAATTACCTATTTTTATCAAATGTGCAGTTTCTTTAAAATGAGACATGATCCAAGATGTTATCGTGTCGGAAAATTCTAGGCCTGAGCCCCTACAAATGAAAGCCTGAATTTCCGCCACTGATCTAAAACCCTTGCTAAGGCTGCAGTTGCGACTTAGGCAATGATCGATTTTGCATTCATGGGTCCTTTTATTGACTGGCTTGTGTTCCAAAGCACACAAACAGCCCGGCTCACAAACAAACCTGGCATAATACGTTCTACCCTTGAAATCAAAGAAAATTACCTCTGGATAATCTGGAAGCATTTGGTCCATCATTATGTGCAACATACAGCTCTAAAGAAAGTATTTTTCAGTTAATGCGAGACTTGAAGACGGAGTAAATGGTGATTTTCTTAGGCTGCCGGCCAATCTGCTTGCCAAGTCTCCGAGCAGTTGTGCAAAGGCCGTGATACCCTGCTTGTAAATATGGTGGCAAAGTGCTATCTCTCTAGCTAACCCAGATCAGATGCAAGACTTCTTAATGAGAGTGTACGTACTTTTTTATTGTTAAACCAGACGTTGTGTTCACCTTTGCATGTGGTTTTATATAAACGTGCTCATAGCTGGTCCTACTTGCCGACATTACAGCTCCGTTTTAGTACTCGGCTGTGCACGATGCGTAACCGAACCACCAAGCAGAGCGTAAACACGAATTTCTGTCACACGCGTCGGTTCACACCGCATATTTGCATCCTGGATAGTAAAAAAGCCTTATTGCAGAAAAGTGCAAAATAGTTCTCACGCTGAAAGGAAGCGAATTGTCCAAAATTGTGTAATTTGCCATATCAGTTGCTGAACCTTATCTTATAGAATCTTCGATATACAAAGCATCTTTTCTGGAAGGCTGGAAGGCTGGAGATAATTTAACCAAATATCTCTCGATTTTGCAATTTTACCCGTCATCTGGGGGCTGTTGCTCCTTAATCCCCGCCATATACACCCATTTTATCTATTCCCCTGGCTTAGCTATACATCTATGCATACTTATGTGTTACTTTTCATACAACCTGTAAGCCGTGTTTGGTGGGATAACCTAAACAGATAAACCTTTGGCATTCGGGTATTTTTCTTCATTAGTACGTTTCCAGAATGCCGTAGTAGTGCACAAATTTAATCTCACCCAACATAAAATGCTGATGTATTTGCAGCTAAATATTTTATATCATCTCATCATTATTACTGTTATTTACAGCTTTATTTTCATGTTGACTAAAATATTCAAACATAATGAAAAATTCGCAGTAAGCAAAAAAAATTCAACTAGCAGTGGTGAATATAATTAATTTTCTTCTTATTGGCTTCTACTGTCCTTTTCAAGACATTAGCCTTACCACTCTTTTTTCCGCTTGTTTCACTCGTAGTCGTTCTCATTCAGTTCGTCCACTGTCCTGCCTATTGGCTGCAAACCGTTATTCATTTGCTTACTTTATGTGTGTTTTGGTCTTCCTCTGTTACCTTTCGCTTTTTTCAGATGTTCTTTGAAGGCTAATTTTGCTGGTGTTATATCTGGCAACCTTAGCATGTTTCCAAACCATTTTAAACGTCGCCTCTTTATTTCAGTCGTGATTTGTTTTTGATGCGATCTTTTGTGTATTTCTTTATTCTTTGATTTCTCCATTAATTTGACGTTTAACATTCTGCGTAGCAGTTTTCTTTGGAAGCTTTCTTGTAATTTCTTTGTTAGGGTTCAGATCTTACATTTTTACAGCAACATTTGATATATAAATATGTTATGTATTCTTATTTTTAGCCTTAAAGAAAGTTGTTTGTTTCTAAGAATTCCTTCATATTTTTTAAAGGCATCAATTGCTAGCCCCTTTCTTCTTTTTATGTCCTTTTCTATGTCATTGTACATTCTAGATATTTTATGGTTTTCCACTCATCGTTACCAGCTGCACCAACACAAAAATCTTCTGTATTTTCAGTATTGATGTTAAAGTTTCCTTACTTGTCCTTCAATATAAATAATTATAAGAATAATAAATATTTGTTTAAAGTTGGCGTACAAGATCAAAGTCTAATAGCTATAAAGAAGCTAATTAAGGCCAACTATCTATGAACAATTAGTATAAAATGAATATATGGCACAATGTTAAATTATCTTTAGGGTATAATATTCTAAATAAAACCAAACCAAGCAATAAATATTCTGCATGTTCTACAATAAAATTCTACAGGATATGCTCTTAATTCGTTTGAAATATTGCTAATGATTGTGACTCTCTTATACTGTGAGGTAGTGTTGGCCACAGTTTTTCACCTAAATATCTCACAGTTTCTATACCATAAAAAGTTGCCCTAGCTTTTGGAATGCCAAGATTATTTCTATTTCGCAAATCATAATGCATATTTCTTGCTTCAAAAATCTCACTTATCAAACTAGGGTTCAGGTTATGTTTGGTTTTGTATATTTCTATCATCAAGTACTGTAGATTGCGTTGGTGAATGGATACTGCATTGTCCAATGTCAGCAATGTATTTTAGTCGGCATGACTGTCTTTATAAACAATTCTGAGTGCTCTTGCTTGGCACTTTAGCACTCAGACATCCAAATAAGAGCAATATTAAGAATCATTGCATGATAAAGATGAACTAGAAAACTTTGAAAATCACACTAAAGAAAAGTGTAATTGGCACAAACGGCAGTGGTATTTAAGTAGATTCAAAATTCTGATTTTCAATTCGAAGCCACTCAGGAAAGTAGAAACTTTTGCACTTGCAGGAAATCTTTCTACTTTAGGGAGTAGTAAGACTTCATTTCATTTCTAAGACAAAAATGCCATACCAGATCTAAAGAGGCAACGACCCAATGTCAAGAGAGAACAAAGAAATGGCATTACGTCATGTGAAATAGACTCAATGAGTACTTTGAGATTATTCCAATTCACATTGGATTTTGTTTTGTTAATGGTGTTTTTTTGACAATTGGTCCAACAATTTTATCTTGACACAATATCATCTAGTTTTGATACAAAATGGTGGATCCGAGATGAAATTGTTTTAACTTTTTATTCTATGCCAATTTTTTCATATTTTGAGACAATTGCTTGTTATCAACCAGTGTTACTGGAGTTGCATCACAATGAAATATGATGTAAATTTGTGAAACAGCACTTTTCTAAACATAAGCGGGAAACTGCATGAAATAGAACACAACCACATTCATTAGATGTCACAACAAATGCCCACATCGTCCCAACAAAAAAGTATTCCCGGGCTATATAACCTTGAGAACTTTTTTAATCACTATAACAGGGAGAATCGTCTTTGCGTTTCATATCATACTGTAAATGGTATATGCCATGGCTGTGGTAAAGCTTTTAAGCTGGATATGCGTTGTTATCACATGGAAAAGCGGAGGTGTCATGGCGTCTAAGTCATTTTTCTCGGGTAGGTTAATAAAGAATAATGTTTCGTATAAGGTTAAGCCTATTTCTAAAAACTATTGATATATTCTAATGACTTTTCTTAACAAATCGTAAGAATTTAGGCCCTAAGAAGATTTTCAGACTTATTTAAAATTATGACATTTTGAGACTTACAAAATTTGATTATAACTGGTTTGATAACTATTGTAACTTGAAAATTTTGCCATCTTTCACTGCCATCATCTTTTCTTCTATTCAAAGGAAAAGTAAACCTGTGAAGAGACAATTAATTTGTGAGTTTAAGTTCATTTACTTAAGAATTTTTTAAGAAAACTAGCATTTCTAAAGAGCGATTCACGTCTGCAAAGCTGTATGCCATAATTCGAACGCATTTGGAACAGGAGGCCTTTGCAGAAAATACATAAGTTGTTTATATGCAAATTCTGTTACTGATCTGTCATAAAGTACTCGGTGCTTTACAGCCAGAGCCGTACGAGCTTCTCGTGTATAGAAGAGGACGTTTCTAATCTGCTTCAGTAAACAGTTAATTTTTTTTATACACAGGAGAGCTCTTAAACGGAGAGGCAGCAATTGTTCTTCCTTGTGCTAACAGGCCAGACGGAAGGTATGCGACGGCTAATGCGTTTAGATATTTAGAATGCAAGAATGGTATCTCGAAATTCCATGACTGCGGGAAAGGAGAGATTTTTGTTCCTACTTGCAGGAAATGTCTTGTTCAAATAGAAAGCCAACAAAGTAAGTGCATATTAGGCATTCAGTTGTGAAACGTTTTCTCAATTTCTTGGCTCAGGACCTCCGATGAAGGGAGGGCCGGGGGGCCTTGGCCCCCCACTTTTTTGCAAAGCAATAGATTTCTTTTAAATTCTTTTGTTATGGGTGTTAAATTTTCCTTTGGCCCCCCCCCCCACTTTTCAACCTTTGTCGGAGCCCATGTGGCTACGTACCTTAGCTAGTTCAACTACACTTTAAGTGCCATAGAATCAATAAATTTCCTAAAAATGATATTTCATTTTGGTGTTTGAGCACTCTACGCTTATCCATACTGTCAAATCCCCATGACATAGTGAAAGCTGCTTCCGCACCCCTTACATTCAGTTGGACTTGTCACAACTGCCTGCTCTTTTCAGTTTTGTATATTCCTTACCACTTTTTGAGTGATTGCTATAGGGGCAGAACAAAATCTCAAATTCATTTTTCAGTCACTGATAAAACTCTGATTAAAAGTTATACTTTTCGGAACAAGAAAAGACTTTGTGATGGAGAGAAAATATATGAACGAAAGAAAAAGAAAGGAAAAACATGACTAATTAATTGGCAATATAAGCTTTACATTTTTAATGCTACAAGATAAATGAGCTGCAATATTCAAAACTGCAGCAATTTCATATCCCCATTAAATCTTTTCTGGAAATTTTTTTCCTTTCCTACCTAAGCTGCTGTGCAACCCTCTCCCCTATATACATATCCATAACGTATCAATTTATTTGATTAGTTGGTAAAAATATTCTGCTTCACGTTGGTCAAAATACCAAAATCATCATACTCCCATTTGTTACCTAACAGGCTCATTTTGTCAAGGAAGAGTGGCGACATCACCCGTTGGTAGACTCATAAGGTACCAAAATCCATGGAACTGCAACACGTGGTATGAGTGCCTTTATGGCATTCCAAATGAATACCGTTGCCGAAGAGGTTTGAGCTTTAGCCCAAAACAGCAATACTGCGTCATGAGCGCTAAAGAATGCAGACTGGCATACAAAACAGGTATAAAATAAAACTTTGCAAACATTCTTCATCCGCCCACTGCTTTACGCTATCATCGCACTGCAAAAATCAATCCAAGGCCAAAAACCCTCGTAAATTCAACTAAGTATAGCCAGCGGAGAGAAAGGCTAGGTACAATTGAGAAAACATAATTTTCTGGATAACACGCTGCATTCCTCATGGACGTGCTGGTTTTTAGAAAGATGCTATTGCTCTCTCACCTTTCCTTGAATCACAGTATTCTTCGTTTCAGCCCCACATTCGCTTTATTTATTCACCGGAAGGCCGTCAAAAGTCGATGCTTCCTTCTTATGGGCAGATGGCAACATTATGCTTATCGATGGTTCAACCTATTTCAAATTCGACAAACACAGTGGCTCTCTGTTACGTGGCTTTCCTTTAACAATGATGGACACAGATTTGAGTGGAATACCTCCCAACATCGATGCTGCTTTGAGTCTACCGGAACAAAAAACGTACTTTTTCAAACGGGGAAAGGTTTGGCAGTGGGGGTCAAACGGAATGCCAAAGCGAATTTCTGACGATTGGAGTGGCATACCTGATGACCTTGACAGTGCTTTTTATTGGCCGTACAACCACAAAGCCTACTTCTTCAGGGGTGAATACTTCTACAGGTACGAAAGATAATATGTGTTAATGTACCTTCTTCTATTCTTTAAAACTCCTAAGGCTCTGCTAATAAAAGGAATACCTATGGTTTAAATGAACATCAGGATAAGATACAAAAGCTTTTTTACACATTGTATTCAGGTAAAGCAAATTTCAAAAACGCTTCCTTTGTTTGAAGCAGTAACCAATCTAGACCAATGAACGTCCAAGGAAATCGTCTGATCTAGACAACAATGGACGTTACTGCACTAAACTTGGAAGTTACTGCATAAGAAGAATCTAGTGTGTATCTAGCAACCTTTTTAAATTTTGTGCCCCTACACTTACTGTCCGTTTTTTACTGAGTCAATTTTACTTTTTGTAGTAGATTTAGCTTTATTCTATTGAAAGTCTTTCTTAACATTTAAATAAACCTGTTCTGAAAGGGTTCTTCTATCAATTGAATTTAGATATGACATTGGCGAGAAAAAAGTTGACTATGGGTACCCAAAACTCATTGCGTCTGGTTGGCCGGGTGCATCACCAACAATAGATGCTGCGACGAGCTTGAAAAATGGGACAGTGTTTTTGATCAAGAAAAATAAAGTATTTACCTTCCACCCACCTGTTTGTAAAGAAGAAACAACATTTATCGATGGTCTCAAGAAAGATTGTAAGTCATCTTTTCTTTGTTTCAAAAAGTACTTTCTTGGAAAAATTCATAATTTTGTCTGCTAAAATGCCACTTATTTTAATTGCATTGGGTTCTCATATATTGTAAACAATATCGGTAGAGAAATTGTTAAATTATGATTGCAGCCATTTTTCCTTTTTATAGCAATCTTTACCAAAACCTTTAAATAATTTTTTCGAATTCTCTTTTTCAGTATTTCTGTCTTGGTGGCATCATGAATAAAGGTCTTGGAAACAAGGATAGGGACAATTTCACAATTTAGTACAATAGTTTTTTGTTTGGACGTTTATCGAAGCTCTTTACCATCATCAAGGTATGCTGCTTCATAAATCTTTGATGCAAAATTGCAGCTGCAAGAGCCTTACGTTAAATTTATTGTTATTAATAAATCATTATTGCTAATGTTTATCATAAATGTTGTCAATGAACCTTATAGTTATTATTGTATATAAAGGAAAAGGACTCACTTGAATCATAGATGCTTGTAATATAATTCTGGTAAACTGAGATGTGCTTAATTGATTCAACACTGTGAAACGTACTTACATGGTTTTGATGTAAAATTTTGCTTTAAAGGATAAAATTTTTTATTTTTTAAGTTATTTATATTAATAATGCTAATAATATGGAAAAATTTGGATATGCACCCAAATTACCCATCCCAAACAATTTTTTTCTGATCGCAAAAACTCTCGTGGCATTTGGATTGAGACAGTCAATTGTAAATTTTACTTTAAGTAATGGCCCCAGGGTAGTCATAGCCTTTGCTTGCCAGGACATCGTCCCCTGTATTGTTTTATAGTAGTTTTTGTTAGTCGTGTAGTCTGTAATATATATTATAATATTTGAGTAGAATGATTAATATAAATTAAGATATTTATTGAGAAAGTACGCTGTTATACCTTTGTTTGTAACATATAGAATAGAAACTTTTACCCCTATCTTTTTTGAGATGAACCAAACCGGCTCAAATGTATTGTGATTTTAGACCAAAGACAACACCCAAGCACTTTTACAGTATTTGTTGTCGCAGTATCAGATCTAAATGCACAGCATCTCTTCTAGCTTTTCAAACTGTGTCATCGTAATTTGTTTGGTGTTCTTTTTGTACACCTTTATGGGGTGATTGCCACGTGGGCGACAAGCACTCTTATCCGCCAATCAGAATCCAATCAATACATTTCAGGCCACAGTTAAGAAGAGTGCCCCTTTGAAACTCATACCTATAAGGGCATAGTCAAAAACAGTCTCGTTTTTCATGCATCAATCTTATTTTAAATTGATCTTCTTTAAACAAATCGGTTCAGAAATACTAATTCTACATTCATTCTAAAATTACTAGTTGTTCTACATTTAATTTCTTAAAAAAGACTGCTTCCAATACCATACGACGGACACTGAAAGAAACAGAAATTCGAGCACGGGAATAGAAGATAGGAGCGGAAAAGCGAAAAAGCGTCTATCTGGGAAGAATGAAAAGTACTCCTCCTTCTTCTCAAATAGATGCTCCTCTGCTTCTCCAATCCTACCTCCCATTGTCTCACTCGAAACTTTGCAGCTCTGGTACCCAGGGTAGAGGACAACGGTGTTTTTGATGCGTTTATCAGTTCAGTTCGAGGTAGACTTCAAAAAGCAAAATTTCAAGTTTTGAGAAGAATTCTACGATGCCTAAATTGCATGTGTACAAGGCCATCTTGACAAGTATTTCTTAAATAAACAGATAGGGAAGTGAACACCATCAAGGTAGAGCATTAGCAATTGAAGCTCGTCTTGAAATGTGGCCTAACAAACACTCGTGAACATTGGCTGTCAGAGTTGAAATTCACAATTTATTACGGATGGGTCTTTACCTAGTGGAGGTTTGTCAGAGTATTGCGTGAAAGATGTTTGAAAAGGCCTTGCCAAAACAGAGAAATATTCGCCTACAAAGAAGGCCTTCTGTAGCTTTAATTAAGGTGAATTTTGCTTACATAGCAATAATTAGTATAGCGATGATTATAATCTCCTCTATTTCTACAAAACTGAATCTCACCTCGTTTGGCAGCAAGGAAAAATATACATAGAGCTTGAAACGTGACCAAGATCACTGCAGAATTCATTAAGCTTTTGGCAAAGTGTACTAAAATCTTTTTATCGTTGTTCAAGGGAAGTCATCTGCTAATCTCATGGGAGTGCACTAGGAAACTCTTATGGGAAGAAAATGTTTCAAAATAAAAGTTTGCCGTAACAATAGATTGCGAATTTTATGATCTCGTGGGATAGTCTTTGAACGTTGTCATGCCGTGATGCGAGAAAATTAGCATAATTAGAAATGTTCAGCAAGGCATTGTTAAAGCTAGTTGACAGAGAGGAAGTTAGGCCATTTAATATCTTGACCATTCAAACTTAATTGATTTCAGAATAATATCCTAATACATCAATTGATGATTGAATTTTAGTTTCCCCTTTAGAATGACTCAAAACGTGAAGTAAAATCAATGAAAACGATCAATAAGGTTATTTAGGGACCAAAAAGGCAGCATTTACAAGTCTAGTCAAGACATGTCTTCTCTGCCACGATTGAACTCATCCATGATCTACCTCCAGTGCGAGTTAAATCCGCTAACAAACTCTAGCTTATTATTCAGATAAATTAAATAAAAACAATTTTTGATAATGAATTACATAAATAGATGCTTAATTCTATTTCTTGAGAGAATTTACCAAAAAATAAAATCTGCGCTATTCGCATTGTAACAAACAAAAATAACTTTTTCGATTCTATTACACGAGCGACTCTCAAGATTAGAATGCAAAAATGAAAGTTAACTTTCTGAAAGACTTTTCACGCTGATTCTTGAGACGAACTATTTGGATGCCAAAACTACGCTTCGCAAACGTAGCAAGCAAGCACGGGAGGCAGAATCCTTTATTTGAAAGCAATTTGTCAGCTTTGAAACGACTCCAGACCTATCTGAGGAGTGCTTCGATTCTCTTTTGAAAAAGCGACTACAGTTTCTTACAAACAGTTGCTTTTTGGAAAGAAAAACCATGAGAGTGGGGATTTTAAAGTTTTACTCGAACTTCCATATTTCTGGTTAGAACCATTTCTTTTATTTTGTGGAGTACATCTCCCCTATTCCTGCATTATCTAAGGTTTCCCAGTTTCCTGTACAGAAATCTACATGAAACAATAGTAGCCCCCCATCCCCCTCCATTAGTGGATGGCACTGCAAAATCTCTTTTGATTTCTGAATATTTTTACCATTAAATGTGATGAACTGCCATTTAAATATGAACTTGGATATTAACAGTAGACATAAGAATTCCCGCCCAATCTCAGTTCCACGAAATTGATCTACGACGCCATGTCCTCATCTTACCCACGATCAAGTGCCAACGAACCAAACATGCGACAGCGCATGCGCGAAAAGGAGCAGCAAAAATATCAACATCTCGAAAAACCCTTGAAGGAAGCCTTGGAGGGGCTCGATCATAAAATTAAATAATTTCCCTATAAGAGTCCAATAGATAATTGTAAATAGATAATACTGTTTCTTATTTCATTTTAAAAGTTGCTCTCCTCTTGAATAGAAGACTTTTCAGATGCACTGTTCTTCTCATCATCATCATCGTCTTCATCTTCAGTTTGTTTTGAGGCCGGCCTAGATGACAAATCGTCTTCGAAGACGTCTCCTCCATGCTGCATCGTTACCTTTTGCTTTTCACAATCCTTTGATAAAAAATAAAAACTCTAATTTAAAATATGCAAACAGCAGTCTCTTTTAAATCATAAATTTAATATTTCGAGTTTACTCATTAATGGAAAGTTTAGGTCCACGAGGTGGCATTAAAAAATTGTGCTAAGTCAGGTATTACCAGGGCATTATAAACATCTACATAAACGAGCCAGGGATGTGAAGCTTCTTAAAATAGACTAGATGACAGCAAGTGAAATGAAAAGCAAGTGTTAGCTTGATGGGAAGATACTGCTATATAAACACGAATGACATTGAAATAAAATCTTACCAATTGTTTGTTTGAGCCACTATGTATCAAGGATTAATTTTTCAGTGGGAACACAACTATTTGAACGGATGACAAGGAGTGCATCGCAGTACAACATAGATAGGAAAAGGTTTAGTGCTCATGATGACAAGAAAATCAGATCTTTATGAAGAATTTACATTCATATGTTGAAACACTTTTATAATTTATTGATTGTCAGTTAGCAATTTATGAATAATTTAAACAAAATTAAATTAGCTGTTTAATTTCGCCCCATTTTAATGTCTGAGTGTAAACGAGAAACAAGACAAGTAATAGGTCTCGCACTGTCAAGGTGATTTGTAGATCGTTTCCTTACCTGACAGCCTTGCACTAAACAAACAATGGCAGAGTGAATCGACGAACCAAAAAGACTCACTTCATCGTCGTTCTATTTAATTGATAAAAACTCAGTTAAAATCGTACCTACTGGCATTATAAATTCATCATTAAGATGAAATGTAAATCTGTCGATTACTTCAGAAAGTAAGCTGATAAGTATTTGATATCGAAAAATTACATTATTGAAGCATAAAGGATGCATGTAGTACACTATTTTTAATGTGGGCACAATTCAACCAGAAATTTTACAAATCAAAACATGCATCTATGAGATTAGTTTTAGTCGATCTAAAAATTTATTCAATCTATTTAGGACTACTCTTTTATAGTTGAAAAATGGAAGGAATATACTTCAATCAATTAAAATCAAATGAAAGTTTTTTATAATGAATTTATTATGTAACGATTCTGAAATTTCATTCTAATATGCGATGTTTTTAGATTTAGATTTCTCGAAATACATAAATACTAAACGAGTTTCAAATACCTCATTTGAAAGATTTTCATTGAAATCTTCAGTGCTGCTATCAGAATCGACAGGTTCATCTCCAAGATCAACTTCGTCTGAGTTTGATGGAATCGCGAATCTTCGGTTCACATACTTTGCAAGTATGAAATTTCGCCTCTCGTCCCTAAAAGCAACACTGTCACCTTATAGTTTTCTGCGGAATTAGCTAAGCTTACAAATGAGTGAAAAATTTTCAATACACAGAGAGGATGTTGTGACCAGGAAATAAAAAACCTGGACCTATCATTTTCTTGGAGATTGGCCTAGGCACAGCCGTTACAAGGGCATTGTACAGAGCCGTATATAATTAACTCTTTTTTAAAAAATGCAGCACCCATCTTTCTGTTTAAAGCTCTTTTTCGTTCTTACAACGTTGCTATGCAAACATGAACCTTCTTAAAAATCCACAAATTGCAAATTATGAGGAAAAATTAAACCATTTCCATTTTAGAGACTATTTCCATTGGTTCACCCTTTCTGTATTACCCTCTTTAATATTACCCTCTTCAACGGGCTGTCTGTTCATAGACTGTAGTTGTGTAAATAAATATATACTTTGTTCTCGATGCACAACACTTGTCGGGCTTTTTTTACCAAGATACCCTGTCCGCCCCCCCCTTCCAATAAGCAAGCAAACATTTCTGCACTGGTACTTCCATACCACGCGTGTGCACTTTTCGCACTGTACAAGGTAAATGTAAAAACATATACAAACTTTGATGAGTTACGCGTCGGCTTGACGATGTTTCCAATTTTCCCTTCTAGAACTTTATTCACGCGTGCATTACCTCGCTCTTCCATATGCTGCAAACAAATAAAATTTGCTATTACAAAACTGAGCTTTGTAGTCATTGTCTTACGCGGTTAACAAGCATCACATACATCGAATACATCGCAAAAAGACAAGAACAGCCGTTGATTTTCGTTGCGACAATCTTTTAAATACTGCACTATCAAGATTGTGTTATTACAATTTGTTGATACTTCGTTGCAGCAAAATCTATGGCAAAACCATTTCTATGTCTGGCAAAACTATAAATGGATGATCTGATCGGGCCATGTTTTGAATACAAAACTAAAATGCAAAAATACAACACAACGTGATCAAGATGCCTCTGAAGCACAACACACTTTAGTTGCCTCTGAAGCACAAAACGTTTCCTCATGCAATAAAGTGTAAATGTCTTACTTTGACCAGATCTTCATGCCAACGATCAAGTGTCAGAGACTTTACTTTCGATATATGGACACCCATTCCCCGATGCATACCTGAGCATTCGATGCAAAACACAACACCCAAATTTGTGCTTGCCCAATCAGGTCCTGTTGAGTCAAAGACAATTTCTTTAAGGCTAAAACAATGTACTACAAACTGAAATATAGGGGCTACTTAGATCTAAACTATGAAGAAAATTACAATAACTGTCGCCTTCTTTAGCACCCGAAATTGATTAAAATTTTTGACAAAAATTAGTTAAAATTAGAGGTCAGGAACAAACGGCTTTTGGACTTCTAAAGAACCTGCACCCCTTATTTCAACACTCTCTGTTTGATCAACGAAAACGATTACCTAAAAAATCGAAATGCCCTCGTGAACACTTTCTACAATACTCTAACTTCGTTAGTGGTCGATCTTTCTGTTTATATAACCCCCTGTTTATCAAATCCTGGACTATGTCATATCCGCCCACCCCCTCTGCTTATTCCATTCTTCAGTGTTATGTTCACCCTTGCTCAGCCAAAAATCCAAGACTCATTATTGATCAATAGCGCGAAAATAAATCATAAAACTGATACACAATTATATTGTCCTGGTCTTTGCTTTCTTTTTGGGCCCCTTTATCGTGTTCTCAATACTCGCAAAATTTCAATACATTTAACATTTATACAATCCAATACATTTATACATTTGTAGGCTAATGACTACTCACTTGGTGCTGAGCAGTCAGCACATTCTTTGTTTCCTTCAACGGCTCTGATTCTTTCAGCTGCATTTTGGACAACAGGTGCCTTCGCAAGCTTTGCTTCCCTTTGGGTCTTTGACCGAACTAAAGTCTGACATGAGACAAAATTCTATTAAATGCAAACAAACTTCAAACTAAAAGCTAACTATGTATACTAGGGTCAATTAGTGATTTTAGAAAATCGATGAATCAAACAGTCTTCAATTCTCTCCGAATGGGAACACAGAGATTTTCTTCCATGAATCTCACGTTAGTAACTTTATTCATATTTGCCTTTCTGTAATAAGCCAGGAGTTTTGTTCTAGTCAGTTTATTTATGAAAATTCTGTTAACTAACTAAGCCATAATAACAATATGTCAAATCACTGTATACACATGTTCAAATAACCATTGCGGGAAACATAAAACAATAATAACTAATTGTGAAACGTAAGATAAACCTACTCTAATCCTCTCCTGAGACAGATTCAACGCAGCACCAACTCCTTCCTTTGATAAAACAGAAGCACAGTTAACAACTTTTTGAAATATACACATCACGAGCCTCAACATAAATTCTTACGTCATGATCATACCGGCAAAACCATTAAAGCTCAATATAACAAATAGGACATACTTGGCAATAGAACAAAATGAGTTGATGGGTATAAATGTGGATAAATTAGTTACATCTTGTATGTAGTTACGTATCATATTTTGCAACCCAGTGATAAATGTATCAAAAATGATTAATATCAGTGGTCTTAAATGTCAAAGTAAAATTACCTGGATTGCTTGCATCCATTCTTTCATATTTTGGGCTGAATGTGCTTGGAATGAAAATTCTTTTGTGGCCGTGATTATCTGGAATTGAATACAGAAATGATTTGAAAGAAACTTTGGAGCACAATTGATCTAAATTGATCGAGAAAACAAACTGTTCGCGGCAAGGTGAATTTTCTTAAATATGAATGTCTTTGTTTATAAGCATGAGAAAAAGTAATTGCCGCTCCATATTTCTTCTACAAATTTTTTGGAGGATGCTTGAAAACTCGAATTAATACTTTTCCCTCATTTTTCATGATCTAAATTTCTAAATCAAAACCAATCGGGCTTTTGCCTAACGGTCGACCCATCAAGTGGTGTCGTCAAGTGCTTCTATTGTACTGTCTCAAATAGTTTGTTATTGTAAAAGTTTTAATTCAATAGAATATGTTGAAAGTTGAGACTATAGAAAACACCTCTTTACGGTTTTAAAGTACATTGCGATAATAAGTCTATTGCATCGAGTACCTGTGACATGCAAAGCAAGTTTTTGTTAGGATGAAAAGCATCTCTATTCAAGTGCTGGCCCACTGGAATGCTTGGGAAAGTACCCTGGAACCTGACACCACAAGGAGCCCGGTTTAAATGCGAAAAAATGGGTCTACGTGAGTTTGAACTAAAAGCAGTATTTCTGAGCTGGGCAAACGAAACGTTCATGCAATAGTCTTGGTTTAGTCCCTATTAAATCTCATAAATTACATTCTTGGTCAATTTTGCAAGCCGAATGGGTGGGGTGTTCTGATAATTTTCCATGTCTAATAATAGAGGGTTATATTTCTCTATAGGCCTACTCACGCACAAGAGGCATCCTACCTGAAAACAAAAATTGCGATCTGTTTCTTCAGAAACACATTCTTTGACTGTCGAGAGCGTGAGATTCGTGAGTAGGTCTGCTTCCTCCTGATCATCTCCCTGGGCTAGGATATTCCCTTGCTTCTTGTCAACAATTATGTACTAAAAATGACAAAAGAATAAAAGTATAGTTACAAAAACTAACCCTTAAAATAAATACCCAGAAAGTCAGTTACGTATTTCATGACACTGACAAGGTAAGTAGGTGTATATTTTGATACAATCTCTGACAACTTGCTACAATTTCATCGCATCGTATGTATTTCGTTACATGTGAAAGACAGATGTATAAAATTGGCTTTTTTTCTTTATGTAATAAGTGAACAAAATGAAAACAATTTGAAAATAAGTCAACAATCATTAGTGGTAAAATTCGAAAAATTCTGGCCTAAATTTTATTACTGAATGAATAGAGCGAAGTTACGTAGCAAAATATACTCTACCACTAAAGGATATCGATTCCTGATCGTCCCTTTCTGCTTTATTCTCAAATAGCCTTTCTTGTAATGTGGATCTACACTATCAGCACGTGGCCTAAAATCAAATTTGAGATGTGACATGCAACTAGAAAGCTAGTCCAGTAATTAAGTGAAATAATTAATCCGAAAAACTTTGGCATATAAAGCTTAACCAACAAAATTGATGCGATATATCAGTTGTGCTAAATAAGTAAAAATGATTGACGCAAAAAGGCTGTCTAGTATCATACTGTCCTGAAAATCAAATTTGAAAATAATATCTTCAAAATCCAATACTAAACAATTTTATTTTTGTATATAAAAACAAAAATATTTCCTCTAAATTTAACCAGCTCGTCAAACACTTAACATCCTGATTTTCGAGAACTTGAGTATCTAATTGATAGAAAATTAAAAAAATCTCGCCCAACGCAGCGCGTATCTTCCTTTTCAATTTCAAGAAATTTTCTCACACATAACACTCCGTTAAGATATCACTTCATTTTTGATAGATCCTTGAGAACTTTTTCCAAAATACCAAAAACTTTTCTTTATTGCATTCTTATGAAATGCAAAGCAATATAAAATAAATGCAAACTTATAACTTTTTAATGTACACTTCAACATACCTTGATACGGCCTCGTCTTGGCTAGCAGCCTCAAGCAGGTCTGTTAAACTTACAACGCTATCGTCATTCATTGCCCTATGGTGCTCTTCGACTTGAGCATCTGTCAGCGTTCCATCTTCAGATGGTTTCTGCATCGATGCGCCTAACTGATCAGCACTTTTTACCACGACGTTGTTACCTGACAAAGTAAATCACTGTCATGGAAAACCTTATGTAAATGCGAGCAAAATTCCAATTCGCTTATATGAAAAAGCACATTAAGGATATAAAGTGTTGAGAGTGCTGTTGTAAAGAAAGTTTTAAAACATGCATTGCAATAATATTCTTCGTTCTATACATATTATTTTGAAATTATTTCATCCAAAATTATTTTGAAAATGCAAAGCAATCTATACTTTGATAGACACTGCTGTCCGTCTTGAAACATTCTTCTAAAAAAAATACGAGACAGTTATTGTCAATGCACCATATTTTCAAAACAAATTAATTCTACAATTCACGTGCTTCCCACAAGGCCCAAAACAAACACTCACTTGCTTCATCGATCGACAAATAAAATTGAGAAGATTTGCTCTGTCCCTTGGAAGTGCCATCATCGAGCTCTCCTGCATTGCTAACAAATCCAGTTTGCTCTTCTTTCGATAAAACACTGTCACTGTGGACTTTCTTGCTTGGTTCATCAATCACTTCCCAATCTGGTTCCTATGATAATTTGTGGATTAATGAAATCCATTCAGACAGTCTACAATGCTAAAAAATCACCCAACACACGCTCTTAGCATGGAAGTAGAGCCTAACATTTACGCTCCTCCGAAATTCAAAGTAGACGTTTTGAAAGGAGGGTAACAACATTGGAGTAAGGGGAGCAAACTCTCAATATTCTCTGTTCATATACATGCATTCTGTAGGATGCACTAAGGTTTAATAAACTTTGCTTTGAAAAGATATAAAAATTAAATTAAAAAAATCAAATGGTGAGACTCAGAAGACATATAAATGTCAAACAATTGGAAAGTAACAATCAACACAAACTCGAATTGTGCATGAAATTGTTAAAAGTCTTCCAGACTGCGCTTTCAACAGATTTTCACAGATTTGCGCTGTTAATGTTGAAACAAGATAATGTTGAAAACAGATATGAAAATCTCAAAGCATGGCTTGCTACAAAATCAAGATATTAAATGTACGATTTAACTATAAAAAATATTATTAAGAGAAACAATAGAAAATAATTACTTCAATTCTTACCGGTTTGGTAGGTCCATCCTTTGACGTTTTCCCTCGAACGCCTGTGAAATAAGAAAATTTTACATTGTACTGAATCATTCAAAGCGATGAATAATGCCAGTTTAAATGTCCAAATTTTTTATTGTTTTAAATATCGAGTTGAATATAAGCTACAATTAAGTGAAGGAACAGCATTTTCCTCTCCATCCGCCAAAGAGCTCGACGCCGATCTAAAAACTTAGCTATTGAGTGAAACAAGCATGTATAAAACGTTAAAATTGTGTTAAACTGATAATCCCTGGACCAAAAATCGTTTGATTGCATAACATGTTTGATTCAAACATTTACAATATAGTTTGGGCGCCCTATAATCAGCTTTCTTTTTTTCAGCCTGAGTAGTTTTGACTACCGCATTGTACTTTGCCTATTCTCTACCTATCGCACACGTTTTGTAGAAGTACTGTTCATTGCTGTTTACAAATAATACTTGTATAGAACCACCAACATTTACTAAATCAATCAAGCTTCCTTTTTATGAATGGGTTTTCTTTCTCACATATACTTCAGGGACGTAATATTACAAAGCATTACAGCTTTAATTCAAGCAATATCCATGGAAGATGGTATACTATTTGCCGTAAATAAAGTGAATTAAGTGAACCAGAACGGCTACATCAGTAGTCCTAAAACTTAACTACAACTTGCTCCTTGAAAAAGAGACGTCTTCTAAAATGGCTGTATAATGGGCCTTTGATCAAAGAATTATTCTAAGTAACAGCTCTCCCTTTGCTTCTTCGTTGCTCAGAGTAAATCTTATATATGTCAGAGAAGCAAATTATGACCTTGTTAGAAAGAAAACATTTCAGGGTTCCAGGCAATTAATGGTACCAACCTTGAACCCCTGATGCTATCATTCCTCCAAACTTGGTGAAAAATCTCCCTGTACTTGCATTAATGGCATGCATTGCAGATGATCTGTTGGCAACATTTAAAAATTAAAATGCATTCTTAGTAATAACAATAATAACAATGTTTACACAGAGTAACTTCTTCAACACACTAAGTAAATTCATTGACAAATGCCCTGTATCTGAAACTAGTATGTATCTTAGATTAGATAGTTTGATTCTATACTGTGCGACATATGCTACGACATATGCAACATATTTAATGCTATGACCAAGACAACAAAAGTTTCCCCTCAATTTGGATAATTAAAAGAAAGAGATAAAACGATAGCAATTTCTCTGAAGCATGGCTTATAGTGCAATTATTATTTCTCTAATGAATATCACTTCGTTCCTACCCTGTGTGTCCAGCACCTTCTGGAAATGCCCTTTTCTCCATCTTTACTTCTTCTTCTATTTTGTTCATTATTTCATCTCTGGTTGAAATGTCATCTTTAACTTGTATCTAGAAATGAAACAACAAAGTGTCAAATTTCTAGCAAAGCAATCTTGATTTGCCATACACTACCAGTATGGTCCACATATCTATTAAACGACCTTAAATCAGTGGGTTGCTAAAATGTATAAACATGAAACTATACATGTAAATTTTTTTCAATTACACTTTCAAAACTCACAAAACAAAAAAGAAACATTTTCTATCTCATAATATAACATACTGAAAATAAGTTAACATATCTTGAAATTGTCACTACCTTACAAAACCTAAAACACAATGTATGATTCAAGATTCTACGTACAGAGCTCACTCTTGAATCAATGAATCACTGGGGGTCAATATGCCATAAAAATTAGACTGGGTTGGCTATTTATGTTTCCAACAGTTTAATGCCTGAGTATCAGGGAGTTTTTACCAGACTGGCTGTTACTTTTTTTTATCCTTCAACTCTATGGGAGGGGGCAGATGTAGCACCAAAAACAAAGAATCTACACAGTGTCTGAGAATGTAAGGCAAATAACTAGAGGAGAAGTTGTAAATGACTACCTCAAATTTCTCCAACTGTTTTGTTAATGAATCAAAAACTTCTGTCATATAAGGCTCAGTTTCTTTCAGGACCTTCAAATTCAAAGAATTGTAAGACTGTTAGCTTCATACAAAGTGAGATAAAGAACTGTTAAATAATTGATGGAAGCAATATTCACACAGTTTAAGATTATGCATTATAACAAAGGTGCTTCTAGAATAAACTTTTAATGATTTATCAAGAGTCATTTGAACAATTCTAAAGTTGAATAAACATAGTGATAATTAACTTCAAGTAGAAGCTTGTGATAAATCGAAAAGATTGATTATGGCCTGACCATTCTACCTGGTAGCTGAAATTGAAAAATGAATATTGTGCCAGCATATGCTCAAGAACTTTTCGCAGAACCATCAACTATAGAAAAGAAGAGAAATAAAATGTATCTAGAAGAAAAAGTGTATCATGGAAAGTAAAATATGTAACAATATATTACATAAAAATTAACACAAGAAAAAGACCTGTTTCCAAGATAATTTTTCCTGTAACTAGTAGAAAAGATGCCAAGTGACAATATGTTAGAGGAGAACTAATTTTTAGACTATTTAACAGTAAAATAAAATATGCCAATAAAACAACAATATGAACTTTAAAAAGTGATAAATACCTTCTTGACAGTATGAATCTCTCTTAAGACTTGGATGTATTTTGCAAGCTTCTGTTGGTAGTTTTCTTTGGCATTCAACATAACATGAGCAGCTTTGTCAAGCACACCAGGCTGTTTAGATGAATCAATCAAGGGTTACATTCATGAAAAGAACAATAAACCTTAACAGCTCCTTGTTGTCATTTTTGGTGCTTGTAGCAGAAGAGATGTGGAAAGAAACTTCATGGTGAAATAATCATTGTTGCATCTGCTACATAATAAGTAAATTGATAACTTTTTCTACACACTACAGAGTCATCATTATAAATATGCATTCAACTGAAAAAATAAGAATATTTTTCTTTGGATACCAGGATTAACAAGTATAAAATTTACAAACCTCTTGTAGATTTTTCTGGTTGGGAATGCTTGAAAATTTGTCCCAGGCCAGATGTAGTGTCTCATTTGCTTTTGTCACTTGGTGTTTCAGTTCCTTGGAAGTGACAAAATAAAACATGCAGTGAGCAGTACTTGAATTCATATTCATCAGTTTGCAAATTTATTTTGAAAACCAAGGATATCTAGTACCTTTTTATGGCCTTTAAAAGAAATAAGGATCTTATTTTTATGGTTCTTAAGCTAAAACACTTGTTGCAAGAATGGTTGGTATTGAAGAAGTAAACCCACATGTATGTTGCAAATTTTTCTTTCATTAAGCCTCCCTTTATATTAGGGAGTGTGGCCTAGGCACAAAAACCCTATTTTGCATTTAATATGCTTTGTCATGTGAAGAAAAAGCAAAACAGTTGGGAATACATGGGTGTCAGCTTTTGAGATGTTTCAAATTGCTACTGTTAAGTCATTGACCTATACTCATTTCTGTTAGATTAAAGCAAAATATCTTCTCATATTTCAAACAAAGTTTGCTTCGATGTTTCAATTATGCAAACTTTGATCAATTAAACAGAAAAGAAAAAAGGTTTTTATCTCAATTTGGAAAATGAAAGGGCGTATTACATACATATCTTGACAGCATATATCACAAAAAACTGTCCTAGATACATACTGTTCATAGCCAATGTCTACTGCTTACAATAACTGGAATTATCATCAAAAAAAAGAAATAATAAGGAAGCAAAGAAAAAATTCCTTCTATCAACCATTCAATCAAAATATTATCAAACTAAAAAAATAATTTGGTTAGTATATTTAGTAAGCTCTCTTTTTCTTTAACAAATATGTATGTTTGTTTCAATAGCCATACACAAAATTACATTTTACCTTTGCCTTTTTGATGTACTTGGCAATATCCATAAGTGGTTGAACACCAAGCATACTTGTCTGATTGAGCAGCATTTCTCTGTAGCATTCAATCCTGTTCACAGCATCTGAAAACTAAACATTAATACCATTTTCACCAGAATAACCTCAACCCTTCTATCTTCAAAGAACCAATCTTGCTTGCAACTATGGCAGCAATGTAATAATGGGGTTAGCAAGTATAAGGGCTCAATTGAATGAGCTGGAGTGCCTCTCCTTGCATGGCTTGCCAATACAGGTTTACAAAATTCCCTTAAAATATTTTAGTTATTTCATTGCCATGCGACTAAAGTAAACAAGGAGGGTAATTTGACAACTAGACCATTAAGAATCTTCCATTAAAATTATCATAACTGATTAAGAAGATATGACATCAAGAGTGGTTCAGTTTTGGAAATGTAGAAATTTAATGAGGTTTTCACTAATATTCAATAAATGATACAATAAATAATCATGCCTTGAAGAGCACATAGGAATAAGTACAGCTAATTTTTCAAGATCAGATTTCTGGCTTTTATAAAATTATTAGCATTCTTTACCCTGTTGAGGGGTTCTTCCATGAATTTGTCATCTCTAAAGACTTTTGCCGCACTTGACAATGCATCTGACAGTCCATCTCCAGCAATCTTATGATTCAGCCCAGTTGAATGATATTTGTCAAGATTTGTTGCTACAAGATTAATGCCTTTTCTCACCTATAAAAAAGGAAGAAACATGTATCATTTTTAGACATTTTCTATGATGATCAACTTTTCAGACCAAGTTCAAAAAGATAACTTTCATCCAATTAAATTTCATTATTCACTTTTCAGAATTATTTCATTCCTAAAAGCTTTCAATGTTGCAATAGCTTTTATGGCCCAACTATACAACCTTAACCCAAATTTTGTTTTTTGTAGTAGCTCAATCTCTCAGTCTTGTAAATATTGTTGTTGCTTAGTCTTGGTAGATTGAAAACGTTTAAAAAAATGTATGACTATTACCATTCAGGCCAGCTGTGCAAATTTGTTGAATAAATCCTTATGTGGAGATAACCTCCTATTTAGTCCTTATTCCTTAACCAACCAATTTATATAATTAAAATTTTGTAAATTTCCTTTCCTATGAATTTTAGGTTTAATTAACTTTTGCGTTGTTTGGTATTTGTCTACTTATTTCTGTGCAATCTAGTAGTTGTTATGTATTGTGTTTATATTTAGGTAAAGATAAAACATAATTCAAATTAAAAAAGAAATGGATTTTTGAGCACCTTCTTACCCAAACACCCTGCGTGTAAAAAGCTTGGCTTTGGAATAATAAACAAAACAGAGAAAATTCACAAATATCTTGGAACAAATTTATGAACAACATTCATTCCAAAATTTAAAATGAGAAAGTAATATATTTTGTTGCTTCGATTTATAAGACATTAAAACAATAGAAAATCATTTGGTGCTAACTTATCCTAGTCATCTCACTATTTGCATACTAGCTAGCTTTCTTTCTAGCTGGGATGAGTATAAAATCTACTATTTGTCAGCCAAGACAACGACTGCTTTACTTGTTTTGGTAGTAAGCCCCGAACTGGCCTAACTGCAAAGTCGTCCCACTTCATTTTCTCGTCTTAAACGTTATACCAATCTACAGCAATGTCAAAATATGTTCACCTCTTTCGATTTCTGATTCCAGTATTTTAGTGACTGATGACAAACAGGACTGTCTTCCAAGATGAACTCGAAAGATGGAATTGGCTTCATTTTTCCCTGATATATTGGTAAACTGTATAAACTGTGGGTTGTGGCTGTGATTGCGAACTGACTCAAAACACTACATGTCACGGCTGCGCAGCTCCACCTGTTGAAGTCCTTTCACTTCAGTGGGTTCTCTCGGAATGGGGGTCACATACGGGGGTACTGTAAGTGTTGTCTTCTCCCTTCCTGAATTTGTCATTTTTCCAATATTTCCTTGAAAATTTTAGCATTTGGGACATGCAAAATATTTCGATTTAGGACAATTTATATTCTAATGAACTTCATCACTCAAATTTATACAAAACTTAAAACAACAGAATGAACTATCAGCATGACGAAATTGATAAGCCACAAAACTTGACAAGCTTAGGGAAAATGTGCTCCAAGACCTGCAAAATGAAACCCTATGGCTCTTAGCATAGCGACCTAGTATGTAAAGAAGCTATTGGGGACGGAATCAAAATTTGAGGATTGCTTGATGTACAGATTGGCGCATGATAATATCTTTAAAAGAATCTATTGTGTGCACAAACAAGTTCAAAGAACTTTGAAAATCACGTCCCTAACACTAACTAGAAGCGTAGTATAAGACACGTTGATTGTTGGATCGCTCACTTTTGCTCTAATGATACGATTCAATGCAAGCATTTAGAATCATCTTTAACCCGCTTGAAACAGTAAGATAATCCTAGAAGAAAACTACAAAACAATTTACACATTCCAGATAAAGGAGAAACGTCTTACAATATGCTCGTTATTTTTAAGATGTAATCTCTTTTTGTAAAGTTGGTAATATCTTAATTTCCATTAAAAAAACAATTTTCCTTTACACTGAGCAATTTCTCTTTAAAGCAGTTATGATTGTAGTACAAAAATATAGGAATGCTAATTTCAAATGGATCGCTTTCAGTGGCTTTGAGAGTGAGACTTGCGGTATCTTGGTCACTGAAAGAAATTAGATGAAAGTAGGTGCACTACAATGCTCATGCATCGGTCCACTTCTGTTCCTTGACTGTATCATCACTTGACAAAATTGAGAATACGTCTACATCTATTGGGAATGTTTTGTTGATTTTATGGACAGACACACAAGACATTAAATTATGATCCCGCCAACCTATTATCCAACTGCTCTACAGCTATTCTTTTAATTTGCTACTGAACAATTTCGCTGAGTGTTGAAGCCAAGGAAAAATGACGATATTGTTGTAGTTTCGTCTCCACCCGCACGTGGGATATTTTAAAGCATCTCTCAATCCGTGCAAAAGCATTTAGTCATGATAATGTTGATGATACTTTCCCTCAGTAGATATCTAATACTAGAAGTTGCAAACTGCTACATTACTTTGTTTTTTAATTCAAAATTCTATTTAACTTCTTTCTTTACTCGGTTATACGAGGAGTAACGTGAAGATTATTAAGCTGATCAACAACCTCAAATGCAAATGACGAGGATACCTCCTGTATACCTTGTATATCTTGTATACAGAATACCTTTTGATGCTTTTGCGTTATATGTCGAAGTTGCTCCTCTTTTCGCTTCTTCATGCCTTGCAAATAATTTTACAGCTAAATGCGGCTGTTAAATGTTAAATTAGGTCTTAGATACATGCCTCAAAGAATCAAAGGAAACTGTTGACTAGGAAACCGTTTCAATGTAAATGGAAGGCCAATGCTTAATGATTTGAAAATGGTTTGGTCTTAAGGGTCTAAAACCTTCTGTAACTCCAAAATCAAGCTGCCATATTTATGATGATGATCAGTTATGATAACTCAAGTAGACATTTCATATTAAACTGACGAGCCTGTTTTGCCCTCCCTTGATAAGCTCACCCTTGAGTAATGATGTAGGTTGTCCCTTCAACAGAAATTCAATGCAAAGGAAAAAAACTGTAAATAGGAAAGTCTCTCCTTTAGAGGATCATAACTCTGGAACTGCCTCCAGCTGAGCTTAAAGAAACAAAGACCTCAGCGGAATTTTAGGAAAGTATTCAAATAGTACCGTTGAATCTTAAGATAGTAATGCATTAATAGATTTTGAAAAAACATAATTAATAAACTTATAAATGCATCAGGAGATTTTATCTCTCTACTTATTTATCGCAAATTTTGCATCTTACTTTAGTTTTTGAGGAAGGCATGCAGGTGCATAAATACCGCACTGTAAATGCTTCCGTGAAAGTTTTCTTGGAAAAAGAATCTACTTTATACTTCTTAAATTCAGTAACAACATTAAAACCTAGTTATGGCTAAGTGAAGCTTTCGAGAGAAATTTTTGAAATATAGGATATGTGAAATGTGCAAATGCTGCCCTGAATCTGTGTTAAGACTGGGTAAGCACTCTTCAGATTTGGACTCCACTCAACCAAACATTACATAAAGACCTTACAGCTTGATGCAAATGAAAAATCGTATGGTTACCACAGGATACACGTATTTAGTATTTGCCAAGTTTGTATAACTGGATGCTGTAGCATCGCAACTTCAATTTAGAATGATCATATGACTGATCCTCAGCACTGTGGTAATGGGAAATAACGCCTTTGGGTTAGTTATCAATGCGAAATTACCGAGTTTTAAATCAGGATAAACAGAGTAAGCACTGTCGAGGTTACAACACTTAAAACGTAATCTCTAGAGGATTGCTCGCTCATTACAACAGAGGGCAAAATTCACCATTTGTCGAAAATGATGAGAATATTAATTCAAAAAGAGTCAAATTGATTTTAAGCTTTGGCAGATGAAACTAAAACATAAAGCAGATAATAAGGTAGGTTTAGCAAATCGATGAAAAACAAGAAATCGGATTTACGGTGATGTAAATGCAATTTTAGATTTGTAGTTTAAGCCAAGTGTTGATTATGGGCTGTCGGCTACTAAATGCATTGTTCTTCGTGTACCAGAAATCTTCTTCAAGTCAGAGAACTGCGAGGACACCATTGAAAATAGAAGAAACGCAGATAAGAGAGAGAGTAGTGACAAAGAAGTTTTATTTTGTAAGCATTAAAGAGGAGGAGTCAATTTTGTTTGCTACGAATAGTAAACAATTAAGCTAAAGATGTCTTTGTTTTTTGAAAGTTTATATTGACATTTGTAGTAGCAGGATTTTATGATCACAAACGTAACGTCGAATCAACAGCTAATTTACCTTTCAAATACGAAGCTTTTCCATTTAACTAAACAAAAACCACGAGCAAAGAATTTGATGTCGTCTTTGCTCTTTGGCAACAATAGATCTTTCGTCGGAGCAACGGTTTATCAACAATTTATAATATCAACAACTTATAATGTTGATATTTTGCTGGATTGTCGTATTGAAATAAAGAATCTATTTTTAAAGTTTTTCGAAACGTGCCTCGAAAAAATCAAGATGGAGGATCACAGCTACAAATCACATTGAAGACATCCTTACTTTTGAATGAAATTGAAGCTTCATTGTCTTTGCCATTGTCAGGAAAGAAGTTCTTGCATCATACTGAAGACGGAGAAAGTTGTTCTTTCGGAGAAAGTTAAACGTTCATAAGAAATAAGAAGATTCGACTACACTTGCTGAAGCATAATTAAAATGCCTAAGAGTACAATATGCTCGTACACTCTGGACACAGGTTTATCAAAGAAGTATGAGGATTCAAATTGGAGTTCAAGGACTGAGGTCATTCTTGTCAAGACTAGATGCACATCTTCCCGTAATTCAAGGTCCTCTCCAACAACAGTATCCAAGAACATTTCCAAGCCAGGTTCTGCAAAGCCTCGTTCTGGACAACTAAAGGAATTTCCTAAGCTTGAAAGCCCTTGTTTCGTGAAAAGAAAAATTGCTTGGTCAACATCTGATACGAGTTCTATATCAGAATGTGTTTCCCGGGCTGAGACTACTTTATCGATTGATAGAGAAGAAAGAAAGCAACTACGGGCGATAAGACGTAAGGCAAGCTGCAGTTACAGCTTTCAATTGAAATGCTTCAAGGAAGAGCCATATAACGAGATCCTTTATGTGCCTGAACGGCAAGGTAAAATTGACAAGAAATATCAATCATTTAGAATGAAGCCCCTGGATGCACCAAAAGAAGAACATCTGAAAAACACTTTGAAAAATACCAGGTTTGAGAGAAATTATCTTATAGACAGGTCTGTTGAGAAAACACCTCCAAGCTTCTTATGTAATTCAGGGAAAATGAGCAGTCATTTAACATATTTAAATGGAGTAAATGAAAGGCACAAAATGGCAATTGGGCCAAAACGGTTTAGCATCAGCAAGCCCTTCCCTGAAGTTCCAGGTGACCAGTTGATAATCAAGGATAGCGAGAACAATTGTTACAACCAAAATAAGGATAGGCTTGCAAAATCTTTCTCGCAAGAAAAAAGGAAATTTGGCACGAGAGAGCAGCGATATAGTTCAAGCAGCCTTTTAGAGCAAAATCTAATAAAAAAGGATTTAGCAGATAACATTCTTGAAAAAGATATTTACATTGCAATGCAGTCTTCTACCTTACCCAAAAACAGCTGCCTGTCATCTAGTATACATCAAAGTTCTCCCAAGAGCCGAAGTCCAGATGTAAGCACAGAGAAAAGCAAGTATGCCTTAGCACAAAGTCTTCCTCAATAACATCAGCTTGAATAATTATCAATTTGTCAAAATGACGTCATTTCTTAAGCATAACCCTCTGTTTTACCTTATTCGCTTAATATTTCTATTGTCTATCTGAAACCATGGTGTTGGTGTATAATCAATACTCAGAGGCAACGTCATGAACTTCATTATTAGAGGCTAGGGGTGAGGGTTGTTCACAGAGAAGAAAAAGATTGGCTAAGAGTTATCAAAAGCATACTTAGGTAGAAAGTGGATGGGTCATGGTCAGTGGGGTAAGACACGGTGTGCACCTTCAAGCGCAAAGCTAAAGGCCCTCAAGAGTTTTCTCGAAAAACGAGTTTTTCATGAAATCATATGTTTCTTATTGATAGCTTTCACAGAATAATTGAAATGAACGTAAGACTGGATATGATTTGTGAATGTTAGCAGCCATATAATAATGATGTAGGGCTGTCAGAACCGAGTGGGGTTGGGGGGACGTACCCCCCCAACAATTGTCAAACCGTCGTATCTTTCCCTTATAACAGTGTACTGAATGAGAAGGAATACAATGGGCAGCCCCCTAATATGAGTTTCGTTCATACGGCTTTGTGATGTAATGTAGCATGTCAATTGGATTTCCCTTTAACGCAATCTTTATCGTTGTAAAATTTTGTATCTAAATTACGAGAATATCACATATATTTGATTTTCTCAATGGAGCAATTTGAAAATATTAACCTATCTGAACATGTACACTGTACGTTCAAGTCGCATGGTAAACTGAAAATCTGGTGTCGTTTGCGAGGCTTTGGCAGGTGTTGTCGATAAACTCATATATCTAGATACCCTTCAAATTTTCCTAAAAACATGACACCTCATGTCCAGCAAGGCCACTCCTCAAGAAATTTTACATTAGATGTAGCTTTAATTCAGTTTGAAATAACATTTTTGCAATCTACACCAACGGCCCAACTTTGCTTTATATGATGAGGGAATATAGCCTCGACACCTGATTTGATAACGTCCGTGGTAACGTCTTCTAAAGGAGCTATTTCATTTAAATTGATAGAGTTCTTTGGTTGATGTTTTTTCTCCGATGAATAGAATAAAGATTAATTATCTCCTAGCATTAATTAAGGATGAAGACGCGAACGGAGACGGAGACGGAGACGAAGACGAAGACGAAAACGAAAACGAAGACGAAGACGAAGACGAAGACGAAGACGAAGACGAAGACGAAGACGAAGACGAAGACGAAGACGAAGACGAAGACGAGGATGGGAAGGAAAAGGAAGGAGAACATAAAGAAAAGCTGCAATTATCTGCTGAACGAATCCTTTGCTCTTGCAGTTAAGAATTAGATGCTTTGAAAAGATGAATAATCCCCTAGCAATAATTAAGGATTCTCTATTTTTTAATTTCATTTATAAAGTATTAATACTGGATAAATTGTTTCAGTATATGCATATTTATAAAAATGTACAGGAAACTGCTTTTCAAACGTATCCTGTTCCAGAGAAAAAAGAAATATATGATAATAACTTAAGTTTGATAAACTAATAAATTTTAAGATGTTTAAACGTGTTAAGATTTTAATAACATTGAAAATGTTGAAATTTAAAACTATTAAATCTTTTCCTTTTTCTGAGTATAGATGTCTTTATACGTTTATTGTAAGTAATTGCGCCTACAACTATGAGACGAATTTTCGAGTCTTATTTTTTTTCTCTCGTGCCTGTCATGAATCTGCAGTTTTAGTCCATCTTTTATTGCAAATTATTTTGGGTGGTGCAGCAAATGTTGACCCAAAAATCAGTCATCATTAACGAAAAAAGATAAGTTTTTGATATGACAGGCTTGCGAGAGAGTATGCACAATAGAAGAAGGGACGTATGAGTATTTCTCTTGTTAGATTAAATCTTCTTTATAATCAATGTAAAATAAAATTAAATCATTCAAGTTTGTTTTGTTAAAATTGCTCTACTCAGTAAATCCAAATCCATTAAGAAGATACAATTAATTTCAAAAAAACGTATGCTGATCCAGAATTTGGTACAAAGTGTGCATTAAAGTTGCACCTCTTCTATGTTTCGCTTCATACCACCCCAATCACTATTAATTTCTAATTTATTTTGTCTATTCCATTTGTAATTAAGCCAAGATAGACCCTTAAAAAAGATTTTTATTAGGACATTCACCTTGTATTCATTAAATGAAATGAGGTAAAATGTGCGTGGTCTCATAGGTCGCAGCATATAAGGTTACCACGATTAAGTGCCCTTCAAACCCAATACATTGTTATTTTGCAGGAAATTCTTTAGCAATTTCTTTGTCTTTAGACTGTAAGCTGAAATAGTCAAAACAGCTAAACGAAAAATTACCACAACCCAGTGGCGGCTCCAGCCTTCGATAAATGGGGGCACAAAAGGTGTGTCAGGGACCACGCTCTTTTGGACCACGCCCTTTTTACCTGTTTGAGACATTTTCTTCCAGAGGAAACACCTATTTTCTCCTAAGAAATGTCCTTTAAATGTGACGATCTAGATAACGTACATACTCCCCCCCCCCCCGAAGTTTTCTCATCAGGTTTGCAACAATCTTAAGGACCAACTCTGTGAAAAAGTGGGGGACTAGTCCCCCCATCCCCCCGTGGCCCCGCCACTGCCACAATCTACATGCCCTGATTGACCTTTGACATGTAGGTCACAGCTGCCTCCACGCAGTTTTGGATCTTTTAAAAACAAATGGAAAAACTAGGGGTGACCGGGGCCAAACTTGCCTGACTGGCAGTGGTGTAAACAGTGTGGCAGAGCCCCTTTGCAAAATGCCGATAAATGGCCTTTTCTATTTTTTGTTTCTACTTTTTTGCGAGGGTCCTTGTGTGCATTTCACATCAATTCAGGGAGGTAGCCATACTGCCCATTTCGGGAGGGGGGAGCTCGGGACTTCAAAATTATAAAAATTCTTTGTTTCCAGTAAATGACCCGATTTTCCTATTGTTCTCAAACAATGGTGCCCCCAACTAATTCCAGACTTCCTGCAGCACTGCAACACTCTCCTGACTGGTGTCAACCTCCCTCTTCCATTCTGAAAGCTGGTAGGCGGTGCTCTGTTTATTGCTCCCCTTGTTTAGTGCCACATTAAATTTCTGTTTAGCTATGGGCGACGACATTGGAAACAGGAATCCTGAGATTAAATATACACAGGTATGTATAGTGAAAATCAGCTTTAAATTTATAGAGTAAAAGCAGTTGGGTTGCGTTACACATCTGTCGCAAGAAATTAGGACCACTATTATTTTGCTTGATGTCTTTCTAGTTAGTGACATGGCTTACCCGTTAGATACATTTGAGACGTTCCAGCTCCAATTTTAGCAAGTTCAGGGTTTGAGTCATGCCATTTAACTTGAGAAATGGGACAATAGACAACATCAAATCGGCCTAACAGCAAGATGATTCAATCTCGGGAAGGTTTATGTCATTTGATAGTGCATGCTTACTATGGGGACAAATGGCAACGCAAAGTGGGACATACATCCCCCCGGGGGGGTACTGAACAGTTTGGTGTGATCTATGGAGCCACAAACATTGGGATGTGGATTAAGGATGATTCAGCTCTGCTCTGCATTTTGTTTTGAGTCATGAAGTGTGTCCTGTTATCTCGCCAGAAAGGGGGAGTGCCATTTTTATAGAGGACATGCGCCACATGGTTTTATTCTTTGTAACACATCAATGCGTTAAGAGAAAAAAACACCAGCCTTCCAAAATGCACCACAAAACCAAGAGTGGAAACACAAGTTTCAAGGGCAAAGTGCTGAGGTCCTAAAAATGCATTTTTAGAATTCTTGAATCTTGACCACATACCTGAAAGAGCACCATGAAATACCTTGATATGTGCAAAAAAAGTTGAATTGTTATAAATTAACTGAGATATTGCCACATGAGCAGAGGCTATTTCCCCCAATCAAACCACAAGAGTTCTTAACATTACCTGGCAGCCCATTGATTTTGATTAGTTCACTTGTAAATTTTGAATTGTATATCAAAGACTAGTTTCTGCTATTACTTTAAAAATATTTTCAGGTGCTTAATCCATTGTTTTATCTTATTTTAGCAACCACTGTATCTTTGAGTTCAATACTCTATAACATTATATCAATTATTAGTTCAAATTTTGGAGCTATCTCAGCTCTGAATAGGGGGCTCAACCTGTCAGAGACATTTTTATTTCATTTAAAGCTTTTCCATACAAATCAAATCTAGTAGCTTTGTATGTATTGGCCTTATTGTGTTTTTTATCAATAGCTATTTATCAATAATGAATGGCATAATTCAGCAAGTGGGAAGACATTTCCAACAATAAACCCATGCAATGGAGAGGTTATCTGTCAGATCCAAGAGGGAGATAAGGTATGTTATTCATAGTAAATTTTGTTTGCTCTTAATCAGATTTTACTATCATCGTATCAGCCATCACCAATCATGTTCATGGCCAGGGCTTCCATTTTCCCTATAATATTACATTAGAAGTTTTCAAATTTGTGGGGGAGGGGGGCTCAATCTTCTTAGCCCAGTCACTATCTTGTCATCATCACAGTCCTTATGACACATCATTGTCATCAATCAACCCAGGACCTGCCCACGAGTGCCTAAAACTCACCTTAAAGAGAGTGATTTAATCTGTGCATGGAAATGTAAAACCGTATTGCCATGAAGCAAAATATTGTTTTAAAGAGATGTTGATCAAAATTAAGCCATCTTCTCTAATGGCCACAATATTATGATTTATAAGATTTGTACTCCCATTAATAATTAGATGAAGTTTTCTACTCTTTGAAGGTTACATCTAAAGTATACATTTTCAAGTGAAAACATTATTTTCTATACATTGAAAATACAAAAATATTATTGAATTTGAGAGTTGAATCATTGAAAAGTGTGAGGATGGCTCAGTTGTTAGAGGCACTGACTACAGACCCAAGGGTCCATGTTTCAAGTCCCTGACATGACCAAACTTTCACCAAGAGTGAGAATCATCAGCTCTCTGTAATTCCAGGTAAAGAAATCATGAGGTATGGTCACATCGAAAGGAAGGACCGGGACACTGCTCGATAAGCATTAAGCTTCTCAGTGTCCTAAAAACTGCCTTCAAATGCTATGTAGAAACAAATACAAATACACCAAGAATACAAAAAGCATAACGATATTTGAAAATGTGTCATTTCCGTTTAGACACCAAACGCTAGATTCGCTTTCATTATGATTGTATGTAGTATTAAAAGGTATGTGGTGTAGATATGACCTGAGACCTGTTCACAGGACACTGTATAGAAATCAATACCATACTTTATCATACCCAGAGCCCAGTGGCATCACAGCCTTATCGTATGCCCCCTGCAATAATCCTGCACAGGAAGAAAAAGCTTAAAATTTTATGTACAGCCCTCCTGTGCCCTCTAGGCATCTGCATCCCCTAGAGTGCAGGGGATGCAGGGGTTGTTGTTTCGCCTGTGCCAGGGCCCAAATTTGTGGCACCGTGGGAGCTTGATCCCCATTATTATCATAAGGAGCCAATTTTTACTTTGCTTCCATTTTCTGCAACATTTAGTTCTCCTCCCAAAGATGTTTTCAAGGCAGTTTTATTTAGAGGTGTGAAATAGAGTGCCTCAACATTCTTAGGAGCTCATTTCATGGAGCAACTTCATTTTCGTTAGAGCAAGGCTTGATCAACTGCCATCAATCATTGACCATGATCAGGTTCTCATTAGATGAACATTTGCAAAATTACAATTCAAAATGGCTTTCCACCCTAAGCAGAAGCTTTAAATATAGGTACTTGTGCTAAATAGTGCATGAGCTCAACCAGATGGCTTTGATATTGGACAATATGCAATATCCTAATCAATATATCCCTTTCAAGCCTATATCAACAAGACAATGAACCAGCCCCACAAAAAAGTTTACTTTGGAGGAAACACCAGACAGAAAATTTGCAGGATGCAAGACATAGGATTGATTTTGGGATGAGACACAGGATGAAACCTGCAAGGAAGCAATATCCCAAACATAAAAAGATCAAGCGAACTGTTTGTTTTAAGGCAAGTTGTGGCTGGACCTTGATTGAGCAGCTGGCTATTTTTCAAAGATAATAAGCCAACATTAAAGTCGAAGATAATGAGAATAAATAATTGGTAACGTTAGCTTTTCTAGGAAAATTTGCATTTGCAATTCTTAAAAAGGTTTCCCTGTGACTTCAACAATTTTCTCTTGGTCAAAAGGTATAAAATAAAAAACATACAAAGAAAAACTAGATCAATACTATGTAAATAAGAATTGACAGAAAATGACTAAATACTTGTACATCCCTCACAAATGTGTTCAACTATGTGCCACAAAATAGCAACACTGCTGCAAGACTTTTTAACCAACAAAAAATCAAATGGTTGCAGCAAGATACAGAAACATTTCAGGATAACTTTTAAGCCAGAAAATGACCCAAAAAAAATTTAAAAAACAAATTTTGCAAACTTGTCATTCAATTTTAAAACTGCTCAGAACACACCTGACAAGGCCAAAATAAAGTTAATTATAAGAAACAGAGAATACATGTAAGAGAAATGAATATTTTTGTTACATATGAGACAGAGTGACTGTAGAAGAAAGGTTTTATCTTAGAATTTTTACTATTGATGAATTAATTTACCAAGAAGATCTTGTTACACCAGATATAAGTCCTGTATCTGCAAAGTCTCTGAACATAATTCTTGAAATTCTGTATTTAATAACAACACCTCTAGCACGGTCAGTCAATGTACATCTGTCGCGCATTCTTGTGATGCAACTATTTAGGGGAAGATTCTGAAGGTCTTCTGCAGCCTTTGTTTTGACAATTAATGGCAAAATGTCTGACTTCTTTATTGCTCGCAATGCATTTCTTTCTGCTTCATGCTCAGCAAACAACTTTCTGCGCTTCATGTCTCTTCTTCCCCACCTTTTTAAGTAGGTCTTCTTGACATAGTAGGTCATACAAGGGCTGCTTGTAGAAATCGCTCTGGTGATATTTTTGATGAAACCAGTACTACCAATGGTTTGTGAAATACCTGGAAGAAGGAACAAAAATTTCAGTGAATTTGCAATAAACAGAGTATACAGATCTGTATGGAATGATTCTGGCATTTCGCTTTTGGTAACCATAAAAGAACTCTTAATTTCCATTCACTCAATTTTGTGCCCCTCTTACATGATGCCAGAGTACTGTGACATCTAAAGGCAAGATTTTATTTTTGTTTTAGAGGAGGGTTTCTCTAACAGAAGGTGTAAAACGCAGGTCATGCAGCTAACAAAACGCAGGCTAAATTGCGTTGGTCAGAATTAGTGGCCATATGCCTGAGGTTCTCGGCTTACAACCATTTACATGAAAGTCAGAAGTCAAGAAAGAAGTCTATTGTTTTGCAAACACATGAGGGGAAATAGCGCCCACCACACCCCCCTTCGTGGAGGAGCTTTCATAGTCAGAAGTAAAAGTTTATTTTTAGGGGAAAATTGCTCTTCGTGGAAATCTGTTTGTTTTATCTTAAAATCCTTGGAAATCCTTTTATTTTCGTGAAAATCTTGGTTTATATAAGCTAAAAAACATAACAATCACACCGAGAAATTCATTAAAACCATCAAATAGATCAGTTCTAATTGTAAGAGTTGGGTTGTACTGTAAGGTGGTAAAAGATTACTTCAACCAGTGCATTTTCCAGCCATCTTGAAACAGAAAGAATTGAAAATATTCCCACCCTTTATTGTTTGCTTGTTTATTGCTCCTGTCGAAATAATCTGCAACCGGACAAAGGCTAATGCTGGGCAAAGGTTAGGTAAAAACCTATCCTATATTCTTTCAAAATGTAAATGATTTAATGGCCTTACACAGATTTTCAAAGATTTCAAAGAATATAAATGGGACAGAGGGTCCCTTCAATTTTTGAGTATGCCTCTATTTGATATAAATTAAAAAATCTTCTATGCCTGCACGTTTTATACATAAGAACATGTGGCTCCAGTTTCGTTGTGGCTTTTTTAATTTTTTTGCATAATCTCAGCCTTGCTTTTTTTGTTCCATATTTTTGCAATCAAATTTCCTGTGGATATTGGTGTCTGGACATAACAAGTGCTTGTAAAGTAATTAAATCCTTTGCTTGGGGCTTATTTTTCTAACATTATTATTGCTCCCAGGGGCTGACTCTGTTCTGCGGATCAATGGGAAATACAAGCAAAGTCTATAGAAATAACCCTGGACCATGGTGTTGGTGCAATAAAATGCTTTTTAAGAGCATTTTGTAACTTTGATAAAGTCAGCCAATGGTGTCATAAGTAATGCTAACTAGGAAGATACAAACATCATTCAAGATGGCATGAAATGGCCTATAAGTGGTTGACTGAATACAGTTCACTTACAAAACTTCTTAAATATGTGATTTATATATAATTTAATATATAATATATATATAATATATGTAATATATAATATATAATATACAATATATAATATATAATTTAAGTTTTAATGTTTCTGTCTCAAGTATATCCCCTGAGCTAGCAATGACATAATTAGTTTTCTCTGCAATTTCATATAATTGCCAGCACAAATTTAGCAACGTATCACCTACAATGCAAATATCTGAGATTAAGATTTTAAGATTTTTTGTGGGACGAAGTGATTCAAATTGGGCCTAAAATATGTAAGCCTGACGACTTATGGCTGCCTGTCTAAATGTTTTAGATAGTGCATGCATATAATTTCTTAAGTTTCACCGATGACCACTTAAGGATTTTGAAAATTTGATCAATTGGTTTGAACCCTATCCTCGCTAACTGCCAAATACTGCGATGCCATAATTCGTCTGCTAAAGGTTCTTGAGCAACAATCGGAATGAAAAGGATTCTAGATGCGAGTGTAGGTAATCACGACTGCGATGGCCTGCATATGGCTTGACGTTCAAAAAAAGCAGATGCGCAAATTTTCCAGAAACCTAGTCCCATAATGAATGAGAACTTAGCTCCGATAAACTTCACTTTGAATAACTACATCTGAAAAATTTTGTGAATTACATTACTGCTAAGTTCTTGCAGGAACATACCTGAATTCGACAAGGCTCCATAAAAGCTCCTCAACATGTTGGAAGCCATGTTTTACTGGCTGCACGGGAGTGAGGCGTACATTGATGTGAGGCTCCAGCCTTCTGATCTCAGAAATGGGCCCACTTCTAGGAAAGTAAAAGAAAGCGCTCAAGTCCTCTATCCTCTCTTTAACTTTTAAAAAAGCTTTTCAAGATGTACCTCTTCCCCTCTAAGTTAGGAAATACAAATTTAAATTTAATGGATGATCGTTGCCTTTAAAACTTCTTTTTTCATGAAAGCAAAGTTTTGACTCACCCAGAGGTTGTTTGTCTTCGAAATTATTGAACTTGAGTCTACATAATTTATCATGTCACAAAACACAATTCAAGCTTATCTTGTTAATTTGGTGTAGGCTGGTACGATCGAGAAGTTTCAGTTGCAATCATTAAACGAATTATTGGAGCGCATAATAACAATATTTTTTTATTGTTTATAAAATTAAGAGTATTTGTTACAAGAAGCTTTAGAGATTTAATGCAAATATCAAAATAGAATTGCCAGTTACCACAGTCAGCTTGTCAGCCAAAAGATGAAATTTTATGCTATTAAAGCGCCAAATGCAAAACCTGTAGCTAATTGCCTGAAAAAGTACGTTTATCTACAGTTGCCCACCTTAAACATTCATACACTACATTTATCGTGTACTACATTTATCGTCTCATTAATTTGTGGCTTAAATTGATAGATTTGAAATGATTTTCAACCTGAATTTCAATTGATACTTGAACTGTTCTTGTTTTGGATTTGTTTCATGTAAATCAGTATAGATATGTTGCCTTAAAAATTCCAGGCCGATGTTGACAAAGCGGTCCAAGCTGCAAGAAATGCCTTCAAATTGGGTTCCAAATGGCGAACCATGGATGCATCCGAAAGAGGGAAACTGATTCATAAGTTTGCAGAGCTTTTGCTCCGAGATATAGACTATATAAGCGTAAGTGCTGATTCTTTTATGCCTTTTTTAAGCTAAATAAGTCTGTTTTTGTAGTTCGTCCCTCATTATGTAATTAATAACCGCTTGTGGCTAGCTGTACAAAATGTCCAAATTGTTGCCATCTTCGCTTGATTATTTTTCTAGCAAATGGTATTACAATGATGCTTCAAATGATCTTTGTATTCAACCCTTAGTTGGTAATTGTAGGTAATAGATAATCTTCAGGGTTGTAGAGCTGAAGGCTCAATGGGGCAGAACCCCTTCATTGATCTGGAAAAGTAGCAGTTCGCTTATTTTTGTTTTTTTATGAAGATATTATAGTGAGGACCCCTTGTCCTTTTCGTAACCCCATACCCTTGATAAACTACACTCTTTTCTTATAACCGTTTGCGCCAAGTTGTGATTTCAGCCCAAACTTTGTTTTTACTTCGATACAGAGTTTGGAATCTCTTGACAATGGAAAAGCCTACACTGCTTCTGTTGGTGACATAGAACATTCTGCGGATGTTTTCAAGTACTACGCAGGATGGTGTGATAAAATATGCGGGAAGACCATTCCTGCTGGTACGTTGGTCTTTCATCTCTTGTTTTTGGTCAAAACCTCGCTACTTCTCTTAAGGTTGATTATCCTAGCTTGTTTAGCAAGCGTTGTATAAACCTTGCCACTCTAGTGTTGAAGGTAGTACTGGGATTTAACTGCACAGATCTCACAATCCAAAACTGCCTTATCAAAATAGTCTTGTTTATATCTTGAAAATCTGTGTATGATGTGTTATTTTGAATTAACTATGCATTACTCTGTATACTGTCATTGCAAAAACCAGCGCACCAAAAGGTTTGTTGCAAATCTCCATGAGTAACTTTTTTTGCAATATTAATCGACTAGCATGCACAAGTGATGACCTACTATAGTCATTTATTTGACTTAATTTGTTTGACCTCATTTATTTTTGCAGATGGTTCGATCTTCTGCTACACACGCCATGAGCCAGTCGGTGTCTGTGGCCAGATCATCCCAGTAAGACATTTTAAAGTCAATTATAACTAGCCAGCACTTTTTACAATCTGTTGTATTTTTTAGAAATTTTTGCAAGTGAAAGTTTCCTAAATTTCAAAAAAGTGCTCGATATGCACTTAGTAGTCAAAATGCGATTAAAAACGTGTATCTTTTCAAGGCAAGTAGAGTACTGCTAACGTATTAATTCGATTGCTTTGTCATTATTGAATTCATACTCTCTGGTGTGATTAAGTGAAAGTCGTCAGTGCAATAAGAAGATTTTCAAAATAGAAATAAAATATATTCATTTCTCTACGTCATTAAAATTCCAACCATCGCACTGTGAGGCAACCAGTCTATCTGACAAAACTTTATTGCTTTGAATTGTGATACTAGGGAAGGTTGCTGCATGCGTGGCCTAGGCTCGCTCGTTCCCCGGCCTCTTTTGCTCTTTTGGAATGTATTATAAACAATTTCCCAATATCGGCCGCCCTTGTTCTACAACATCTTCCTTTTTGCTAATCATTGTAATATCATGTCTCTTTCAGTGGAATTTCCCGGTAGCCATGTTGTCATGGAAACTTGGACCAGCTCTTGCTTGCGGAAATACCGTTGTATTGAAGCCAGCAGAACAGACGCCACTCACAGCCCTCTACTGCGCAGCATTATTCAAGGAGGTAATTATCAGTAGCTTTGTTTAATATGCTAGATTTGGACTAGAGTTTAGCCAATAAGAGACCTTTTGTTTTTGGCAAATTTGCAGCAATGAAAACGAAATACCTTTATGTGAAATCGGGGGCTGTTTTGATAAATATAATGTTGATATCCTGGTGAAATTGGAAAAATTTTTCACGGTACACCAGACAAAATCTCACGGCACATTTGTGTTCTGCTGCACAATGCCTGTCATTTATTTTTAAAAAGGGTCCTTTCATTCATATTTTAGGCTGGTTTTCCACCTGGAGTTGTCAATATAGTGCCAGGATATGGACCAACGGCAGGTGCTGCTATCTCTGAACACATGGAAATTGACAAGGTCGCTTTTACTGGCTCTACAGAGGTACATGCATATATAACAATCACCTTTCCTCACGAGGCGGGTATTGGTTCATAGGAGAGTAGCGCCGCCTCTCTCCAAATACATCACATTCTCTAAATGTCTCCATAATTTCAGGCTTTTTGAAATATTTGCAATTGTTTACTTTTTATCCTCCACTTCCAAACTGAGTTTCCAGCCCTTAGATGTCTAATTTAACATTTAATTTTTCATATTGATTTAAACCGAAATATCACTTCCAATACATGTCATTGATTGAAAGTTTCTTTTTTTATCAATGAGTTATTTCATTAAAAAGGGATGAACCAGATTTGTTAAGAAAAATCTAAAAAAGGGCAATTGTTATACCCTGCAGTAGTGTTCCACTTTTTTGTCGCCAAAAGACATATCCCGTAATAATGCCGTTGAGATACAACATTGTTTTTCTTTTCAAGGTGGGCCGCATTGTTATGGCAGCAGCTGCGAAGTCTAACCTTAAACGCGTGACATTGGAACTTGGAGGAAAGAGTCCATTGATCATTTTCTCCGATGTAGAACGTACGGTTTGCACCATGTCGTTGGCTTTCTTTGATTCATATGTACTTTCACGATTTTGATTGTTGAAAGCTAGGAATATTCACTACGAATGTTACTGAACAGGACAAAGTTTTCGAATCTTAAACAAGAACGCGTTGTTTTGGTTTGATAATCTATGTTTAACGATCTGTTGTTACCTTCCCTTTTTTAAGAAAATATGGGTTTACTATCCCCAGGTAATTTAGATTTTGCGAAGGGTGATTTGAGAAAAAGATCCTATAAAATAAAACAAAGATTAGCAGTTCTGTGAATGCTTTACAGTATGCTTTCTAGACTCATTTTCGTCGCTAATTATCATAGTCACTAGAGTTCATCGTTGTGTAACCCCTGAATTATGTCCTTTCAAGTTGATTGGGCTGCTGACTGGGCACACAATGCTATTTTTGCAAACCATGGTCAAAACTGCTGCGCTGGTTCGAGAACGTTTGTGCACGAGTCAATATACGACAAGTTTGTTGCTAAAGCGAAAAAACTTGCCGAAGAAAGGAAAGTTGGTGACCCGTTCAAAGTTGACACTGCCCAAGGACCCCAGGTAACCATCATCGTAGACGTGTCTAAAGAACATTGTTTGAAATTAACTTACCGTAGCTCGTGTAACGACCAACTCATAAAGCCGTGCGTTCTATGCCTCTTTTGATCCATAAACTAAGTGTACCATCAATTTGGTCTCGTATACATCGAAGCCCACACATATACAAGAACATTTATTCCTTTTTTCTTATTTTTAAGTTGAGCCTAGGTGGCTTCTTACTCAATGAGTATCGTTTAATGGTTATGATCTGATTAATGATAATGATTAATGATATATTAAGAGTTTATGTTCTGATACGATTTGTGATTTATAATTTCTCTTTAAAATTGTCTGGTAAGTCGTCATTTCAGAACTTCCATCGGTGTTTCATGATTGTGTTGCACCAGTAATACTTTTATGAATTTATTCTTCATCATTTGAACAAGAAAATTTTTTGGAAACAAGGAGACCAAAGTACGCGATAAATTTGGCAAAAATACCAGTTTTTAGCTCGGTTGCCCTCGTAAAAGTAGATACTTATATTCCATTTTTAGGGTCTTCTTCGAGACCTCTCACTTTGTATTGTTGCTTTACCGCGTTCTAGGGGAAGGGGAAACTTGATACTGTTTTATTCCCTCTCTGTGCAGATCAATAAAGAACAGTTTGATAAAATCCTTGGACTTATTCAAAGCGGGAAAGAGCAAGGAGCGAAAGTACAGTGCGGAGGCGAGAGATTTGGTGACAAGGGATACTTTGTCAAGCCAACCGTCTTCTCTGACGTAACTGACGATATGCGAATCGCGAAGGAGGAGGTTAGTAAATGATTATGACTCAGCAATTCAGCATAGCTGAATATTCATATATAATCATATATAATATTCATATATAATCATCTTCTATTTGATCTCTTTAAGCGTTGCAGTTTTTTCCCCTTTTATTTAAATCGTTTTGTATAGATATTTGGACCTGTTCAACAAATCATAAAATTCAAAGACATTGACGAGGTTATCGAGAGAGCCAACAAAACTCACTATGGTCTAGCTGCTGGTGTGCTCACCAAGGACATTGACAAAGCAATGACCTTTGCTAACAGTGTGCTTGCTGGAAGCGTCTGGTGAGTAGATTTCCTTTTTGGTTTAGATGCTCCATAACTGGATAATTTTAGAAGAAAACTATTAGGTAAATATAAGTAGCCATCTTCCTGACGGTTTTGTGCTCAACTGAGAAAGAAATTTTTGGAATTGAATCAACTAAGAAATTATTAATTTCGTATAAGTATGCTTCCGTCGTCATTGGCGTTAAACCAGTCTCGAAACAGTATGTTTTCGACTTGGAAAATACTTGGACTGTATCTAAGTCAGATAGTGGCCTAACTGGAATAATTCGGGTGCAGTGACATGAAGTTAAAGCATGAGCCACCAAAAAATCAGGTAAAGATGGTTCGTCAAATATCATCGAAAAATGATTTTTCTTTTACAATTTTCCCTAGAAGAATTAATTTTTTAAAAGCGCGAAGAGTTTGAAAAATATTATTTCTAGCTATATTAGTTACATAGCAAGTTTTGTTGATTTTAGCTTGTAGCTTTCATTTTATCTTGTTGGCGTTTAAACGCTCAATGTCTTATTCATTAGCTTCTGGCTTCTGCAACTCTGCACTGTGCTGTCTTTTTCAATGTAGATGATTTGGTTTGTTGTATCCTGTGTTAGTTCCCCCTAGTGTTTCTTTAATTGCTGGAAAGGATTTATAAAATGTTAGCATGATGGTTTCCTTAAAAATGCTGAATATATTCTTGTTACCATTCTGTGTAATTAGATGCATTACTAATACTTTTATTTCCTTTAGAATATTGTTAGGATTTTTCAAACTTTCCGATTATCGTCATCCTGAAAAGTGGACCTAAGATCTCCAGCTTGTTTCAAGCTGCAAAGTATCTTAATAACCTGTTAGATTATTGTTTTTTGTACCTATTCTTTGTCGGTTTTCCAGGATTAATTGTTACGACCTCTGCACGCCACAGACACCTTTTGGTGGATTCAAGCAGTCAGGTCATGGACGAGAACTGTAAGTTTTCTCTTAACAATGCTTCAATCAATGCAGTGGCTTCATAACTAAGAGCCCCCGATCAAAAGGGGCCCGCAAAATATCTTGAAGTCCATGTTTTTAAGACTTCACTCAAGTTCACCTTGTTTCAACAACATTGAAAGTTCTTTAACTGCAGCATAACTGAGCTTTGCCTAGTTAACTATAAAAAGTTTCTTTACACGTTGCTATTCTGTTTAACATGCTATGTACCATTAGATGAGACCTTCTTGCAGTTTGTAAACAGGAACACCGTCTCTGTGTTATCCCTATTTAAACTCAGGTTCTATACAAACTGATAGGTTAACCGAGTCATTTTCAATTTCTCCACTTTGTAAACAGTTTTTGAATAATTTCTGTTTTCAAAATTCTCTGTCGTCGAATCATTTTGGTGTTTGAGCACATCAAATACGGGTACGAATTTGTGCATGTTGTACAGACATGGCTTTAGATTCAAATTGATACGCCAGAATCTCGCAAATGGTACGGATTGTAGTTACTTATGTAAAGATGTGAATAATTTCAAGGTGGTGCAAAGTGCCGCTGTTCTCACTGTCAAAGTCTAATGCATCAGTAGATTTTTGCCAAAGTCGCTGAAGACAAGAGTAATAACAATTATTATTTTAGTCCATACCTTGATACATTACGTTTTGGCGGTCCCCCCCCCCCCCCCCCCCCCCCCATCCACTCAAACAAGCTAAAACCTAGCGTATTTTTTTGGAATTAGGTCCAATAGAGGATAGATAGTGAAAAAATATGAAACTGTAAACAGATCAGATTAATTTTTTCTATCGAATTTGTGCTTCTTGTTACTTTTTCATTCAAAAAATATTTCCTGCTTTATCTTGAATGAAAAGAGCATTTCTTAAGAGCTACTTTTATCAATTATCTTATCACAATTTTTAGTGGTGAATACGCCTTACGTGAGTACACAGAAGTCAAGACGGTAAGTTTACTTTGCTTCTGGTAGATTTTAGCTTCTTAATATATTTTTTGTATTTATTACGAAAACATTTTCCAACGTGTTTCCAGGTTTTCCAAAAGTTTTTTTAAGTTTTTAAGTTATTTCTTCGTTAGAAAGACTTAACCCTAGGCATTATCATAGAGATGATAGCTTGAATTGTTAAAATAATAACTATGAGAATGATAACAACAGTATGAAAAACTATTGCGTGACACTCGCCAAGGATACAAGTGCTAGTCGTTTGTGTGGCATTATATGCGCCAGCTACGTGGGGGCTTGGGTGCGCAGGCTCCCTCGGAGTTTTTGAGATAAATTTTAGAATGCTCATAAGGAGGAGCTGTGTCTATGTTAGTGATCAACTTGGAAATAATTCTGAATGAAGCTGCCAATCACTTTTGTTTCTGAACCCAGTGAGCCTCTATGATAGAACTGATATTTATGAATACAATTATTCTGTTTACGATTTTATTATCTATTCAAATACCTAAAATACATGATAGAAAATTTCTTTTTCAACAGGTCACTATGCAAATACCAAAGAAGAATTCATAAATATGCTCCATGAAGTTCCATTTCTGGACAGTTGCTGGACCATTGCTGGACGTTGTAGTTAATAAAGCTGTCTGCTGAGATTTATAAATAGAAATATTATAATTTTCGTTTTTGCAAGTAATACTTCTGTTTGCATAGATAGATTGATAAGCTGTTTTGGCTTTATTTTAAATGCACAAATGTATAACTTGAAGGCCAGAAAATCCAGGAAATTGTTAGGCATCAAATCTCAATTGACAAGTCTGCCACATTACGTCACATGGCATAGAACTTAATATGGGTGATTTTGTACACCTTATCAGATTCTCTATCGCCGTTCAATGCTCTAAGCCAGTTCACCGCATTTAAATTCTTCTTTTTGCATGTTTTTGGTCTTGAAACGTGCATGCGAATCGTACAAATTCCTATTGATTCTGATAATATTTAGCTCTACCACTTTTTTATATCCCTTACGCATTTTTTCAAAAATGTGTTACATATCCAGATAAACAAATTACATTGGCTTAAAGCGCCACTTGGGGGAATTCCTCCCGGTTAAAAGCTTAATTTCTAAAATCGTAATTGAACTCTTCGACTGTTGTTGTATCAGTTGTTAAAGGCTATCGAAAAACTGAGTAGGCTCGGTTTGTGTTAAGATTTTATGCAGAAGTGTTACTCAATATTTCATGATTTAGATTGATAGTCAATGAAAAACTGTCAGCCTTGTAGTTTCTTTTTATGATCGCTTCAGTTTATGATAGCCTTGTTCAGTTATTTTGACATACAAATACGGTACATTGAATACGGTACAAAGACTATCACAACAACATGAGGATGGGATTTGATGTTAGCCTTGAACGAAATTGTTGATAGTTCTCTTGATTGGGAGCTTGTCTGAAGTTACTTGAGTTTCTCCCAGCAAGTTACTGGGGGACTGGGAATAGCTACGTGCAATGGAGCAAGACAACGAGGCTTGAATATTCAGGGGGTCTTTTGTTGAAGGCCTTTTGGGATTCTCTTAGTGAGAAGAAAATCTAGAGGGATCATGTTAGAGAAAGACACGTGCAATCTCTTTGGGCTAAAGTCGAATTCCCAGAGCACATGGGAAGGCAAACCAGTTTGGAAGCTTTGCAGTTTGGAAGTTTAGTCTTGCAGTAAAAAGGCCAACGACACAAGAGTCGAAATAAATACATGACCGGAAACAAAAATTTCAGGAAAACGCGTACATAAGTCTATCGAAAGTTCAATTTGCCAATATGTTAGAGAAGTTGAACGTACGTATGAAACGTCAATTTTGAAATTTACTGTGTTTAATTGTTACGTGTTAAGCCACTGGTTAGCATTTTCGTGTTTAAAGAGACTCCAAATTACTAACTGCATATTAAAGATGTTTTTGTACTTTTTAAACTTTGTGTAATTTTATATTAACATCTGAAAGAAGGAAACTTTACAATATTTTTTCACAGCTTGCATAGTTGTGCTTGCGGATGTTGACCAAAAGTGCATCGACGAATAACAGAACATTGGAGCCAACAAATTCTATTGCGGCTAATTCTTAGTTAAAATCCTAGTGGAAAAATAAAAAAGGCATTGACTGAGATGCATTAGACTTATTTTCTATTTGTCACAAATACCTCTAAAATACACGCAATCATGGAATGTTCCACTACAAGATTGAACGTTTGAAAATATGCTTCTACTAAAAATTTTCACAGTTGCTCATCAGCTCAACTTTAGCTTGCCTAAAAATTTATGTTTATATGATCCAAGGTATATTGCATTCTCTGTTGGGTCCTGAAAGACATCTGTGACCTCGTCCATGACAGCCCCAGAAGGATCCTGCAGACTGTCTATAATGCTGCCATTGTCATCCAGCTTAATTATCATCCCGTACCTGGGAATGAGCATCGTCATTGTGTCCTGAGACATTGCCTGTAACCAAGTAATGAACGGATTTAGAATATGACTGAGACTCATTAGAGATAAAGAAATATATCAATTACAAATGATGTCCCACCCATAGTCACGCTCTAACCATGCCATGTTACAGGCACCGCGGAGCGTTGAGAAATTTGGGGGGTCTAAAAAAGTGGGGGGAAGGGCTAAAACCGTATAAAAAGAGGCTTTTCAAGTAGTTTGATACTTAATATTTGGCATTTTTTGCATGTTACCGACGTCTGTGGTGTGTCTTGGTAATTTGAAAGATTGTTTTAACAGATTTGCCGTACGTTTAAATACAATGCGAAAACCGTAAGCTTTAAATACCTTTCCAGCTCCTTGCTGCAACCCACAATGTTATATTTAATCTACTACTATGAAAAATTAAACCTCCATTCAACCTAGACAGCAACTTAAAGTTGTTGTGTTTTTCAAATGTTCGATTAAAGTAACAAAAAGTTTGCTCAATCAAAAAGCAAAGAATGTAAAGTTGAAACCTTTCTCTGAAATCCAGAAAGTTTAATGAAATTAAAAAATACCAGAAAACTGCTACTTGTACACTGTTTTTGCAACCTCGCAACTAGTTGTTTCATAGTCAACCTACATTTTCTACGAATGACTTTCTACAATTTTCTGAAAACCACCCACCTGGTCTTTTTCTTCCGCCGACAAAGCCATTTAAGTTTCAACAATATTTTTTCATAAGAACCAGATAATTTTTGCCGAGGCTTGATGCTCTTATTTTCTTTAATAAATTGACACTCGGATATCCTTAAAATTGTTTTTATATCAATGCATACAATACGTTACTTCTTTGGTCCCTGAACAACAGTTTTGTGTGACATTGACAGTAGCCCAGCTGATTAGCTGATTACATCTGCTCTGTTTTGTAACACAAGAGAAAGTATCGTTTTTTCTTCTAATTTTCCATCTGGGGCTGGGCAAGTGGTTTTTAATTTTCTTGAAGTCGAATCTCGGCGCTCTTAAAAAATATGTTCTTATAAAAAAGGGTCTACTGTAATTAGAAGTTCCCATGTGTACAGCACTGCACTGCCCTAGCTATATCTTTAGAAAGCTAATTGTGAACGAGAATTAGAAAGATGAGTTCTATAATTCACCTTTGCCAAAAGACGTCGTAAAAACGGATAAGGGCCAGCTATATCCAGGAAGGAAAACGGCCATTTTCGCACTGCAATTAGGCCTAGCCAATAACCTCCTGTTGGACTGGCTCGTATATTTGCTGGGTATCCTGGTAAATTTTCAGCAAAAACTTCGTGCTTCCCCTTTTTCGGCCCTTTCAAATAATACCTAAAACAGATAGAGACACGTCAGCTTTTAAGGAGATTTAACAGATGTCATGCTCATATTTTAATATGCTATTTACAACAGTCATTCATTAGTGATGTCATTTTTCATTCACTAAAAGTTGACGACAATTGAGGGTCCACATTTACCCTATTCTACCAACATAACTTTTTCCTTTGAAAAGTCCCACTTCAAATAGAGTCCCTTTTAATACGGTCAAATATGATCTCTGGTGCATTGCTTACTTTGTTATTCTTGATGAAGTTGTTTCTGCAACAAGAAGAAAGCTGAAATCTTTTGATATCTCAAGTCCGTTTGGAATCAGCAAGCCGGCTAACAAAGTGATTCTCTGCCTCGTTTCTGTGTTGAATGAAACAACTCTGCCTCTTCCAGTGGCTTCAAGTACTGCATACCTACTGTCTATCCTTTTCCATTTCCAAGACGAGTCTGTGAAATATATCATGTTACCTTCTCCAATAGTAACATCATTCATAAATCTGAAAGGAATACCATCAACTCCTTCTTCATGAGTGATCAGAGTTGAGATGCTCCTGTTTTTAAGATTCAGGCTCAGTAAGCCATAGTAAGCATCACATATGATTAAGTTCTCTCTCGTCTTGTCAAACCGTAACCCAAGAGGCCTACCGCACGTTTCCTCTGTGTCGTAGGTTCCTGTTGTACAAAGGACACTATATTTATACCACTATTTAAGATAACATACGGGGTGTCCAAGTAAAACCCACAACTGAAGGGACCGAAAAGATTCACGAGGATCCAGACCAAACTATGTGGGTAGATAAAGTAATTTACAAAAATCTTAGATTTACACACTCGAAAAAATTTCTCCCTAGACCCAACGATTGAACGTAGACACTTGTCAAAAAATAGCTTGGACTTAAAATGGACACCCCGTTAGCGAATCCAAAAATCCTTATGTAATCTGGCATTAATAGTACAAGTAAGAAATTAAATTAAGAAAGGGCTGTTAAAGAGTTGCAGGTGAAAATTTCCAAAAAAGCGAAGATCTGAGGAACGACAAGGTCAATGAAATGTTGTATGAGAAAAGAAACAATAAATCGCTTTGACATAAATTAAAAACTTGATCTTTGGCTTACATATTTTTGTGCTATATTGCTTATAATCGTTATATAATTGTTTTCTAATGTAATTCCATAATTTACATTTATCCCTGATAATTCAAGGGCACATAAATATAATTAATATTATTTCTGTCCAGTGTCTTTTTTAACAGTCTTGCAATGTCACCTCTAAAATCTCGTACAATTACGCAATGACGTAGGCTGGTAACGAAATAGAATTCAAAATTAACCGATACTTACCTGTAAGTTGAAGGTTGATTGCAATTCTTTGAGTTACCAGCCAGGAGTGAAGAAGTTGTACGCCCTCCCATATTGTAACCCCACCCAGCTCCATCAACTCCCTAGACATTGCAACACTATTTGCTCTTAAGTCTGGTTGGCGCGTGCGCGGCACTCTCTCCTTAGTTTAGTGGACTGAGCCTACAGTTCATAAAAGCACCTAAAAGTAAGCCTCCTCGATCATATACACTTACTTTTTAAAACAAACCTTAGCTGGTGAACTTGTGGTAAGGTGTCATAGGTTTGGGCAACATTATAGACATTCAAATAAGAAGGTTTGTGGCTCTGTTTAGCAAAATCTGTAGTCCTCCTGAAGACAACCTCTGCATTTTCGTTTCTCAAAAAGGAAAAGTATATATTTTCTATAAAATTTGGTATAATAAACATTTTTGGGGATTTTTTCTATAAAAATCTGAAAGCCACGTGCAACCTGCCTCAATAGTAGCCATTCACAGAGTTTATAGAAGGTATACACCATCAATGAATGAAGTATTGCGGTTAGGAGTTTCTATTTTTATTTTTTATTATTGTAAATTTTCTTTTAGGCTAGACAAAATCGGCCCTGTCGTATTGCAGACATGGGACTATGGAAGTAATTTTGAAATTTTGTATGAGAAAAGAAAAATTTTGGGGACACTGCACTAGAAACAATAAATTGCGTTGACACAAATTAAAAACTTGATCTTAAGCTTATATATTTTTGTGCTATATTGCAGACATGGGACTATGGAAAACACTTTCAAACAATCAAACCTCACCACAGTTGTCCATTAGCTTCCCCGTCCTTGCGATTTCCTCTACATTCCCGTTTGGGTACAGCTTCACAATTCTTCCATCAGCTAGCCCCGAATAAAAACCTCCTTTGAAAGAAGATGTAATTCTAAAATTAAATTCAAAATACATGCCAGAATGAAAGTAGCTTAAGATTCAGTTGTCTAACTAAAGAAAAAATTAAATTTTTTTGAATAGCATTGCCGCTGTTTGGAATCAACCGTAAGAGAAGGATTGAGTGTTAATACACCTAAAAGGGCAAAGAAGGTTAAAAAGAACACAAAAAGGTAGTGAGATTTCTTCTTCATTGCAAACTCTCGAAATCTTCAAGGATGTTAAAATAAATTAAATTGCAATGATTCACAACTCTGAAATTCGAGGTCTAGTTTCAGCAATTTATGTATTTGTAGCTATGTTCTTTTACATTTACTGTCTAGCAGTTGGTACATTTTCAATTAATCGGTAGTAAGCTCAAAAGAAGAATCAATGCAAAAAGAAGAATCAATGCATCGTAGAAAAATCTAAGTAAAGTATTCTAAAGAAACGAGACAACACAGAAGAGAAATACCATCTGTATCCTGTACCACTGAATCTGGTCCTACAATTTTTCCTTCAAATAGTTTTTCAATTCTCTGCAGTTTGTAATTTCGCTCCAAAACACCCTCAAAGCGCGGTATGGTGAAGTTGGTACTAAAAAAGACATATTTAATACACGTAAGGATTAATTTATAGTTTTATGACGTCGTTTAAAACGATTCAAACTAAAGAATCGACGGTAACGTCTGGGGCTACATATCGAGAAAGGAACAAAAATTCTTGCCTCTTTTGGTAACGGTAATTTTTCTTATAGAAAAAAGAAGCCGATTTTTTAGACTTTCACTATTTATGATTTTTGAAACAAAATTAGGAAGTTTCGATGATTTTGTTCAGTCTTCTCTATTAACTTGAGAAGTTTATGTGCAAGGCCAGCAGATTACCATGTGTAAGCACTTATCATGATTTACACTCATTTTTTATAAGAAGAATTTCATAAGAACACGAGCCTCAAAATTGGTCAAAAGTTGAGAAAAAATTAAAAACAAGCTGAGACTGAGCTTCTGCAAAATGCAATTTTGAACAAAGTTCTTTTCCAAAATCGAGGACTTTTAGCCATATGTGGGTGCTTTTTTGGTGAAAATTCAAACCTGTTGGCAAATGAAGGTTGTCTCACAAACTTTGTTGGCAAATGAGGCCTGCATACCTCCCTAGAGCGAAAAAGCTGACACTCGCACTGTTTACACCCTACTGAATTAAGAACAAATTAAGAAGAATCCAGCCTCAGTTTTAGAAAAAATTTAGAACAGTCAGCCTGAACTTAAATTTACTGGTTTTTCATAAAAAAGAGGAGTGTAACAAAACTAGAGTACAATTGAACCCCATTAAGCTGTTCCCGCCGGATACAAGATTTTTTTAAGAACAATCTTTATAAGAAACATCAGGCTGAGATTCGCCCAAAAATAACAACTCGAGAAACAAGGCAGGCTGAAATTCAACGAAACACAACGAATAAAATACCAGCAAAATTGAAAAATAAAAGAATAGCAACAGAACAACATAAAGCGAGAATCACAACTCAACTTTCAGAGAATAGTCGGTAGAATTAAATTCATATAAAAATTTTAATGTAACAAAAGAATTTCTGTCGGTAAAATATGGTTTTGCATCTCTTACACACCTCAACCCCCCCCCCCCCAGCAAGAATGGTCACGGGACGCCACTGATTACACCAGTTACAACAACATCAAAAAAACGCAGAAACAACATCAAGACATCAAGACTTCTATTGTTGCAGGTACAAGTTCCACATCCCAGACAGAAGAGGTTTTAATAACTTTATCAAGCACATATTATGTCCGGACAGTGGCAGATTTAAGGGGGGGGGGGCAACTAGGGGCAGTTGCCCCTCCCTCAACGAGTTGAAGCAAGTCTGGCGCCCCTTTTCTTGGAAATTGTGCGCCACTTTTGAAGAATGAGAATCAGATTAAAAAGATTCTTGGACATATCGGTTAATTTGCTTCAAGGAGTATGTTGTTTATTCTGAAAAGGTATCTGAAATTGTTGTATACAGCGTACTCTCGTAACCAATTTTTGAAAATTTTTCAGCGTCCCCACTACCAACTGTCCCTCCTTCAAATTTGCCCTGGATCCGCCCCTGTGTCCAGACACTATGCACAGGAAATTCTATTTTAAAAACAAGAAACAAAATCAGAAACATTTGATGCTGAAATTATGCGACAAAAACAAGAAACGCCGGGATGAAATTGAAACCACGTGTTCTTTAAAAAAGCGTGTAACTGAGACAGCTAACTACAAAAATCTCTTAGCAGCTGAAGGTACGTAATAGGCGAAGGAGCATATTCTTCTTAATGCTTTTAGGTAAAAAGACTGTTGAATTTCAACTCACATATAAGGATGTGGATCAATAACGCATGGACTGAAAGTCAAATAGATTATATATGAGAGTAATGCGACGACCAGCAGATGCCAGATGTTTTGATGAAACCTAAAATAAAGAGAAGTTTAAATGAATACATTTGGAAAAGCATTTAGACTGAAAGTTTCTTGAAGGAAAAAAAAGTATACTCGTAGAAATTACGGGAAAAAGCGTAGAAATACGGGAAAACGAAAACAGCAGCAATTTCAAACAACAGATCTCTGTTTATCTGGCATCAAGTCTTGAGGCCAGTTATAAATAAGATTTTAAGCATTTTTCTACATTTATCTAAATCCTAAAACTAAATCTTTATCCATAAGCTCAATCTTCAATAGCGAACTTGTTGGAAATAGTTTAAGTAATCTTGAATTCTAGAAAAAAGCCTCGCTCTTCTCAAAATAAGCAGTAAACTAAATTGACAAATAAATACTGTCGATGTGAATTGTGCTTAGAGGGTGCACAGCTGTCTTCCGCCGTAAATTTTATTGCTATTATTTTGACATTGTTTCTAAGAATATACTAACATACACAAGTCATAATAGACAACACGCCTAGGCCATCTTCAAACCGGTTTTTCAAATAAGATAAATTGTGCGTAGGGGACAAACTGAGAAGTTTTTAAGCAATGATTCTTTGGAAACTTAGCTACTAACATTTTACCACAACGCATTAAAATTGTACGTTGAAAGTAAGAGGCAATGGTGGATCAAAATTTGTAGGGAGAGCTTCAGAAATGGCAGTAGGAGGCTGTTGGTTCTAATCGATGATAGAACAAAATATCTGGTATGGTTTTATCAGGCAAGCTTGCATTTTTACTTGAAAAAAAAACAGGACTACGAAATCATCGGATTGCCGTATTATCATATTGTATCAAAGTCTGATTTCGTGCGGGATCTGGCCTCCTTTTAGAGTCAATTTTAAGCCCTGAGTTCCCCTCGAAATTTCACAATGGGGTTTGTAGGCCTTCCCGCTTTTTCTATAGTAAGAGCGCAGTAAATGACAAATGAAAACGAAAAAGGCACCGCCTTGATGGGAAAATATAAAATTTTTTCTTGCAGGATGTCCCCAAACTCCAATGTACCCATGGCCCCTTCCACCCTAGGGCTTCCTGGTGAAGAACTTTCTGCCACCACTGCTGTTATATTTGTAACAATACACGTTAAAATCCTATTTTCTTTAGCATCAGTGTTATTGCTATTAACTACATGGTTATTTACAATGTTTACTGTGTTAATCCAGCCATGCCTAATCCGAGAAAAGAGACCGGCCGTAGGCAAGAGCGAGGAGTCATTTTCATTATTATATAAGTTCTCTCTCTGTGATATCCATCGCAAAAAATTAACTATTTATCAAGTGTACAACTCAAAATTGTGTTTTGCTTCGAGCCCGAGCCTTTAAATGGAAGAGCTTCATTTTTGTCATTGAAGCATTTGACAATATTTCGTTTATCAGTGGCATGGTTTCCATTTAAAGATCCCACAGGCGCCTGCAAAGATCTTATAAACGCCTGAATTTGAAAGGTGCTATGCTGTCAGTAAAAAACAAGTTCCAAGTAAGTTGAGAGCGCAAATTTTAATACCTACTTCATACTTCTAGAGCACTTCGATTTTGGTTTTGGTATCGCTGCTTGCTCCTTGTCGTTTGTCGCTCTTCTCAACCGAAGAGCCTCCATGCCAGTTGCTTCGACCTTGGTAGTATGATTGTTAGGTCAAAGAGATTTTCATCAAAGACTTTTCACTGTGTCAAAACCGCAACTAATAACAAAACACGTAGTCGGATAGCGGGAGAGGAGGCAGCTTATTATGAATGAGCCATACCTGGCTTCAATTTTCAGCTACAATCAGGGGTGCTCGGGCTCTCGCCGAAAGACCAGGGGATCTCCCGATGGCCCCCTTTTTAAGTGAGATTATTGATATACCATGACAAAAAATATTGCTTTACATAATCTTTCTTTTGAAAGGGTTATCAAATGATATGCCTTGCAAATCAACAAGTTCAAAACTTTTGTTCCGCAGATGGTAACGACAATAAAGAAAAAGTATCAGAATAAATGAGAGATAAAAAATGTTCAGAGGAAAAGTTAAACAAGTCATCTTTGTTCTTTTGGCCAACCCTTCTGAAGAGCTTATTTTTGACACCATATACCTTCCCCTTGATTCCGCATCAATTGTGATTCCGCAAAAATGTAAAATTACTTTTAATAGATTGGGGCATCGACCCTTTTTTGAATGGTTGGAAAGTTTACAAAATATTTGTGAACAATTAAAAGCGAAAAGAGATTTGCCACTATGGAATGCATGACACCACATGACAGCACTCTATTAACTGCGATATCTAGTTTTTTTCTAGCCGATGTTTGTAAGGGAGTCAAGCAAATTGACCTGCATTACAGTAATCTATGTGTTAGGATCTTTTTTCGATTTTGAATGGCAAGTTTGAACACTTAAATGGTATCAGAATCGAAGAATTGATAATAATGCTAAAAGAATTTTTGAAGATAACAATTATTTCATTTAAAATTTCTAAAATTCACATCGAAGTGATAAAGAACAATATCAAACAAAACAGAAACTTAATTGTACACAATAAAAAACCACTAGAAAAGTAGACACAAATACTAAAAACCGAGAACCTATAGCATGGGGCAAGGATCCTCGGAGGAGCTTTGTAACTTTGTAAATTGATTGTTATTCTCATCTGATCCTGCACCTATGCTAGAGGGATACTTAAGGGCAAATATAATATCGGAGAAGTCATTGACGGGTCATAATAGAAAGTACAAGAGAGCTCTTGTTAGTAGGCAAGGCGTGCTGTTCTAAATTTTGAAAGTGATGCTGTAATGTTAACACGTGTTTTCGCAATCGACTGTTTTGAATCGAAGTGGTGATGTACTTTTGACAGGTTTAACCCACAGTCCCCTAGACGTGCCTGAAGATTGCGTCTGAGGTCATGTGTTTATATACATGTCAAAAGCAGGGAACCCTAGAAGACTGGTACCTACCGACTGTGATTATTATTATTATTATTATTATTATTATTATATAAAAATGTTCTCGCCATTAGTGTAGCTGTCCGTCTGGTGGCTGCTAAAAAGCAGACGCTCGTATATCAATCACATAAATTATGCTACAAATTCACTGTATTTCTATGTCCCCCTACCAGACTTTACACTCTTTTATAATAACAGAAACCTCAAAAATGGTCAAAAGTTAAGAAAAAGTGAGAGCAAGCTGAGGCTGAGCTAATGTACAATATAATTTTAAACAATTTTGTGAAATTCCCTTAAAAAACTTCAGATCAAAAAAGGAGTTTTTACCATCTTGGGGTGCTTTGAGTGAATTTTCGAACTTGTCGGCAAATAAAGGATGTCTCACTCTCTTTGGTAGTAAATAAGGCCTGAAGACATCCTAGAGCACCTTAACAATTTAAGATGAAATTTAGGACAATCTGGTCTCAAATTTTCGAGCAGCCATCCTCAATTTAAATTTACTGGTTCTTAAAAATTGCGTACTTCGTAAAATAAAGATACCATCAAGGCTGTAGTAAATGAGTGGGGGATTACCTCAGCACCCATCCCAACAATTTCTAAAACACGATCAATTTTATTTAAAACTTTTAAATAAAAAACAGATCACTCGCCTTTTTGTCAACGTTCGACAGCCCAACATAACCACTGAAAAATTGAAGTTTCAACGTAATCAACGCACACATTTAACCGTAATTAAAACGCGCTCAAGACAAGCTAAGATCACGAGCTAACAGAACTTTATCAAACGAGGAATTTCTCTGACACTTTTTCAAAAGATCTATATTCATAAAATTCAAGATCTATAAAAATAGTACTAAAATAGTATAAAAACTACTGTAACTGGAGCTTTGCGATTGAATCAGCATGATATGAGCCTAAGTAAAGGACCTTCTCTTCATCATCTTCATGGACTTCGCTTACACCGTTGATGACAGAGCCTGATGGGTCGTGGAAACTCTCAACGATATTCCCGTCTTCGTCCAGGCGAAGCAACAAACCATACTTTGGTACCATTTTGATTATGCTCTCTTGTGATATCACCTAGTGGCAAATTAGAAACAACGTGATTTTATACAGTATGGATGTATATACATGATTTATAACTGCAAGGCCAGGGTGTAATTGCAACATATTCTTAAAAGAAAGCGACTGGTACGTCATATTTCTGCAGCGCATTTCTCCTTTTAAGGTTTATTGGTTTTTGAACGAATAGGAACAAAACTGGTTAAAACTGGATGAAAAGCCAACCAAATTGCTTTCTGTTATTATACCTTTAGAAAATGTAAATCAATCCGGAAGAATCCTTCCGATTTCAAAGCTTAATCTTTCACTCAATTTTAGGCTGGTAAGCAAATCAAAATGCCAAATATAAAGTGTTCAAAATTAAAGCAGGAAGCCCTAAAAATGACTCTAGCAAGGCATGGAGGCTTTTTTGATTGGACAGAAATATCAGGTATGAATAAACATAATCATTCGCATAAACATGAGATAATTTTAATGTGAACTTTTCATGTAAAGAAATGTATTTTTTGGCTAATTAAAACGATCAACCCACAAGAAAGTTTCCTAAAGTTAAAAACCAGTCAGTTACAAATAATAAACAACATACATCCCGTTCCATTTAACTACAGAGGGCACTGAAAGCCGGTCCTTATTATGAAGGCAAACATTAAATGGCTTACTATTTTATATCATGTGGTATTGGGAAGATTTAGGCCAAATCCAGCAAATTTAAACGGGGGAGTCTGTGAAGACTTTTACCTCAGAAGCAAAAATAATTTATCGTTTACCTTTGTTATCATCTTCTTTATTGTAGGATATGGCCCGAGAAAATCTAGCAATGAGAAAGGCCATTTTCTTATACCAGCTACACCAAGCCAATAGCCGCCCTCTTTTCGCCTTCTAATATTGTCCGGTAGTCCTGGCAGATTCTCGGCAAACAGGTCATAAACCCCTGTCTTTGGTCCTTTTATGAAGTATCTAGAAGGAATACAGTGAGCGAATTAGTGTGACTATGGATGGGCGTTAAAAAGGCAATCAAAGATATCGTTTACATGATATGATTATCAGTGAAGATGATTAGCAAAAACCCCCTTTTTTATTTATAAGAAACTGGTTGATAAGAAACAGGTAATAGGATGCCCAAAAATTGATAAAAACTTTAGTACTAGGCTCAAGAAATATTCAGAAACTGTAAAATTTCAATTTTAAAAATGATTCCAAAGGTTCTTTTTGTTGAATTTTCTTTGGAAAAGATGACATACATTGGATTATGATCCGCATGGGTTTTTTCTTGACGATCTGCTGTAATGTTGGCCCTAGCTGGGTTTTGATGCCATGTCAGTATGTGATGATTTATAACTTTGATTTCTTGACGATCTGTGTTTATATACTTTTAAAGGTGCTCAATTTTCAAAACAATACGGCAATTTTAGGTCCCGAAAAAAAAACCAACCAGCTGAGAAACAGTTAGTACTAAAGCGCCAAGATTTGGATGCCAAATTAAAACACTTTCAGTACTTAGTGCTGCTCCAAGTTTCATTCAAGATAAAAATTCTGCATTAAAACAGATGCTACAACATAACAATGATAACAAGAATGAAAAATTGGCAAAAACGACAATGACAGACTTTACTTACGATGATTTCTATTAATAAAAGCACGAGGAGAAAAACTGGTGTTATTAATGTTGACGATTGTGATAAGAGGCGATGGCATATAGATAGGAGGGCTTTGCTACTATTTCCATGGGTCATAAGAACTATTTTCTGTCATTGATGCACTTAAAGATGGTTGATTTATGATTTTCTGATGATTTGTAATAATAATGATATTTGATTTACTGGTGGCAAATTACAATAAAATCATTATCATCATAATGCAAATTACCATAAAAATGAACGTATCGTGCCTTGTGGTTAAGCTGTATGATATAAGATATTAATGATACTATAAAAACATGATATTATTGTGGTGTCATACCGTATGACTCTAGCTGCACTGGTTTCACAGATAAGGACGAAATCTTCATCTGGTGAGAGTTCAACGCCATTTGCAAAATACAGACCACTCATCATTGAAGCCTTTTTACCGGTATTCAAATCGTATGACATTAGTCTGCCTTGACCAGTACCTTCAATAACAGCATATCTGTTGTCCCGGCGATTCCATTTCCATGAAGAGTCCGTGAAATACACAACATTCTCTGAGGTCACAACCAAATCATTCGGGAACCCAAACGGGTGTCCGTCCATGCCTTCCTTTGCAGATATAAGAGTCTTGATCTCACCACGCTCTGGATCAACTTGCAAAAGCCCGTAATAAGCATCGCAGACAAGCAAATACTTTTCATCTCGATCAAATCGCATACCAAGGGGGCGTCCACAGTCAGGCTCTGATTTGTATGTTCCTGTGGGGACATTTAATAAAGTCAAAATTACAATAGAACCCAGGACACAGATTTGGTTAGATACTGCATTGTGGGAGGGTATTGGGCGTAGATCACGAGACGACCTACTTTTGCACGATTTCAGTGCTATATACTAGGTGTAAAATTCTTAAGTCTGCAGTGCATACGATAAATGCCAAATGAGAAAGAAAAGACTAATCAATGATTGGCATTTTATGGGAACTGGAGTATGGGCCATTGATATTTATTCAATGCTGACAAGGCAATGAAAATCAACCTGTTCTCTTGAAATAAAGATAAGAAATAACAAAGAAGGTTAATACCCAAGCCAAAACTCACCACAAGTTGGTAAGTTGTGGCCAGTTCTAGCAATTTCACGCAGCCTTCCACTTTTAGTATACTTCACAATTCTTCCATCTGCTAATCCAGTGTAAATATTGCCTTTGAGGATAAAAAGCTACCAATAAATCAAGAGCATAAAATTTCTTTAAGGAGTGCGAAAATTCCAAAGATAATTGTGAGTTTGAAACAGGTTTTCAAAATCGCTGATGGAGAAAAATGTTGCCGAAGAAAACTTTGAAGACAGAGTATAAAGGAAAAAACCTGCAAAGAAGAAAAAACTTTTTCAAGAACCAGGCTTTTCTGTGGTTTTTTTAAAACAAAAAATGAGAATTTCAGGGTCAGCAGTTTTTATTTGAGATTTAAATTTCAAAATTTGCAGTTTAAATAACAATGAATTTAGTCAATGCTGCTTAAAAAACCAGGTGTCTTGCAAGAATATATGAAAATGGCTTTGAAAAAAGCAAACATTTTACGACATACTACAAGCTTTTTTGTCTGACACTCCTCAGAGCATAAAACGTCAGAATAAGGTTCTGAAAGAACACGATGGAAAATATATACCCAGTTGTGGATCGAAATAGACCAATCAGAAAAACGCAAGCACAAGACCGGTATGGTTGACCAATCAGTGCCGCGAGCCTAAAGAAAAATTACCAAAGGAGTCCAAGAGAGAAAACAAACTCCTTCTGTCTACACAAGAATATATGGTTATAATTTTTGCAGCTGTCAGTTTCAACGAGGCCTTTTAAAACAAGGTGCTTAATCAAAAAAGGCACTCTGTACAATATTAGACAATTGATGTAACATACATTTGATGAATAAAAAGCTAAAAATAATCTTTCAACACAACAATTTTGTTACATGATAAAATGCTAAATCCTTGGGATATGCAACAAAGTAATAAAAAATTACCATTTCTGTCAGTTGTTATTGATTCTGGACCAGTAACTTTTCCTTCAAGAAGCTTTACAGCCTGTTGCAGTTTGTTATTTGGGGTGAGCACTCCATCAAAATATGGCAGAGGGTTTTGCTGTCTGATAAATGATGAAATATGAAAAACATCAAATGAGTTTGTAAAACAATCAATATTACCCTATTACCAACCATAAAATGACATGCCAAAAAGACAAAAATTTGAAATTTTTAAACCTTAAAAAAAGATGCCAAGAGAGGCAAGCAAGATTTAGGCAAATCATCAACAAATCTTCTACTCAGTAGCCACAAATGTGTTTTCAGTACCCATTGTTTGGTAGCAAAGCATATTAAAAAATATATTGCCAGCTATAATAATAATAATAAGCTTTTGTTAATCATAATGGAACAAGGGAATTATTTTGATGTATTCTGCTTTAAAAAGAAATGCACTTTCGACAGGATAATATAATATTTTTTTTCAAATAATGATAACAATAAAACTCTACCCTAATGATGCTTTAGGTTTGTTTGACAATTATGAATACAAGGTATGCATACTATTTTAACACTAGAGAGACTAAATATACTTAGAGAATCAAAATAAATGTCAAGAACCACAATGAAATGATAAGCTAAGATTTGGCTGCAAATTAGATTTAGGTTTCTCTCTTTTATGACTAGCATTGATATGTCATGTACAATATCAAGTTTCTTAGTTGCACATGCTACATATAGCTAAGTATGAAAAAGTGGTTGTCAAGAGTGACTAGAAGAAGATCAGGGTAATGATTTATGTTATAATGGAGGGTTGAAGAAAACCTAGTAAAGAGAGTAGCAGAGTAATATAGGTAAGTGAATACATATGAAAATTACTGTTTACCAATCTGTAATATGAAATACCATCTAAGTTTGTTTAAAGGCAATCTGTCTCATTGTGGATTAGTTAACGAGAACAATAGCTGAAACAATAGCCTAAACACGATTCCAGCACTCCGCCATATTTTTTACAATGCGATAAATTAATGGGGGACTGGAAACAATAAAAATCCCTTTGTTCTTTTATCAATCAACGTCGTGACAGATTGCCTTTAAGGGAAGTTTATACAAAGGAGCAACAGAGCGTAACTTCAAAAGATGCAAATAAGTCTTTTTTCATACTTACATAACAGGTTTTGGATCAATTGGAGATGGTGCTAAGATCAAGTAAATTACCAACAATAAAAACAAGCCAATGAAAATCTGTAGTATTAATACAGATATAGGCCTAGAAAAAGAATAAAATTTTCAATTAGCATTCAATTGCTACTCAGTTAACATCTAAAGTATATAATACACTTGCTTTGGCTATAAACATTGACAGCTCGTGTATTTGGGTTAGTGGTGCCCAGCCCTAACAAAAATTTTGAAAAATAAATTTTAGATTTATATACTTAAATAAAATCAATCTCCATATAATTTGAGCACTGTTCACTCATCTTGTTACTTCAAACTTCTTTTTTGGCTAGTCTTTAGTTTGCTCAGGTCCCGCTACCCAATGGTTCTTTTGAAAACTAGGCAAAAACAGGTATCAGAAACCATCACCAAGGCCTGAGGCTAGCTACCTCTGAAAAAGAATGCACCAATCATTTTTTTCTTATGACTCAACTATTCAATTTAAAACTATGCATGAATTGATCAATCTGTACAAATCTGCATTCATTTGGGGGCACTAAGTAACTAAATTTTTGACAGGATGGATTTTGTATTTTGCCTAAATTCAATGAGAAAATGTTGAGGGAGTGGTAATATTTTGGCAACATACTTTTTGTTATGTAATTCTATGATTTTAAATTGCCTTTACCTAACCAAAAATTAGTATGGGCATTCCCTTCAGGTAAAATTGGCACTCCATACTGATAGAAGGCATTTTCTAGTGTAAAAAAGGGCATGGCCTAAAATTTTTTATTTCGCTCCATCATCGACCCCCCCCCCTCCACAGAGCCTAGTGGCAGGTGCCACAATTGCCGTTTGCCAAGCCCCAAATAAAACTCAGAATGGGAAGGTAAGGCAGCAGGCCTTCTTTATCCACGGGGTATCTCCATATTCGCAATTTGTATGCTTTCAATTTGAGCACTTTTAACTTCACAGCATATTACAATAAATCAATTAAAATCTTTAAGTTTTTGGTTCTGTAAAAAAAATCTCGTTACTATGCTATGTATGTAAAGGATATTGTCTAAGGGTTGGCCATATTCAAGGTGTTCAGACCTCTCCTTTTGTTGTGAAGAGAGAAAAGGTCCAGCAGAATTGAGCAAATACAGTTGAACATACCAACATAGTTGCATTTTCTGAGAAATTACACATTTATAAATAGTCATACGTGCTGTTTTAATTATTATTTTTAATATCATGATAGCCTCGTAGGCTTGAGGCAATAAAGAAGGGAATGTTTTTTATCATTCTTGTAGTTTCCTGTCTATGGCTTTGGATTTCAAATATTACATCATCATTCCCATAAAAACGTTTCCCACTTAGCCACCACTAGTTATAAAGACTATAAAAAAGATAGCTAGATAGAAAATTTTTATGGCATGCAAAGCAATTCAGTGCAATGGCATTGGATCAGTTATTCAGCAAGTAAATTTGTAAGTTGCTCTTTTGATACTGACTCTCCAATTGTAAGGCTAGCTGATAACTTTAAACTAATTTATGACTTGAAAAGACTTTGTGAATCTCTAATTGACTATTATATGCAGTTTACAGATGACTGAGCAATGAATATCCCAGAAATGATAAGGAAACATGTTCTTTTTTCAGCAAGGGAAATATGAAATAATTTATCACTTGAGAAATGAATTAAACAAAACTGATGTAAATAGTTATTAAAGGTAAAATCTTGCATGCTTTGCACAATTATGACATGGTTTCCAAGAAATATTTAAGATGTTCTCAAAATTATTCATGTTTGATATTGATTCCTGAACATTGACAATACTTATGGTTTAGAAGGTTTAGGAGGCTGTCAAACTAACACATTTGAACTTAAACTTTAAGTGAAATTAAGTAAAAGAGTTTAATCAAAGAGCTTAAGACTCCAATGAACCATATTACAACATTAATTAATGAAGGAAGGTCATGGCATTCTGATAGCTGTCCTAGATAATAAATGTGACAATATACTGTATTGATTTTCAAACAAAGATGCAAGCTGAAAAGTAAAATGTTTTCCAAAATCTAATCGCCAGTGAAACAAGGGGCAACTTATCGTCATTTGCCCATGGACTCCCAAAAATCACTGAATTGCTATGGAGAATGAGTCGCGTTGGATCCTTTATCCTTTTACAGAATTATTTGCTTGCTGTTATCAAGGCGGGACGAAAAAGATTGGGTTCACAGGCCTTTTCCCTCAGCTTTATAAACATAGATTTGAACTCTGGGTCTGTAGGGAGCTCCCTTCACCCCTCCTTTACATGATCTGTTTAAACGTTGCTTACTTTGTTTCTTTCATCTTGACTTCATCTCCTTCTTGATTTTCTAAGTCGTTTGATACAGAACCACCTTTTCGCTTTCTAGTACCGTCCATCATTTGTATATTTTGTATAGCCCCAGTGTCTCACAACAAAATTAGGCCCCCTTCGACTCTGCCATCTTTGCTTGAGGCATTGGTAGCTCAAATCTCACAGGAAACAAAACAGACTTCCGGTTGAAGCCACAGGGGATCATCTTTTGAAAGATGACAATTCAAACTCACACTCAATACTTCTTTCAGCACCGAAAGTAAATTACAGTAAAAAATTAAATATACTTTTTACTGATAATTAAGAATATTACAAGCATCCGAATAAAATAAACTGACAGCAACAAGTGATAAAACTTGCTGACGGACGCATGGAAAAACTCTAGAACGAGCTGTTAGAGCCACGTGATCAGTTCTCATGATATTTTTTCTAAAATATAATGACAAGCAGCCCTTACCACGTCAAAGGGTAATCCCATTAAAGGTTCTGGAGTTTTGCCTCAATTACAGTTACACACCTATGCAAAATTATAGCAACATTTCACTGGTAATTCAGAGGCTGTTTTGCCTTTTGTCTTTCCTCTTTGTTGATATACATGTCAAAAGTTTCTTTATCTCAATACAACGAGATAACCGGAAGTAACGTTCGCTAGCCAGTACGTGGAACTCTAATGTTGGCAATCTTTGCGTTGTTGTCGTTGCTGTTGTTATAAGTTGATTTTGTGAGTGGCTGTTTTTTTTCGGATGATGCAGTATGTCCCCCATTGTTCTCAGAACCTCTTTTCATGGCCACGATATTCATGCATCGTTGATTCAATGCACAAATAAACAATCAGAATGAAGAACCACAATAGCGTAAATTCTGAACATCACGAAGGGGACAGACTGCCTCATCCGAAACAGTTAGCAGCTAAAAAGTGAAAGTAGCCTTTCAAAATCAATTGCTCCGTTACCTTACCTTCCAAAGTCAGGAATATATGAAGTTCCGATAGAGAAACATTTCTAGGTAGAATCCTGAAGTCTAATGTTAGATAAACAATGCCACAAATTTTCTGAAAAACTCTTAACTACGCTGAAAAAGCCATAGCAACTTTTGGTGCCTTTTTCCTTAAAAACAATACATCGAAATTCGTAGTACTTAACTGCATTGTTGAACAAAAGACATCAAGAGATGCAAGCAAAAGAATGGTATTACGCCTCCACTGTTATTTGAAAAGGACGGAAAACAGGCATTTGATAAGCCTGGATAAGTTCTATTATATTTACATACGAGTATCAAATTTTTCACCTTCAAGCGAATGGAGTATGAGTTGATTCATCACAAATTAGGAAAGGTTAGTTCAGAAAAAAGTAGGCAAAAACAATAATGTTTCATACATTGATCAAGTGAAGCATTTTGCAAAATATTTTAAACAAAACTCTGTCATAAATTTTCTAGTTTTTTATACAATTCGATTCAGATTCACAATCAACCAGCATTTATAGAAATCTGCCAAGGCCGTTGCGGTGTATTGTCAAAGTTGTGAAGGCGCAAGTGAAACATCATCAACCAAAATGGGGGAAGAGAAAAAGCCAGGACGAAATCTTGTCTCTTAATTGTAAAATCATATTATGAAAAGGTTTGTTGTATAGCTATTTCAAATTGATTTTGGACGATCCGTAATATTTGAGTAACTTATTAAGCCTTGTCATGTTTCCTATTTGAGTTTCACGTGTAGGGGCGCAATGGGAAGATGCGTTGTTGCAAGAATGTTGCTTGCATTCAATAGCTTTCCTGTCCTAAAAAAACCGAAGATTTTACCCAAAAGATGAAATTTTGGAAGATATGGAAGATATGATAGATAGGATTGGTATGGCACGCAAACATCAGTCAATTTACCATAATAAGGCGGCAATTTGTAAAAAATAGGCCAACATTTTTCAGCTACATTACTGCTTATCTTAATGTATGTATGAATGTATATTTTATTCACTTTGGTATTTTTTCCAGTATCATCTAGTACAAAATTTTTATTGAATTTAGTCGAAATTTTGAAAATATACTGACATTAAAAAAAAATGAAAGTGACCCATAAAATTTACTAAGACCTGTTTGATGGTAGTCCTATGCTAATAATTTTTCCAAGTAATTCCAGTTGTGTCTTACTTGATGAAGAAATTCATTCATTCATTCATTCATTCATTCATTCATTCATTCATTCATTCATTCATTCATTCATTCATTCATTCATTCATTCATTCATTCATTCATTCATTTATTAATTCCATTGATCTATTCATTTGCTTTGTTTATATATTAATTTATTTTTTATTCAAAAAAAGTTTGCAGTAAAACTTTGTTGCTGTCTATATTCATGAAAGGATCTTTCACAAGAGAGCAATGCAATTGATATGTTTAATGAAATTTTTGAGTTTTGAATGCATTGCAGAATATTTTCATTTTAAAAATAGCATGAGACTGCAGGGTTTGGGTATGCACACAGACGGCATTCCCGGTGCAATAACTATTCCTCAAACCCTGTACGTGAATTTTCTTTTGAATAAAGGATAATTTTAATCAACCTGTTTTTTTGCAACATGATATGTTCTAGTGCAAGCATCGACAGTAGAAAATCATTCCCTGCACTTAAAAACAATTTGCAGTCTGACAAGTGTAGTTAAGAGGACCACAAAGACCCTCTGTATACTCAGTCTAATCACTACAAAAATAAGTAAAGGATACAACAAAGTGATTTTTTTTCCAATTTGATGAGCACTTAGCTAAAACAGTTCATAAAGCAAACATGAAAGAGATTGAAAAAGGAACCGCTTGGATGTTGCAGGCAAATTTTCCTAGTTGAATCACATTGGTTGCAGGTTGCCATGTGTGATATTTTTTCATGTTGGCCATTGTTTTTTATAACAGTAAAGTTTAGCTTTCAACAGTTATAAACTCTATAATGCTTAATTTTTTTCAGCTTTAAAAAATTTAGTATCAAACACAGATGTAATCATTGACAATGCAAGGTTTATGGAATCTTATTGGAAAAGGTCAAGGACCTGGTAGAGACTTCTGCTATGAAATAGGAGAGCAAATACCTGGGTTTGATGGAAAGTCTGTATGGAGCATTCATTCAGGAAAAAACAAAGTAACTAGTATATTCACTACTCTTCTCCGAAGAGACTGCTGTTGTTTCACTGTATTCTTAAAGAAAGACATCTATGCTCTTTAATGACTAGTTGTTTATTGACATTCCAGCAGTAGGAATGAAAAACATTTTTGAACAATGTGATCCAAGTAGGACCAAAGCATGTGAGACTAGGCTGTCATCAATGCAAGTGTTCTGGTATTGGAAGAATGTTTACTTGATTATGTTTTTTACTGACCATTCTCGAGACAGCACATCAAATTTAAGGCAGACATCCCAAACTGTACATTAGAATTCCCACCTGGTTGCTATCTTACCAGTCAGTTATTGTTAATTAATTTATGTTACTTTTTTAAATTAACCACGCCCAGACCCAAAAAAACCAAAAGGGATGTAAAATGTTGCCAACAAACAATTTTCTTTTTTGGACACTAAACTTAACAAGCCTCCTAGCTTCTTATGAAATTGACCCTAAGAGATCTCAGACCATATTCTTTTTGCTTTGTTGCACCCATAGAACAACATTTGTCATGTGTTGTAATAGGTTAATTAGGATTTATACAAATCTCCAAAATTTCATAACCGACTGATGGAGTAGGAATCTGATTGGCTTTCTTTTAAATTCAACCCAGTTGACATTATTTAGATAAATTGTCTTGAAGTACAAATTCTTTGCCAGTATGCAGGCCTGGGGCTCGGGATCACTGGCACTTGAAACACGACAAAATCGTGACAAATGTAATCCCTATTGTCTTTTAACAATAGGTGTTAATCTGCTATGTAACCTTACTAGTATGCCCAGCAAAACTCGTTCTTGCTGAATTTGTCAACTTTCGCCTAATCTCTCAAAGATTTCATTGTCCTGTCTCGAAGCAGGACAAGCATGACAACAGAATGCCCCTTCTGTTTGTCCAAGTGGAAAAAGTTGCCTTGATTTTCAGGTTTAACAAAAGGTAATCCCATTTAATTTGGATACAAGTGCGCCCGGGCCCTTGGGCAGGAAGAAAACATAATTAAATGTTCCATAAATGTTAAATCAACCTTAATTCTAGACCAATGGCACACCTGTAACAATCTTTAGCTGTGATGCCAAAGTTGCACCACCAGATGAGGTACAGTAAAACTTATATTTGTTTATATTCTGTCATATCATGTTGAAGTTTTTGAACATTTAACTATACAGGGATATACTCTAAGTATTGTCATTACAAATGTTCCCTTCCATCTCTTGCAAATGTTCCCTTTGCTCAACATTGAAACATAAAATACATAATTTATTGCATGTCCCAGTAGATATTTCAGCATAAAATTAGTTTGGTCTGGTGCTTCTAGATTAGATTATGTCATCCAAATCATGTTATTTGATTAAATGCTTCTTAATTAGAAGAAGTCTACTAGACGCAAGTGCCTGCCATTTTCCTCATATCAGTTTTATAAAATGCCAGTCTGGATTAGTTGATTGTCATGTGAGATTGCTTGCTTTCTAGTTTGGTTTTAAATACAGTTGAAATCTTAGAAAATGCAATTTTGTATTGTGTCACTCATGTTCTTGTATCGGCTGAAAGGAAACTCAAAGGATGTTTTGTTATATTTAGATTTTAAGCTGTATGATAGAGTATGAGGGGTTGTACATTTAGTGAAAGATAAAAAGCTTTTATTGCTAGCAGGGAACAGGTGCTAAAATATGTTTAAAGTTTTTGGCTGTGAAAGCTCTGAACCATCTGCATCCATGGCAAACAATTTTTTTCAGTACAGAATAACGCATCTGTTTTCATATAGAACAGATAGCAGTCTATAGTCAAGTATATTTCTTATTTTTGATCTTAGTTTTAAACTGTTTAACGCAAAAAGTAATTATTTACTGGAAGTTTATTTCATCAGTTTACTGTTTCTTGCATCAATCACTTAATATAGTGTCAAGTACACAGTCTGGTTGTTGATTTAATGTTCTCTCAATCTTTTAGTTTCAAGTCGCTAAAGGTGCCTGCAAACGACTTAGATCGATAAGACATCCAAACATTCTTAGATTTATCGACTCATATGAGGTTTGCATTGTTTGTTTTTTAATATAAATGATTTACTTAGCAGGCTCCACAGACTGTTAAAATGTTTATGAATATTTAGTTTTAGACTAAATGCTGCTAGTGTCAAAACATTCTCTAATCATTTTAATCACAGTACGAGCTAATGACTGAATTAATATTCGACCATTTTGAATTGATTTAAAGACATTGCATTGTCACAGCCGAGATAAAATTATTCTTGTTACAGATAAAATAATTTCATGGTTTAGGTTTCTTTGAAGGCTTACTCTTTTTCAAAATTGATTCAATTTTTCGAATTACTTGACATGGGTTTCATAAAACATCAGGAATCCACAGACATTTAAGGTCAATCGTTTGGTCTCTTAAGGTGAATCTGAACAGTTTTTTGGCGATACAAAACTTGAAAATGGCTTTGAAAAAGGAAACATATTATTACATATTGGCTAAAAACTTTTTCATCTGACATTCATCAGAGCATAAAACGTCAGAATAAGGGTCCAAAAGAACACGATGAAAAACATGGTAAATTTATTCTTCAACTGACAGTAACTATTTTGCTAGTAGCTGAGAAGATATCTAGATAATCAAGATATTGAGATTTTAAAACAAACTCAAAGTTTAAAACTTTTTCGAAACTCTGTTTTTTGGAAGCCATAAACCAGTCACGGCACGAACGCTGATTCTTTTGCGTATTCATTTTTCGTGCATAAGCCTTCACATACTTTGATTTAAACTCTGTATTTATCAAAATTAATCAAGAAAAAGTAATAAAAAATTAGGGAGTACTCTAGAATCAATAGTAAACCAAAACATAAAGTGATGATTCTTTTAAATCAGCGGGCAGGCATGGCAATTTAGTCGTTTTTTGCCCTTATTGAATCTGTCTTACACGAACGCTCCTTGAATCTTTAACTATGCGTGGGACTAGCTGTTGCTGATTGGTCAAAAATTGATAGCCAATCAAACTTTACTTTCGATCAGCACTTTGATATACAGTTAGTTGCTTACTTTTTGATTGATGCTCTTTAGTATCCTATGCTTGAAAACAGGATCTTCAAATTTTGCGAAACCAAACGTTTATTTAGCTATTCTACTTTGCCATGCTATCTTAAGGATTAATTTTCTTTATTTTTGGAAGTGGAAGGTCAAATAAAACGCAAAAGTTTTGCACGATGGTAAACTTCGGATCTTGTAAAAGTGATACTCCAGTGACACTTTGTACTCCATTGACTCTGTTGACATGTAGAATATTTTCTGTGATCAATTCTTGTGTTTCAACAAGTGATAAAGATCAATGGGTTGCGCTATTGGCAATTTAATGGTTTTATCTCGTGGATTATTCATTGACTTTGCCAATACTTTTCTACTAGAGTGAAGCATTGATTTATATGGTAACTGAAAAAGTTATTCCTTTGGCAAATTTCATCGAGACAGAAGATGGAAAGAACCAGTGTATTCTTGCATGGGGAGTGCACCAAATGGCAGTATGTATTCTCCTAGCTTTTCTTTAAGCAGAGAAATAGGAATAGTCTTGTGTTGGGTTATAGTAGAAGGCTTTTGAGATTAAAAGAGGCTAACTGTAAAACGGACAGTCAGTGCAACCTTGGTCACAAGGAATCTGTGTACAATCAGAGAAGAAGAATGCAATATGCTTATCAATAACAGCTTAGGCCTTCTTGTATTATTTATATCATATGCATAATGCTTCTCGTTTACCGATTTTACTAGCTGCTCAAAGAAGCACTGTAAATACAGTTGAATCCCGCTATTACAAACCCCACTTACTACGAACTTCTCGCTTTTACGTACTAAATGCCTGGTTCTTTGGAATACTCCCTGTGTAACCAACCCTCGGTGAAATGAAGTCCTGTTATTACGAACTTCGATCCCTACAGACTTCGTAATAGCGGAATCCCTCTGTAACCTAGATAGTAGGAAAATGTCCCACTTCTAGATTACATTTGATTCTTCTGCAGCCTAAGTATAAATCTGGGTTTTCCCGTACACGCAAATTCTTTCTTGGCTCGATACCTGTGAGCTTTTTTAACCAAGCAAACCCCTTAATCTGTCACCGTTTTTAAGTTTTGGTTGCACCATTATTTAGCTGACTCTCTGTTCATAGCTCTTTTTTCTGTTCTTTCTAAAATTGATCACGTTTGCTGGGAAAAAGATTATACACCTTTAGCTCAATTGCATAAATAAAAAGGCAGTTTAAGCTAAAAATCTGTTTACTTATTATCAATGCTCAATTTCTTAATTGAGCTTTCTTTTGATCTTGCTTGTAATACACTGCTCCTCTCTCTTCAGACAGCTTTAAGTTTTCTGGTAAATGACAGCGGTCTTTGCCACGAAAACATAAATCTCTATGCAGTGTATGTTGATCCTGCTGGTGAATGGAAACTAGGTTCTGTAGAATATGTCCATAACCAAGGCGCCGATCCAGTTGCAAAACTACCCAGTTTAGGAAGGTACGACCCACCAGAAGGAAAATCACCAAGGAAAAGGGAACATTGGTAAGATGCATTCTGCAGTTTGCTAGTAATTGTATGCCGTTGGTTTCAGTTTCTATGCTACTTAGAAACTTCTTTTTCGATTCATTTTAATATTTGGTTCAGGCAAGGATTGTTTCAGGGAGGCTGTTATCGTATATTGCTGCAACGTTAAGTCTAAAAGCTGGCTTTTCTATCATATTCTATATTTAAGTTGTATTTTTGCCTGGTATCCAAAGCTCTTAAGAAGTAACATATAATAACTCCTTAAGACATATCGATGTTTCCAGGTTTCATTAGTTTGCAAAATTTAGAGGTGAAGAATTGTTGATTGTTGTACGAAATTTCGTACAAACTTGAAGAGTATGAGAAAAGTTTCGAGGGTAATTCCCCTTCTTGGTGTGAGGCGATTCCGTACTGGTATATTAAATCGAAACGTTTCTAATGTAAGATCCAGTGTTCAGAAAAAGTTTCCGACTGCAATGTTTATTATTCAAACCTTCCTCATTTGACCAACTCACGATAACAAGATATCTTTTTATCAATGTCATTTTTATAGCCATAAAATTAATGGCACAGTTTCCAGATTGACAATTGTACAAAAATTATATAAACGCTATCTTTAAGAATGCAAAACCCTCAACAATCCACTTATTAAAATCGTAGAAATTAAGTGGGTTTATCAGGCACAATTATTCTGTAACGTCAAATTCATACAGGTACTTTTAAAACCATGGTACTCTTGGTCTCTTTTTCTTCATTTCTGAAACGATGACAGATTCGTGTTTGTTTTCCTTCGTAACCTGTTGCCAGTTTGATCTCCCCCCAAAGTGTCGGTCTAAAGATTCAATCAATGCGTTTGCCTTATGTAGCAGGGGACCATTCAGTGAATTCATAATACAAAATACTGTGACCGATACCAGATAATACACCTTTTTCCTGCCTTTTCTGCATATAATCCATGTTAAAATTCAGAGTAGTGGGATTTTCTGTCTATCACAATATTCAGATCAGTGATAAATCTTAGGCTGATAGAAAATGTGTTTGCTTGAGAAACATCAATCTGTATTTTAGCACTTTCCTTGTAAGCTTTTAAATATCCCTTGCGGTGCTGAAGATTTTTGAGCTTTTAAAAACTTCCCGAGGTTGAAACACAAGAGCCTTTGAAGTAGCTGGTGATTGGAAGAGGACCTTGGGGCTTTAGCTTCTTCGCGTACTTCTTCGCTACCAGTTACCAGTCAAAAGACTTCTAAAAACCATCCAACACTAGCAGTCATACTTAAAATACGATATGATTGAATAAATGCAATTTTCGTTTATCATCAATAATTCTGCAAATTTAACCAAGGGGGTGCTCCCTCCTCCATTAGTTTACTATTGAGAGAGTTCCTCCTTTTAAGAAATGCCTTGCATACAAATTCCCTTATAAACCTGATAACTTTGTAATCTATTGTAGACTAACTTTGTAAACTAGTAAGTTTACTGTATTATTTTAATGGGATTTGTATGTAGTGGAATTTTAAAATGAAAAATGGACTGAACTGAACTGAACTGAACTGATTCAGGAACATTTTTAGTAAATATCCAATTTGAGCAAGGCTTTCCAATAATATCCATGGATAACCTTTGAAAATTTGTTTTTCAAGGCTTTCCATAAAATTATCAAATCTTCCTCAATTTTTTTATTTGCAAAAAGATTTCCTATACCAGGTTTCTTTTAAAATTAATTACTAACCTTCCTCAAATACGAGATTAACAGGCAAAACCTTCCTCCGGCTCCCAACCGCGGAGCCGTCAATTTTTCTGGACGCAACGTAGATTTTTCCTTTCCTTCTTTCAAATAGAGTTTTCAGAGTCAGTTTTTACATTATTCATCGTGACTGACACTGATTGAGTTATTAAAAACTAATTATCACCTATGCAATATTCAGGTCAACTGATTCTTGGGGGCTCGGCTGTCTACTCTGGGAAATATTCAATGGGCCAATGAAAAAAGCTAGTGAATTAAAAGCGGTTAGCAAGGTAAGGTTCTTCTTGAATTAACAGAAAATGCAAATAGGGACTTGCTTACCTTCTGCATTTTCCCCCAGTGGTTCTTTTAACAAAATCAACTGTTTTTGGCAAATAATGGTGGGTATTTGTAGGACACAATGCTCTTTTGTCTCGTGGCATGGAATCAATGCCAATTGCCTTTTTACATCAAGGCCTTGTAGCATGTTGTGATACCCTAGATGTAATTAAAATTTTTCTTCCTTCTTCTGTATGTATATCAGTGTGTATATTCAGGTAACTTATTTTTTCTCGTGCGTGATTGATTGTGAATTTTTCTTGAGACTTTATGTATATTAACATCTTGTGTTTTGTTTTAATTGTTTTATCTTATAACTACTTTTTAGATCCCCAAGAATTTATTGTCGCATTACTGTGAGCTGGTCACAGCAAATCCAAAATCTAGGCTCAATCCAAGAGAATTTCTGCACAGATGCAAAACCCCTTGTCAATACCTCGATGATGATTTCGTCAAAGCCAATCTCTTTCTCCAAGAAATACAGGTATGAATCCTAAAATAGTTAATTTTCAGTGTATCATTGCTGTCTTCCTGTGACTATGTTTTCATGTCTATCAATATCTGTCAAATCCACATGTCAGATTCCATAAAGAGATACTAAAGGAACTGGCTTATATTTCGATCCCTAAATCGCATTAAAAACTCAGACCAACTGGATTTTTTCCAGGATATTTGTTGCCTCTTTATTAGCGAATGATTTAAGAACAATTTCCTTTTAATGTATTTTGATGTTTTTAACTTCGACAGGTACAATTTCTCACGATTCTACGAACAGGCTATATTTCCTATTAAAACGCTAGTTTAATTTTCTTTTTTCAGATTAAGGATGTTAGCGAGCAAAAAGAATTCTTCCAGTCACTCAACAAGTCTTTGGATGTTTTTCCAGTCGCATTTTCAATTCACAAAATTCTGCCAGAGCTTCTTAAAGCGTTTCAGTTTGGTGCTGCTGGCTCTTCGGTGCTCGGACCATTATTTAAGGTTTGTTAGAATCCAATCTTAGATTCTGGATAAATTTCTGCAAACTTTAAAAATGCGTGAAAAAGACAATTAGCCTGTTTGTTTTCTCTGTTGGACTCTTCAATTATGTTAGAGGTGAATTTTCCTTAATCGATCCGCACCTAGATAAAATGTTTTTGCTTGAGTATACACTCATTTTTTATAAGAAACGAGAACCGGGCAATCATAAAAAATTAAGAAACGCCAGTACTCGAGGCGAATAAATTAAAAAACGATCGAATTTTAAAAGCGTCTATAACTCAGTACTTTTGCGAAATTTCATCATCGTAGTTGGCTGGTTGGCATAAAAAGGAAGACTCTGAGACTGAGAATCGCTTTCCTTGTCTAATTGAAGCATTAGAATGGAAGAAAATCTCTTGATACAAATGTAAAGGCATTAGAAAACACTACGATTTGCAGCGAAGAATATCCGTCTAACAAGTTTCTGTTAGGAAATTTCTTAGCGTAAGAAAACTGAAAACAGGAAGCCAGTGTTAGAATTAATAACATCTTTTTTTAATAAACTCTTAAGAAACAACAAGTATTAAAATTTCCAATGCGTCAAGAAACTAGAGTACTCAACTTCGACCTTTTTGTTTCTTATAAGAAATGACTCTGCTTTTCCGTGCTATTTCTAAGGCATTGAATCAAAATGATGCTCCTTTTTTAAGCATTTTGGTTGTGCTTGTGCTTGGCTTAAAATTTCTACATTAGTATTTTGTCATTGCTGCTAATTGGTACTTTCTGTCTAAAGACAGCACTAATTGATATCAAGACAAAAGCAAATCCTACCTGAGTGTCGGGGCTCTAAGATTTTTAAAGTTATGAATTTTATTTAAGATAAAGCAAATGTTGTTAACTATAGTTAATAAAAGTTCTCTATTGGGGCTCCAGTTTCAAATGCCATTGTTTTTCCAGGTTTTGTTGTTCTTTCTTACAAAGATATGCTTTTTGCTATGAATGTTGACTGTAATTTAAACCTTCTTACACTGCAATTTTAGATCGGGAAACTTTTAGACGAAGAGGAATATCAAAAGAAGATTGTTCCATGCGTTGTGAAGCTTTTCTCTTCGAACGATCGCGCAACTAGAATTCAACTTTTACAACAGGTATTGTCGATTCATGCATCTTATCAATTGTCTTGTTTTTTATTGGATTATTGAATTAATATCTAGGTCATTCGTTAATTGGCAAGAACACTTGATTAAAAACTTTATGCTTGAAAAAATCGAAGAAAATTAAGCAAATCTCCTTTCTCTAGCTCTTCTACTAGAAAATGTCAAGCTGACTAGTTTCTGCAGAGACAATTCATTTGTATGGTTGTTTACAGAAATGTTAGTAATTGTCCTTATAATGGTTTACATGACCTCTTTAAGGCCTGATTATCTAGGCTCGATAAAAGAAAAACACAAAACAAGCATTTCACGGTCGTGTCAATTAACAAATGTAATTTTTGATAGCACGCAGTTAAACGGTGACAGCTTGAAGGTTTGATTCAGAGACGGATCATTCAAGCATGTTATGGTTGCCGTTACACAATTATCGGCGTGTTCTTTTATAACAAATATGACAGACACGATTCCAGATCTGTTCGCAGCAGCCAGTCAACCATATGACCCTACTTGTCTCATTTTCTTTAACTCTCTATTAGGTTTTGGAACAGCTGCAATAAGAAATGCTTTGTAATAATTTACTTATCATATCACATAGATCCGTTTTTCGCACAAAGTGATCTCAGAACTGCTATTCACAGCAAAACTTTATCAATTCTACCAAATGTTTTGACGCCTGACAAAATACAAAAGTGTTAACTAACAGGAACTCATCATTGATAACGTGTTAGAGAAGATTTTATTCTTTATTTCAAAATGGAGTAATAGAGCTAAAGTTGAGTGGAAAAGGTTTAATTTACGATAGAACTACACCTAAATCGTAATCGTAAAGAAACGATTTTTTTTAATTTACGAATTGCTACATCAAGCCAAATTAATTAAAGTACTTGCTCTTGCTAAAAGGCAAGACACTGTCTGTACAAGTGCCGTTGAATTTTCTCTGCTTTACTCTTGTAGAAGTACTGTTATCACATTTAACGTTTATGGCAGCCAAATGAACTCACGAAAGGGATGTTTTTAAGTCGATTGTTGCTAGTTTTTACATAAAGATACAACTTTGAATTCCATATAATTTCCGTTGATACATCACTTGTTAGCTGTCGAATTGTTTGAAAACCAAGTTTTATAAATGAAAAATTTATGCAGCGATCATGAGCAAATACACATGATTTATATAGCTCTACAGCATTTTTTCTTGACTTAAAATTATGTTGCCTCTTAGTTATTGGCCAATTTCGATAGATTTCTACCTTGCTTAAAAACAAAATTCAAGGAAGTCATGATGGCATAAAGGAAGTTACTGACGTGCATGTTTTGTCAGATTTCTGTTATTAAACATTATAAGACATGTTTTCTATTTGTTTTCTAGATGGATAAATTTGTACACCACTTACAGCCAGCGTTAGTCAATGATCAGGTTTTCCCTAATGTTGCTACGGGATTTGGTGACACTTTGCCAGCTATGAGGGAGCAAACAGTAAAGGTCTGTGGCGTATCTCTTATCAGACTATAGTATTCTCAGATCGGGGTATGCTAAAGAAACAAAAAGGGTGGCTGGAAGGGGAGAAGAATGGGTAATCAAAAAGACTAACCAATGCCTATTAAGCCAGGATATTATCGTTTTTGTAGGTGTGTTTGTCATTTTCCCTATTCAGAATTTGTAGTCAGTGCCCAGATTCTGGAAATTCTAATTCTATAAGATTCATTCACAAATCCCAGGCCGATAGCATTTGAAAGGGAGTCTTGAATTGCAAGGTGACCTCGGACTTCTATTAAAAACCCAAGAACAGCACGTTTCTTTTTCTGAACCGACTTCTGATCAAGGGCTTCCTTTCGTGTTTGATGAGTCTTGGGTTTGTAGCTTTCATTGGCTGCGGGAGCCTTGCACCCTCCGCTTACTCTTCCTCAAAAGGGCTAACACCAATCATATTCCCTTGGTGTGATGTAAACAGAAATTTTCGCAAAACTGCAAGGTCATTTTCGGTCTTTCAATTCTACTTTAAGTATTTCATGTTTTTAAGATCCCCCATTAAAATTTATTTATATCATCCTCAACCCCCCTCCCCCCGGAACGAAATGTGTCAGAACAATGTGTGTGGAACGATAGAGAGAATGTTTGTTCCAGAAAATGCATGTATATTATTGTGTTAAGGAAGTTTGAAAATGGAGGACTGAAAACATTGTGAAATGAATGCTTCTTAATCAACGGTTTATGTTTTGGTTACATTTAAAAATCAGCCGAATTAAAACTAGTGTGAAGCGGCATGTCCTACAATGAATAAAACTTTAGATCTCTTTGCTGTTTGCGTAGGTTTTGATAACCGTCGAGACAGATGCTTGGATTTATTCCGCTCTTCGTCTTGTCTCCATTCGCAAAGATTATCATAATTGACACGAATATTTTTATTCAAGTCGATGATACTGCTGGCTCCAAAGTTATCAGAAAAGACCATCAACAATCAGTTACTTCGATATTTCGCCAAACTTCAAATGGACGAACAGGTATTGTGTCTCTCTGCTTTCTTTTCGGAGCATTAATCAGTGACGTCGTTTGTGAGTCTATCACACGTTTTGCGGAGATATAGTTTAATAGATCCTGGATTTCTTGAAGCGCTGCAAAAATCAAAGAAGAAAGCTTATCTCTGCATCCTTGGTTTGTTTTCGGTTCCATAATTGTACAAACTAAGAGTTCATCAAAAGTGACACACGAAAGAATATTTGGATACTTTTCGATGTTGAATCTGTGCCCCTTTTTCAGAACTCGACCAAGTCTGAAAAGAAATGATACTTTTGAATAAAATTGTTTCATAAGAGTTTTTTTCCAGATAGTTTCATTTAAATTATGTAATTAGCTTAAAATCAGTCGAGAGTTTTCAATGTAGACATAGCCAGACCAAAAGCCATAAGAATTCGCGCCTCCTGTTATTGAAAGTCGATGAATTCAAATTTTTATAGAAAATTAATGCAGCCAAAGCAACACATTTTCTGATAGTGATTCATTTACTAAAATTTCTATATTATGCATATATGCATATATTATGCATATATGTACCTTTTTTGTTGGAATTTTTTCCCCAAGAATTCACATCTTTAATTCTTTAAACATATCTCTTTTAGCCTGGCATTAGAACAAACACGACGATATGTCTGGGAAAAATAGCTACCTATTTACCAGAGACAGTGAGTATTGATGTCCACTCTGCATAATGTTTGAATGTATGAAATATTTATTTCCTATATTTTAAGTACCCATTGGCTGTGAAAAATAAGATAATAAGAAAATAAGAATCAAATTCTCCTAGCTCTTGATTTGGAAAGGTTGACAAGTCAATTTTGTAAACCTTTCATTGCTATTTCTTGCTGCATTCATCCATATAAAGGGTTTTCTCGTGTACATTGCACTTAACAAAATGCCCGTTTTGAGTTTTGGGACATTTCATATGTTGATTTGCGATCTGCTGCAATGGAGGGTTGCTTCGCCTTCAGCACGCCAACTGATTTACTTGCTAGGGTTCTTCCGAATATTTGGGCATGAATTTCTTTCAGACTTATGTAAACAAAACGTAAAGGAATTATTTTATACCAATCTTGCAAGATTTATAAACATTGAATTGATGCTTTTTTAAAGTTGATGTTAAAGCTCTAAACACTATTTATCTATTAACATGATTGCAAGCTACTTTTATTTTACTCTTTTCGAATACTTTCATTTCAGACTCGACAGAAAGTCTTGATTCCAGCTTTTCTGAGGTCATTGCGCGACCCATTTCCCCCTGCGAGGTCTGCTGGTATTCTCGCTCTTGCTGCCACTCAAGATCTTTATACGCTCCAAGATATTGCCTGCAAAATTCTTCCGTCGCTCTGTTCGGCCACTATAGACAACGAAAAGGGCGTGAGAGATAACGTAAGTTTGGAATATACAAGAATTCACATGTGCGTTAAGTAGGCATTTATCAACTTTTATGTGCTTGAAATTAGTTCTCAAGTTTCTATGACACTAGACTGTTCAAAGAAAAATGCAATTTGAGTCTATGTAGGCAGTGCATACTCAGTGCTTTGGCAGAATGGCGCGAGTTACACTGGTTGTTTGTTAACTGTATAAAATGCCACTGTTATATCAACGACAAAATAAAAACAGAAAATATAAGTAACTGCAAGAAAACGTTCTGAGCCGTCGTTGTGCACATGCATGTTTTGTGAAATTGTCTGCAAATTTTTGACCTACTGGAGGTCTTAAGTAACAGTAACCTACTTTAGCAGGGCATTTACCATTAAATATAATGTGTAACCATAAACAGGTTGAAGGATGTGAATGTATTTAATGATGCACTAAGGGACTTCACAAGTACTCAATACTCAGGGGTTAATTATGAGATATAAAACTGAGTTCATATTTTATAAAGTAAATTCCTCATCAACGAACTGTGAATTCAAAAGGTCCGATCTTTTAAATATATACATATATAGATGTTTGAGAACGGACAAAGATTTTACTATTTCAATAGTTTTTCGTCCAGATCAGGTGTATTATGTTTGCCGTTGCTATAAGATTAGTCAAAGTAAGACTCATTGTTCTGCTGAAAATTAAAGCAATTAATGTAATATTTTGAAGCTTTGAAATGTGTAGCTCATCTTACTTAAATAAATTTTCAAATTTATGAAATATCATATCTTATCTCGTTCTACTTCATCGGCTTCTCTTCACATCTTTTGCCTTAGTTTTTGTTTTTCCAGCTCGTCTATTTATAGATTAGTGTATTTTCAGTTCGATGAATTTGTCATAATTCAGATTTTAGTTTTAATTTTTTTCTTTGATTCTTAAGACCTTCAAGGCGATCAAGACGTTTGTAAATAAAGTCGAAGATGCATCAAATAACCCGGGCAGCAACCTTAATGTCAAAGGTATGACGTCAGCTAGCCAGGACAATTACGTCTATAATAAACAGTTATGTCTTTAACAGTGAATAGATTCCTAGTACATCTTCATAGCTCGATTGGCCTACCAGAATAAGAGAGTGTTTTGATTGAGCTCGTATGTTATAAACAATGGAATAAAAAGTATCTGTATCTTCAGCTTGTAGACATAACCAAAGATATATCGTAAAAATGAATATTGTTTTTTGCAATATGATAATGCAAACATTTTTGGGTTGTGTGTATTTCGTGCAGAGGATTTCAACAATTCACCCATTCTCGATCCCTAGAACTTTTGTTGTGAAAAATTCTGTTTCAGTATCCACCGCTTTGACTTATTCAATTTTATTCAATTTTGAAATAATATGAAACTGGTAAAAGTTACAAGTATAAAAAAATATCACCGAATGTTTATTACCCTAAGTGTTGTACGAATTTATAGTTGATGTGTCAAATTTGTTGTAGGTAATGAAGGCTCGCAAGACGCTGCTAAATCGTCGTCTTGGACTGGATGGGCTGTCTCCTCTCTGACGTCTCGTATTTACGGAGGGCAGCAAGGAACAGCCGGCCAAGGGACACAAGCCCCAGGGACACCGGGTCAGGGACCTCTCACTGGAAATGCAAAAGCAGATACACATTTAGATTCAAAGCAAGGTTGGTTCAGAATACTTTTTTGTATTTATTAAAAAAATGTATTTACTCTGATCAATGTGAAAATTAGATGTATCGAAAATGCAGTTTGTTTCCTATCATGACAATGTGGCTAGGTATGTTTTGCAGGCCAGTTGTACTCTCCTGGTTAATACTTTTCCAAATCTTGTATCAAGCAATTTGTGTCTTATAGCACCTGTACATCTTATTGATTCCAAAGCTTAAATTGGAGTAGATAACGCCATTGGTCAATGCATTTAGACGCTGGCAAAATCGATTTGATATGTTATCCATTTGATCTTTTTAACTTGAGCATTTTTTTTCTCAGTGCCTGTTTACTTGTATTTTTCCATTTTTGATTTACTTTAGCGTCTGTGACGCAATCAAAGCCTAGTTCAGAAGTGCCCACTCATACTGAAGTTAGTGAAAGATCTACCCCGGATTTTGCAGATGCTTGGAGTGACGATAACTGGGAGGACTTGAACGTAAGTACTTGTGCTTTTTGTCCTGTCGAGCATATTCTTCCTTCAAAGTCTTGCATACTCTTGATACCTTTCTTTTCATGCGGGAAAAGCATTCCATAGAAAGTCCTAGATAATACCAAGAGTAACTTTCATTCTTGGAGAACCTTGAATTTGCAAGTGGGTTCCTTCTCAGAGACCTTTACCTTTCTCGATACCTTTCTCGGGCTTGTTTTGACATCAACACCCTTTTTGCTACCTATTAGAAGCTATTCTTCTAGTTTCCTTGGTTGATCATTGGAAACGCGCATAAATGCTTACACTTTAAACTCTCAGTCTTTCAGGTAACCTCTTGTAAAGCTTTTTCCCACGGTCAGTTTTTCTAAGGCTCTCTGCCCATACGATTGTACAGTTTCACCTTTGATATTTTGATATTGATGGCTTTTCCCTTTGAAGAACCGGAGCTCTCCGCCAGAGAATTTTTGTCTAATTATGAATCAAGCTAAAAAGTCTTCAAAGACACAAATAAATATAGTCAAAATACGACTTTGTACAAGGAAATTGAATATTGTTGTAAAATTTTGAACAGAACTTTTCATTTGGTGCACAGAATAGAGCAGCGGTAACACGAGAGTAGACGAGTAGAGTCGTAAAATTAGCTATATAGAACGCAGAAGATACACGGCATACAACGCCAGACGATATCGGAAGCGGGGGTTTGAAAGGAATAGATAAAAATGAGATAACAAAATATGAAAATATTTTAGCTACATTATGAAAGATAAGAAATTGTTTTGTTTTTCGGAATAAACGTACCAAATTTAGAGACAAGAAACTGGTCTTGTAAAAAACCATTCTTTTACTATATTAATTTGCATTTATTATTCATTCGACGTACAACAAGCTGAACACCATTGATAACAAAATTTTTAGGTGGTCGTTAGGTGCTATAAAGCTTCACAGCCAACAAATTTTGAAACTATGGACAACCCTGCGTCATAGCGAGGTCTAATGTCAATTCAAAGCAAAACATGTCACTCAAGTTCGCAAAGGAGCTTTGTGTTTCAATTCAAAGATCTTTGATGTTTGAATGTTATCTTTAAAGATAGATGGCTGTCGTATTTCAAAGGGTTTTAGTATAACTCTTAGAAAGCGCATTTTGCACTGAAATCGCATCAAACACATTGCAATTTCCTTATCAGGTTCTTGGACATAAATCATAAACATCTCTTTGACCACTGTCTAGATTTTGAGTGACAGGTCCTGGATTCCCCTTGTAATTTTAGACGAATACATTATGAGCGTAACAACCTAATTTTCAAATACGGAAATGAGGACACACCTGTATTGAGTTTTGAAGTGTGTGATATTCTCATTAACAGGTTTTGTTTGAAAATACAGAAAATAGACTTCAAACTGTCTAAGCTCTTAAATTATCTGTTTACTACCCGCAATACTTTATATGGCTTCTCTGTTTTGAATGGCCATGGTAGACGCCATTTTATGAGTAAACTCAGAGAAGCAGTCGTTTCATCCTTGTTGACAACATGTTTAGATTTCGACTTTCATTCGGATAAAGCAGAACCCAAGATCGTAACAATAGGTTATCGAGTATTGCTGTTTGTTTTCTCTAGACGATTTGTAGTATGTCTTTTGCACACAAGTCACCAGCAGCATAGATCTCTCATAGAGATAGTGTCTGCACTAAGAAACATCTTAAGATGAATTTTAATTCATCTTAAATGACATACAATAGAATTACCGGACGCTCATTTACTGTGAAAAGCAAAACCTACTCGTCATGCCATATTTTCTGTTAGTCTCTATCGAAGCCTTAGCACACCCGTAGACATAATTCAAAGTCGTTGTTTGAGATTTCGTTACCATGCAGTTTGTTTCATTTTCATGTGTGAAACTGTATCCTGCAATATATCCTCCTAACTGTACGTGGTTTATTGTTTTCCCGCGGGCCATCACAATTCTTTTTACATCTTTTGGATTATGATTTCCTGAACGAAATAATTTCTGTTTCACAATTTCTTCATTTTCCCCTTTCCCCTTTCAGGAGAACGATGCAATTTCAAGTATGCAAAATGATTTACTAGAGGCTAAGCAAGAAATTTCACACTTTAATCGAAGTGCTGTGGTAAGCCTTTCAATACACCTCTATTTCGCTTTTGACATTACAGATATTCAACAAAGGATAGAAGCTCCGCAGAATTGTTTGGAATACCACTTCATTTGCTAATTATGTTTTGTAGTGGAAATATTGTAGTATTGGAGTATAAAATGTCTGCTAATTGTACTTGGAACAGCAAACAGCTTGAATCTTTGTTTCATTCTACTATATTTCATTCATTTCATTCTATGATATCCCACCCCACCGCATACCACCACTTCCATCACTCCCCCCCCCCCACCCCACCGAATACCACCACTTCTATCACTTCTTTTTCCAGCACCATGTTTACCTTTTTGTCATATAGGGCTCGGTGCCCTATAGACAAGGTCGCTCAGATCGCAACTTAGAACCCTCAAAGCATATCATGCAAGGTTCATGGCAAAATATACTTTTTTACTCCGTACGTCACTTTGCAATAAACCGAAAAAAGCCAAAACTAACATTTGATCAAAAAGGAGAAATTTGAAGTGAAGTTTCTTAATTGGTATTAGTGTACCGGGACTTTTGGCAGTGAATGACGACAATGGAAAAGCTGTCTAATCAAAGTGACAACGTACATCTGTTCACTTTCTGTACTTTAACAAGATTTGATCTCATTCCACGTGATATTTCCGATATAGACATCTTTGTTAACATGCCTGGTCAAAACAACCGAAAAACACAGTTAACTCACTTCATTTTCAAATGAGTCAGGTTTTTTGAAGACGGGATTTGGTGTACGTTCCAGACAAGAGATTGCCGGCTAGCACATTTTCGCTGTTCAAATTGTACTTCTTTCACAATTACATTGTCATAATCACACTGTATTGTGAATGTTTGTCATTATCTTTCTTTACCATTAAGAATTTAGTGTCAAGGAATGATTTTTCTAAAGAACGATTTTAATTTGTAGTTCTAAACAATTTAATTTCCGAAGCCCCAAAGATTTTAGAAATTACGTTGGTTAGAACTATGAATTATAGACTAAAGTTAGTATAAGAAAGTAAAACACTTATATCCATTTCTTTGAAGTTTTCAATTGAAATTATATTTTTGGACCGAGAGCAAGAAGGCCAAACTAAGAAGGAAGAAAGCATTGGCTGCCAATGAAAGCTTTTTTCAAATTCTGATCTTCAAATGTTGTTTTTGTTTTCATTTTGATTAGCAAAAGGCAGATGATGGTGCAAACAGTGACAGTGACTACGGAGACTGGGGCAACGATGATTGGGGGCTCGAACCTGTGGCACCAAAAGCAAAAGTGCGTCGCTTTATTCATATGAAGTCTTTATATTCTTTTCTTGGAAAATAATTTTCTCTACTGGTGTGAATATTTTGATTGACATTAATTTTACAACTTGTGGTTACTATTGCAATTCAAAATTCTTGTTCTAAGTAAAGTTTTCTATGATTGGTGTCGCACATTTGTGGAATTGTAGAATTTTTTCCAAACAAAACCACTGAAATTGTAGCCATTTAGCCTAACTAGAAAATGCAGCTTCACTTGGAATGTATTTCTGAAAATCATTCCATATTCTTAAAGAAATAAAACGATTTATTGGGTTGAAATATATATCTTTTGTAAGAATATGTTTAACACTTCACGAGAAGAGGTTTTTTTAGAATCAAGGGTCCACAGCAATTTCACGATTCCATATCTTTCTATGTTGGTGCTGCAAGCACAGTGACATGAGTTTTCTTTCTAGCAGCCTTCAGTATAATCTCTTTTAATGAAACACCTCCCTAACACTGACACCTCTAAACAAGACACCATTGATTTTATCCCTGAATTTCTTTCCTATGCTCAAAGTAGTGACGTTAATCTAAGATCTTGTCTAGTGGAGATCTGCTTCTCCTTTAAGTAAGTAGCTCACTATTACGTTTCTCCCCCTCAATCTAACTGTTTCTCCAATCTTTTCTTTTTTACCCACAGACTAGTGAGAAACATAAAGAAATGTCTGACCAAAAGTTCTCTGGTCCAGACGACACTCAAGATTTAAATGCCTGGCCCCAACCTGACCCTTCGCCTAGGTCTGTCGCAAATCTCCTTGGTATGGAAAATAGCTCTGGTGACGATTTTCTTGACATTGGATCGAGCGTACCAATGGGCATCGGCAGCAGCTGGGGTGATGCCGATGAGTGGGTAGGTCATAGCTTGTATCAAGACTTTCAAAACCGTTTGTTTTTAATTCATAACAGTATTTCAATTGCGTTCAAGACACACATAACAGGCCATTGTTTATGAACTCTAAGGTTGAAATTTTAATCAGATGTTTTGCAAAAATTGGTATTTTCTTGCACTGTATCTGACTTGTTATTGTACAAGGCCCTTATTAGCTGGTCCTGTTATGCATTTTTCTGCTCTATTTTGCTATTCCTCTGTCTTTTATGTTTTCTAGCCTCCAAGGGCTAAAATGCAGCAAGCTAAAAACAGCAAACCGCCTCCTCTTAACGCCAAGAAACAACCCAAAGAAGAATTTCAAGAGAAACCTTTTGCTGACCAAGAAGCACAGCGCCCAGTGCAAAAAGTAGGTGAGATGTCTATGAATGAGAGTCCGTCTTCCTGGAACGTTGAAGGTGACTGGGAAGGAGATGGTTGGGGGGACCTTGGAGAAACTACAACAACCTTCGAAAAAGAGGCTGCGCCATCGCAACCTGATGACAAAGAGGCTAAAAAGGCGGAACTTTTGAAAAAGAGGGAAGAGCGGAAACAGCAAAGAGAACAAGCCATGCGCGAAAGAAAACAGAAAGGTGGTGGGGCTTTGAAATTAGGAGCTGTTAAAAAGGTCACTAAAGGTGAATTTGATTAGGGATTAATTTTAAGCAATGTCAACATACACACCTGAAATTGATGTTTTTTATGGATTTCTTATCGATTTATAGGTTAACAAATAAATCTCAACAGAAAAAATTGAAGATTCGTTTTCACAGACTGACAATCCTTGCCAAACAACTTCCCGAAACATTGCATATAGCCCTCCTTCCCTCTAGCAATGTTGGATATTTTTATTGGGAAGCAGTTCGTGCTCTATAATAAAAGTTTATGGTGCCCAAAGTTATTTGCTAACCAACATTGTACAGTGGGTGGGGAGTGCAGTGTTCGGTGTTAGGAGAGGTAGAGAGAGTGCTGTATTGGGTTATTTTCGAGAGGTTTGGTAAGGATCGGATGTACATTTATACAGTGGGAGAAAAGAGCTTCAAAGAACATTCTTCTGCTTGTTCGTTCACCGCCTGGGTACCTTGATTACCTGAATAATTCACGTTATAGGTTTAGAATGCGATTATGGATTTGTCTATCAAGTGCTGCTAATCTTAAGACCAATACAAGGAGCATGCTTAATTCAATCGTTTGATAGTACCAAGAATCTGTGACTTCAAGTTTTTGACTTCTCTTTTTCGTTAGCGAAGCAACATTGAATTTTTTTCAAACTCGTAATATCAATTTGTATCTTTAAATTCCCCCATTAAGTGTCAAATGTTTTGTTATATTGTTGTAGTTGCCTAAAACTCAGTGATCGAATACCTGGTGTCACTCATGGTCTGATTTAAGTAAGTGGAAACAAAGGCGAATCGATTGATTTCTATAATAGTTTGTGCTGTGTTTGTACAAAACTCATCTTTATGCCTTTTAGTAAGGTATGAATATTCCGCATTCGAATTCAGCATTTTAAACTTGCAATGACTGCATCTGGTGTTATCATACTCAGTGAAGTAAGGGAATTTGTTTTGGAGTAAACATATCTATTTCCTTTGAAGCCTTTGGTTTCGTTACGATATCTTGATAAAAGTTACAAAACAGAACCGATTCTACTTTTGTTCGACTTAGGTATATAGGGAGCAGTATATTTTTTCATTTCAATTACGGTCATCTGCTTGTAATAACATTTATTAGAATATATCAAAGAGGCCCGGTAAGTCCATTTATCTGGAAATCATGTGGTTAGGCCAATTGGAATTAGCAATGATCTGGCAAAGGAACGTGGCAAATCCACTCTTCCAAAGTAATGAGTTTCTCGGGATTAATATCCAGACACCATGCTCCTTAATGGAACAATATCTTGTCAAGTTATTCCTGTAACTATATCCCTATTTATGGTCATAATTACCTGACTTTTTCTCAATGTTGGTCTTCATTCTGCCTTTATTACGGTGCTAATTTAAAAAGACTTAATGAGATGTCACTTAGACTGAAGAGTGTCGGCTCGTTTTTAATAAAGGCTTATAAAAGTGTGCTGCTTTTCGATTTAGATTTCATGAACAAGTACGGCGACAATGTTTCCAGACATCTTTGCAGCTAGAAAAATGTCGTCTTTTTGTTCAGGATAAACGAGACTCCAATCTGAAATTGTATCTTGTTTTAGTTACTCTTTTAATGTTTGAAACTCCCCTTATTTGCTCAAGTTCGTGAGTTTAGGTCAGGGATCACCCATTAAATTGCCACTTTCGAATCTGATGATGTGCCCAGTAATATGTGAATAAAACATATAGAAACGACTACCACCCTGGTTGTATGACATAGGATAGTAATGTTTTTTATGGTGTCGTTTGTCATCAGTTAGTATTGATCTTTCCTGTCCTAGATGTCGTTTGTAATTAAATAGAGTTTGTTTCTGTGGTGTGGTTTGCTTTTAGTTAGCAATTATTCTTCCTAATAACCATTGGTCTACGTTACCCAGGTGATTCAGGCCTAGCCTGTGGACGAATTTCCACAGCAACCACCAAGTCACCATTTAAAGGCCTCTGGGCATTTACAATTTTTCTAACAATTCTGCTGCTATTTGCTCTCGGTGGATGGCTCAAAAGAGTTTTATCACCTCAACAGAATCTCTATTCCTGTTTATATTTTTTCTGCTGGGCAAATTTCACAAAGTGCCATCAACACGTTTTTAGTGTAAACTACATGGCTTTGCAGTAGTTTTGCTATTGCTATATCTTATCCTGTGTTTTTCTCTGTACACCCAAGTGGGATGAAGGGATGGCAGGCTTTTTAGTGTAGCGGCTTGGGGAAGTGCAGAGCACTTTGAGTATTTTGAGCTGCTCTTCTTCTTTACTAGCATCGTTTATTGATCTGACCTATTAGAGCATAAGCCACATGCATTTTGTCAATGGTGCATTTTGCCACTGGTGCATAATACCTAGCTAAAAACACGCCTCTTTGCATTGGGACCCAGGGTCACTGACTTCAGATCCAAGGGACTTTAGTTCGAGCCCCTGACTGGACAAAACTTTCACCCAGAGCGAGGAGAGTTCTGTAATTCCAGGCGTAGGAATCACGAGGTGTGGTCACATCTAATTGAAAGGCCAGGACACTACTCGCTAAGCATAACTTCTCTCTGTCCTAAAACTACCTTCGTAAATTGGTAGGAGAATACAAAACATTTCTTATAATCACCCTTTCAGCAATATGAATTTATCTTGGATAATTACAATCAGCACTTTGAAGGTTTTAGCAGGAATTTTTACATCTTTTGCATCACACCTGCGTTTTCTCGCCACCCCTGCTTGTTTTTAAGCAAGAAGAAGCTCTCCCTCCCTGAAAAAATATCTTAAGTTACTTCTTTCGTTATTGTCACAATAACAGAACAACACTTAATTAACCAAAGCAGAATACAACGCCATTAGTAATCTTTGAAAGGAAACAAAGTTGAAAGGCCTGCTGTAAACTTTGACACAAAGCTGCTCCTACCAAACAGGATTTATTCGTCATCTTTTTCAAATCTGTGGTTTATCTATTCACAATTAAGGGCATGGCGTCTCGTAATAGCGTTGTTCTATTGAAAGCATGTACTATTAGGTTGGATACGAAAGGTAATCACAGTTTAATCAGTGATGGAGTGACTGGCAGTTCTGCTCATAGTTCTATTCATCTGTGTATTGCATTAGAATCAGTTAGTGAAGCAATCCTCACATTCAGATGACAACCTCGTTTTTATCACTCTGACAACGTCATGTCGATCTTGACGAGCTTCGTCTTCATCCCACGTGAAATTTCCGACGCAGACAATGTTGAGAACTGGACTAATCAAAACAGTAGTTTGCTTTTCCTTTTAGAAAATCATTTTTCAGGAAATCATTTTCCATTACATAGAAAGTAACTGTATATCTTTCTTCTAGTCGTTGATCGAATACCGGGCTATCTTTGTCCCATGGACGTAGCGGGTGCTAGTATGGATCTTGTCCGAGTATTAATGCTTCATTGGGATAAAACTGCCCCGTTGGAGCCTGAATGAAATAAATTCTGCCTGATTACGGGGGCTGCAGCCCTCTCAGCTCCCATACCCCCTATGTCTATTCGGGTTAACTAATAATTGGCAACAAATCGCTCATTATTTGTTCTTACTTTTGTCCTTGTCTAGTAAATTGAGGGAATAACAATTAAGGAGAATTTTGACCATTGTTTTGACGTTTTATGGTATAAAGAGTACATTTTAAAACGAAAAACTATTGTACGTCTTAAAATGTACGCATTTTTCATACCAAGTTTTAAGTTTTATACCAGCAAAAAATTAGTTGCACTTTTAATTAATAAACCATTAGTAAATTTACGATCAAAGGAAAGATGTGACCACAATGCTCAAAAAAAGGTTTTTGCAATCTAAGCCGTATCTGATCTGGTCACCGTAATAATTTTTCTATTCAGTGACATATCATTTACCTAACATGGCAAAATGTAAACTATTAACAAAAAATGAATCATTGTGTAGATGAAATGCCCGAGACCAGCAAAATATATAATCAAGTGTAATGCTTGAACCAAAACTTTCTCTTCCAGCTTCATTACTACATAGTATGTACCAACGAAGATACAGTAAATCCTCGAATAGGCACCCCCCCTCGAAAAAGCCCCCCCCCCTCGAATAAGCCACCACCCTAGAACTAGAAATTGTCAACAAGCCCCCCTCGAATAAGCCCCCATTGTTACCGTAAATTCTCGAATTGGACCCCTCAGTTTGAGGATTTTTGCCATTTGAGGTTGCCTATGGCGTTTTATTGAATTACCACAACAAATTCATACTTTTGGTAGTAATTTATTAAATGCTCACAAAGAAATTCCTACTAAAATAAACGAGGTCTTTTAATAATATCTTCTTAATCTCTATAATAATTTTATAAGCCATCCCCCTCGTAAAAGCCCCCATCCAAAAATATCAAAAATAGACAAGCCCCCAGGGGGCTATTTCGAGGATTTACGGCATTCAGATTTTCGCATGGAATATCCGGTAGATTCGTACAGTGCGCAAGACTGGGTTCTAGTTTTATTCGCCCCATCTTTTTTCTGTTTGATTACATCGAGTACATTGCAACGTGGCTCAATAACAGGGACTAGGCCGTGTGTCTTCGTACAACAAAACGACAGGAAATGTTTTGGTAAGTTTTGATTAATTTCTAGATAGCCGTATAATTACTCATATTCTTTTTTCGAGGTCTTTGAGTAAAATTTGGTTGTCGAGACAATTCTACGCCCCTAACCCAATGCAAGTAGTCATCCAAAACGAAAAATTGGCGAAATGCTTGCCATTTGGCTATAACACAGGTGTGTTGCTGCTATGAAAGTACAAGAGGGCCGACGAGAAAAATCTCTCAAAAACATTAGCAAAATGTAGAGAAAGGAATTTACAAAGGAACACAATAACCCCTCCCCCAGCCAGGGCCGTTGTGGCTCCTAGAAAGGGCCGGGAAAAAATGATCAAAAGGGGGCCCATTTTCATCACAAAAGACAGGTCACTCAAAGTGGTACATACGTACCTGGAAACCATGCACGAACGAAAAATTACAAAGATGCCAGTTTTTATCATTTTTAAATGTTCATCTGCTATATTTGTTCGGGTGTATCCCCCTTTCAGTCCC